CCATTTTCGAAGTTCAAACGCTCAGTGTGACAGCTGGTTGATGTGTGGGGCGGTCGAATGTGACGAAAAATAATGATAACGAAGTCGCATGAATTGAAAGGCAAACATGTGGTGTGTATGGTGAACATTCTACCTGCACATGACAAAACCAAACTTTCCGACTCCATTTATGGCAGAGGTCAGGATTCACGTTTTTTTCTCACCTCACAAATGCTGAAACAATATGCTCACTTCCGAAGTATAATTGCGAATGACGAAATGGTGGAGCGTATTTCCACTGACCACTTAGAAATTTGCATCGAGGTGTACGATCTACTGGGAAATAGTAGCTATCTGAAAAGTTTATTGAAGAGTTAAACCACTTACGTCCTAGAAAGTATAGATCTTGTTTCTGAAGTCTACCATGAATTAAACTTTTCAAGAAATCGCATCCAAGCCTGTCAAACTGTCCTTGCATCAAATCTTCAAATTGTTCGAGGAAAGGCCCCATCCCCACTGTTTGTCTTATTTATACTAAACGTCAAAGTTTACACACTTGTTCAAACAATAAAGTTAACGAATCTGTCTACTTTCAGGGAAATTACAACATCCAAATTCGTAAACAATCGGTGGAGAAAGGCCACCTCTTAAACAGTGGGATTCATGCCAAATAGAGTGGCCTATGATCACGCCCTCCCCCCTCCTCCTTTTCGTTTCCTCCTGCATGTACACCTGCGCCTCTCAAAATAGCCTTAGTGATTCGGTGAGTGGAGCTCCACAGTCGATGGTCAGATAACCAATCATCTGTCCACTTTTATGTGATTGGCTACCATTTTACCGACCAATCGAAATCTGGCAGATGGGACTATCAATAGGGGGGCTTGCTTGTGGGACAGAGGCAATTATTTACAAGGGCATGCATGCTTGCTGCCATGGTTAAAGTAAACGCAGGAAACGTAAACTTTTATGATTAAGTAAACCGAGGGGCAGTCTACTGTGGGACTGGGTTGCCAGACCAATGACTACTCAGGGCGTCAAAAGCAAAGGGGGCATCGGTGTTTTATTGGTTTACTCTATGACACTACCACCTGTCCTCCCTGAATTGACCAATAGTAACAGAAGTATCGCAAGTCGAGACCATATCACGGCCATCTTGTTGTCTCAAGCTCAACCCATCAATCCAGAGTAACTCATAATCCAACGGAAGACGAGTTGAAAGGTCACCTGTGCACAAAGCGTCGCCTACTGACCTTCATGCGCGTGGTTCGAACTCCACACCACGGACACGTAGATAATAATGCCTGTCAAGTTGTTGGATCGCATGATAGCGGAAAAATTATGTTGGGTGGTATGTACCACCGTGACGGTAGTAACTCACCGGACAGTGATGGCGTTGAGGTCAAGGTCACGTCTCACCTGTATTCCACACAATCGCTTTAAGAGTTGACTAGCTCGGTGTCATTTGGGGGCAGAATGCATTCAAAGAGTAAAACTGTTTCTAACTCAAAGTGGACTTGGCATCAAACTCATTAGACTACCCTAAAATTTGACCTTGGGAAGACCGTATCCATTTTTGCCGTGTATCCCAGTCGAATCAAAATATCATCAAACAGATTTGTAATCGAGGGACATAAAAAACGTTTCCATTTTGTAAAATTGGAAGTCCACACTGTGCATTTAAAATAAGAGAGCGTCCAGTGTGGAGGTGTTTTCTCCAGTGGGAGGATCGCGTTACCGTCAAATGTGTCGATAAAGGGTCAAGGTCAAAAGAGAGTTCGATATAAAGAGTTGAGTTGATTTCTGGGGTAAAATGCATGACAGCGATTGGCTAATTAAGGGGCTGGACATCTGGAAAGTCTTTAAATTTGCTGGCTAACTTACAAAACTGTCACTTTACTTGATGGAAGAGCTTCAGGATCTCGGAAATGCTGGGCTTGACATCACCTCACATAAATTTACTTCTTGCTCAGTGAGGAGGTATCAAGACGCCTGGATAGGTGATGACCAAGGGTGGAGACAAAAAGCCTTCTCAAGAGGACGAGCATCGCCCAGTTGGTGTGGATTTCCATTAAAAGAGGGCACAAAAGATGGTGGTGTCTTCCACTTACCGAATACAGCTGGATAATGATTTGATCATCTTCCTCTCCGTCGAGTGGGCCAAAAACGTGAGTAATAACCAACGGCTATTCCATTCAACTTCGTGGTTGTCTTCCTTTGCAGGACAAATTAATCCAACTACCTGAAGTGACGCTATGAAGATCCAGAGCCTCCTCCACCTTCCTGAGATTGTGCAATGCATCGTCTACGCTCCGTGATTCAGTCCCTGCGCCGATGGTGAATAAGAAAGTCTTCTTCTTACCTTCCTGCAACATCACAGGCCACGACGATCAAGCGACCACTGTGTACTTGCGGTCGCACGCATGTTTGAACGAATCACGCAGCCGCCGTCGCGTTCACTCATTCTGGTCCTGCCCTCCGACTACAAAACCGACCCAACCGCCATGTGAGGGCATTCATGACCATCAAGATCTTATGGGGGTCTCCATGTAGCAGGTGCACAAATCGAAGACTTTGTCCTCACTTCCTACCTGACCCAATAATACCCCTTTCAAACCGACCAACAGGAAGAGAGGCTCGACGGACACATGGTAATTATTCATCTCAGTGACTGCGATTGGTGACATGGAACTGATCAAAATTTAAGGATCTACAACTATGGAAGAAATCGTCTTTGTATGTGCTCATCTGTTGATTTAGCCGAATTATAAAAAAATCGACGTGTGGTAGGGGTAGAGTGGAGGGAGGTGCGAGTGATTGTCAGGCGACGCAATAACAAGGGACTGTCCATGGTGAGGGTGAGAACAATGATGAAGATGGAAGTGATCAGGAGTACTTAGCTAAGAAGGCCTTGTGGAAGTCCGCCAGGTCGGCCATCACTCGACGCATCACCGGAACCGAGGGCAGAATCGTCGTGCTGAAGGAATGTGAAGCAGGTGGTGAAAAATGGGCCATTTTTTGATTGGGACGACTCAAATCGCGCTTTCAGAGAGGTTTGTCCAGCTCCCCGCAAACCGGGGCATGCCCTCTTCCATATCGCCTCTCCAATAGCGCTATCAAATCACCAGAAAACTGACAGTTCCCTGTGGAATTTCCTCATGCCCAAATCAGTCACCGACTAATCGATAAGCATCAAAGTGCAACCGCAGACGGACTTCGAATGACCTTGGCTAGAGGACCACTAACACCTCCATGTGCACAACTGAAACGACACTCGTCTCGATTGCCCGCATGCGGGCACGCAGACAATCAAGTTTTATTGTGAAGAAGTAAAATAAATGTTACGATTTCACCACACATTTGCGTGGGTGCTTGACTAATCAGTCGGCTGGAAAAATGGAAATAGCCTTCCAAAAAACAAAAACACGCCCCTTCCATGTCAATCAAAAGAATGAAGGACCTTGACATGACTAATACAACAACTAGGTGAAAAAAATTGCTGCCTCAAAGTCGGTCTAACAAAGGAGAGGTAAACACGTAGAGAAAATTCGTCGGCAGAAACTAGGGTTTGCTAGGAGACCTATCGGCCCATCAATACTACTAGCAAAACATAAGTATCAGTAGGTAATATTAGCCAAGTCTATTTTAACCAATGATTCCGCCGTTCTTTTTACTATTTTGGCAAAAGAAGGCGCCAGACTGACACACCGCACCTATCGTTTGTGAAAACAGTCAGTGTGACTTGACGACCTTGTTATGCAATGCTGCAGGCAAAGGAGGCATGTGAGAGGTCCGCAATCAGCCTTAGGCGAGAATCAGACGCTCAGGCAGAGCTGAAGCCGAGATAAGCTAACCCAAGGTCTCAAATTATTCCCTTTTTCTTTGGAGGATCGATGTAATCCTTCATGGATGTCTCTTTTCTCGTCACGTACATAACTACCGTCAAGGCTGCGCATTGCATCAAGTGGATCACTTTGCTTCGTGCAGCTATTCGTCAAGCCCTTACAACTTCCAGTGAATGCTGTTTAGCTAAGAAATCAACACACATTATTTGCCTTTTTGGATGGATCCACGACAAAAGTTTATTTGAGCAGTGAAAGGAGGTAATGAACAACGTACCGAGAGTTCATCAGTGTAACTTCACTGTTGAATGGACCTTAACACCATTCGCCTGTTATGAGCACAGCCTAACAGTTCACCCGAGGCTGCTTGGAACATCGCATTATCGAGCTGCCATCAATCGACTATTTTCAGGATCACTAATGCCTTCACTATGACGTCAAGACAACTACCTCCATGCCACATCAAGTATGGATGCACGACCAGCTGGTGTTGAGGAAGTTGCGCTCTAATAAGTTTCGTTTCCCGAATTTCATTACTTTGCTCTGTCTTGGCGCCTTCAGAGAGGTTGCCTTCTCAGAAAACTCTGGGGTTACTAGGTCCACCGTGAGGCAAGGTACCGCATCATCGTCTAGTGGAAACCAAAACCTAGCTCTTCAAGAGTGACTTCTTGAATAAGCCTTCCAACTCCTCCTTCAAGTAGTCTACTAAACAGACCGCATCAGCCTAGCTTCAGCATACCATTTCAATGAATGGGCGACACCACATTCTAAATACCACATCTTTCTGCTAATCCGCTTTTTGTCTGGCGTTGCCTAACTGGCAGCTACTCATGAGGCGCAATCTGACCAATCATTTACTCTTCTCATTGCTCATCTCGACGCCTAGGTAAAACTACTTACAACCTCAATCCTAAATAAAAAAATCGACGGTTCAACGCACCTCACAGCCACTGCAAAGACGGCAAAACTGTTCCAGTCCGGGACATTTCAAGCTTACAGATGGAAGGGAGGGGGCAGGGCGTTGACAGTTGGTTGAAATCCCCACCAATCTGAGAGCAGTGGGACTGACTAGTGAACCAGTGGGAGCAGGTAAAATGCCGGAGTCACGTGGTATGAGAGGTGCATGCAGACAATTTTGTTGCCTCCGTCTCCCACGTCTTTGCCGTCGCCACGCTGGTGCTAGCATGCAGCTCTCTACTACCAAACTCTTGGCAAATCCGCAATCTGACAGTAAAGATAGTCACAGAGACATGTCTTGGAGTGTCTGGCAAAGGCGATTTAGGCGCTATCCCGGTCACAGCGTCGGGCTGAATATGTGGAGAATTGAACCGAAAAGGCTTTCAAAGCCATGTGGACTTTCTACAAGTTTTGTGCTTTGGAACGAGTCCAAAAGAGTAAAATGTGAACGCCTAATGCCCATTCATATTGTAAGATGTTGAAAACAGGTGAGACAGAAGGACGGGTAAAGTTAAAAATGGTAGTAAGCGGAAGGAATGAATGAAATAAAAGCGCAGCTTCTATCGGCTGCCCCATTTCAGGCAAGCATTCATTCACCGAAAGATGATTAGCGTGCAAACTACGCTCACCAGAGAACATTTTCTGGTAGTACCAAGTTTGCAAGCAGTGGACACATGATCGCGATTAACTGGTGTGAAATAATGAACAGAAGAGTGGCCACGGCGTGCGTAGGGCAGCGCTCAAAATAACACGCTAAACGGATCCCTTCAGTCTGCCGGTGTGCATTTATAACAATAAAACTATCACCAGATTCGTCTGCTTTGTGACGACTCCAGAGGTAGACAAACTGGAAGCCGTAAAAAAACCAAAGGACGATTGCTTTTCCGGACATACTTTAAATCGAGGGTGTTGTGCCTATGACGCACGAACTGTCACCTCTTACAGGCAGCAGTCTTGGCCCCATGAGGGAGGCTTGATGCTGTTGGGACCGATTGCCACGTTTTAAGAAGGATTTCATTTTAAGATCCACTTTCAAGGTTTTCGACATTCAAGCGCTTAAGACAACTGAAATATTTCATTCCAATGTCACATCAAAGCAAATCGTTAGGTTGATTAGAAACTGGGCAGTGCTTCTGAGGCAAAGTTGACCAAGAAAGGTGGTTGGTAGGGCGTTATTGCAAGCCCTGTCCAATTATTAACTAGCCAAATGCTGGAGCTTCGCAGTTTTCCATAGAAAACGGAACCGAAAGGTGGACTAATCAAACTCCTAGTCAGTGGATGTACTAGATGCTTTATAGCAAAGCAAAAAGGAGAATGAGAATGGACCTCGCTGAGTGGCAGGTGTGCCGTGAACTTAACAGGAAGCAACTCAGTCCACTAGGGTAAAGTTGATGAAGTAGCGTCCCTAAAAGTGATTTTATTCTGCGGTTCGAGATGAGAATATGTATTGGTCAATTATTCCCCCATCAAGTGATTCAGATCATGCTCCGTCAAAACATGAAGGATATCCTCATGAATCGATGACAGTCTCATGACTTAGGTTTGTCAAAAGCATATAACGTGGCTGATTGACAAGTATCAACGAGAATAAGGGATAGCCATTTGACCTAGACCTTAGTTCATCGTTTTGGACGGCCTACACTCCAGATTTATGGAAATCAAATTCCACAAAGTAGGATTTTTGAGCGAACCAACATGCGCCAATCCATGAGTTGTCAAGAGCGTGGAAGAGATCCACTGAAACAGTAGGAGTGGGTGAGGGAGAGAAAGGCGGCCAGACATCTCACCGAAAATGATAGGTGCCCGCTTTTTGACCGAATCCAGAGCCAGGCACGAAGCAGATGCCCTTTTCTTCCAGCAAGGAGAGGCAGTAAAAGAAGTCCGGCTCCATGCCCTTTTCCTGAAATAAAGAATAAAGCAGCCAATCGGGTGACTGCATGCACAACAGATGGATTAGTGGAAACAGTTGTTTTATCGTGTCAACGAATTCCACAACATACTTAACCTCGTATTGGGTGCAGGCTCAGGAACTAAAAGTGGGGGCTAGCAATTCCTCTCACAGATCCCTGAAGCACGATTGGGTACAAGATATTGCATATCTCCAGGACAATTTTGCAAAGCTAATCCCAGACTTGCATACCGCAGCGCCTTCTCGAGTACTTCTGAAGTCGCCCTGATGACAGCGCAGTATAATCTGCTCAAAATCTCCTACTTCTCGATTTCGTTCATACTTGAAAGTGGAATTCTCCCTAAGTGGACTGGGTAACTACCATAGAAGAGGGACACCTGCTACGAATCCCTGGGTTCGTGCAGAAGCGCAAATCCGCCCATAAGTAGAAAAGTTTACAAAAGTGAAGAAAAACAGTGAATAATGATTGAAATATGAACAACTGACGTCTACACACCTTGGAGACATATTTGAGAATAGCCCAGATAAGCACATGAACATAATCATCTGTGAAGTGAAATGATGGGTGGATGAATGATTAGGCAAAGGAACGGATGCTTGGGTGACTGCATTACCGTAAGCACGAATGAAAAGGGTAGACTGGCATAAAAATACACACCTTCGCGGCAGCAATAGCATTCGGAGGCAGTCGAATTTGAGGAAAAGCGTACATGGCCCCCTGTACGGCGTTGCATGTGACACCCTCCAGACTATTCAAAGTGTCTGTAGCCAGTTGAGCTTTCTCCTTCAAATCTGCCAACACCGAGTCCCGCTCGCGGATGTAGAGGTCGTAGGAGGGTTCGCTCGGCCTTGGAGGATCGCAGATCACCCCTATCATAACCTTGAGGGAGGGAAAAGCAGTGATTAACGATGGAGGGTAGAATTTCACGTCAGCTACTGAGATATAACTGGGTTGAAAGTGCGCAAATGTTCAGGAAATGTGGATTCCGTTAAAACCAATTAAGGGTGCATCCTCGCCTGAGCGCATCCACTCATTATGCCATCAACTAGTACAGGCAGTGATCATTCAGTCCCAACCTTCACCTCTCCTCATCGTACATATGTCGGCCCGCTCATCCACTACGCTAGGTAGGATATATCCCAGAATTAATCTCAATTCCACCCTAGATTTGTTTAGCCATCCCGAATGCACGACCTTATTCATTCATCTCTCCATCTATTAATCGGTTCATCTCTTCATTTATTTATCCATCCACACATTTAAGAACAAATCTATCCACCTCCCCTCGATCCAACTACCGCTCCATCTGCCCCAGTTTTGGAAATTAAAGAACTTTCATGCTGTCAGTGGTGATGTTAGTAGAATGTTATCTACCACTGGTTGTGGGTTAAAGGAATATGCTGAAACATCACGAGTTAGTGCCACATTCATAGCCCACATTTTGGAGGGCGGGTCAGCCTCGTGACTGACCTGGTTCAAGTGAATAACAGCAATTTGGCACAAGTTACAACTACAGTCTCAGGTTCATAATTGCAAATTGGGAGGAGTGGCTACCGACACAAACAACAGGTAACATACAGATGTCAATCCACCCAAGCACCTCTGCTACAGTCACCCAACTATTCACCTCCGATCCATTAAGCAAGCATTACTTAGCCTACCCACCCATCAACCTCTCCTGGCTAATCTATCCACTCACTCATCAATCCATTCATCCACCCATCCGTTATGAATTCACCCATCCAGCCATTTCTCACTGATCCCTTCGGGCATCCCCCGATCCATCCACTTTCCATCCGTAGACTCAAAATCCATCTACCCGTCTATCCGCACCGGATACACAATGATGTTTGACAGCAGGATTAACTATTTCTCAACAGACTAACAGGCCGTGGCTTTAATCGAAAGATTGAATGGTCATCTTTAACATTAATCATGAACAACCACCTGACAAAAGTTGGTAAATGGATGCTAAGACAATTCCCTTTGGACAGCTTTTCGGCACACCAAATTAGTGAGGATGAATTAGATATAATAAATCACCAAAGGCTTTGAGGTGCTTATAAAATGATAAGCCTTAAAAAACGCAGACTAACAACTAGGCGTGAGGCGCTCATCACTGACACGAGGTTGGGCGTTTTTGAAGTAAATTGGACTAGGGCTTGCATTAATAAAACAACCCAAATTTTATTACCTTGATTGCTAAATTTAGCCCAGAAGTGGTGGTTCATAGAACATTCTTTTGACAAAAAAGTTAAACTGAGGCAGTTTCTGCAACGACTCTGTTTAAACAAGCTTGAGGGATAATTTCGAACGTCTCGTATAAGCGACACATGACCTTTATCAGAGTATGATAATTGCTTGAACGAAATCGTGGCGCAGATTGGGTAAGTCCCAAATAATAAAGTGACTGAAAGGTATTCCTGGTGTGGAAAACAAATTACGGTCCTTGTCTTTCCAGTAGCCCATTAATTGGAGCACATCCTTTGTGCACTATGGTAATTAATCAGCTTCTCAGACTCCTGTCACGTGTGCTAATGGCATCTGAACAAAAAGTAAACCTTAAAATTAAAAGATAGCTAACTCGGTATAGTTATTCAAAACCAACCACAGTAAAAACGAGATGGAGGCGCTTATATGGGTATCAGTAGTACAAAACTAACTAACCTGACCCAAAACAGCGGGACAGAGTCGAGCAGAGAGATACTTGAAGAGCTGGGCTTGCACACCGGGATCAAAGTTGATCAACTCGCAGTAACCGCCACGGAAACCACATTCGCCCATGTAGCCCTTGCTAGCGGACATGAAGGAGGCAAGTTCCACGCTATCCGCATATTCAGGACCCATTTCATGAAGGACCTTCTTGAAGGACGTCCAAGGTGTAATTTCGGGATGATAGACGTTGAATTGATAGACCTCATCAGCTAATAGAACGAGATTGTGACGCTTCACAAAACGGATGATCTCCTAGAGGAAAACAACCAACCAATCAGCCAGTTCAACCGACCGACATTCAAAAGGGGTTAAAACACGAACTTGTTCAATCTAGTTTTATGAAAGCTACTGAATTTGATACCTGGGTTTTTGACGCATTCATTAGTTTAGGTCAACCGCCAATCTACGTGTGTGCTTGAGATAAATTGGATATGTTGATGAAGGGACAGGTAAATTGATGAACCACGAATAAGTAGAGTTATACTTACTTGGACGGACATGTCTTCTACTACCTAATTTCGTTTATTTTAACGACATTACCCACCCCCGCTTTGGCCGCAGCTCAGACCCACCCCTTACCTGGCACCCAATTAGTGCATCTTTCATCCAAATTTAAACTGATAACAGAGTAAAACCTTTCAAAACATTTACCAACGTTTAGCTTACTGGCAAATGTACTTTTGTCTTCACAATAATAGGTGGTAATTCAAATACAATAGAAAAAGCTCAAAAGAGGATTTAAAAGTGAAGTAACGGAACCATCGGAAAATTTCAAATCTGGCAAATCAGGTACTTCAAGCTGAAATTTGCCCAACCGATTCTCTACAGATTCAAGATTGAGTAGTTCGAGTATTACTCAAACTACTAAAGCAAAAAGTATCAGCCGCTATTCCATGCGCGGTTCGCTTGAAACAGAGGGTATCGGCATGATGGTTGGATAGATTGAGTAGGGGAAGGCTAACTTTATGGCATAAGGAAGAGATTAACAAATCAGGGGTGGATAGATGAATCTGAGGTGGCTGAGTAAGTGGTTTTAATGAAAATGGTTGACCGATGGATAGACGGGAGGATTTGCCAGTATTCCCACTTCAGTGCTACTCACTATCACATAGGTATCAATGTTTCACACGACTTGTGGCGTTCAGCATGTCAGTGTGAACAAGAATGGGTTGAAATCGCAGGCAAGAATTAATGATGAACTAACCTTACTTATGTAATGTAGCAACCTGCACATTTTCTCAAGAGCAGACTTGGGAGATGATCACAAGCAAAAATACAGTGATTTTCCATGATTCCAAAATTCAGATGTGTATCGGATGAGACATCGACTGAAGCTAAGCACTTAGTAAAGTTGGTTTTACATTACTTAATAAAAGAAAGGTAAGGTGTTTAAAGTATTAGCAATCAACCAGTAAATTATTCATAGACTTACCTCCATGCTTTGCCTAGAAATAACCTGGCCAGTGGGATTTCCAGGATTAATGACAACCAGCGCCCGCGGCTTGCACCTCCCCTTTGCTTCTGTCAAGGCCCTTTCGAGTTCAGTCACTTTCAAATCCCAGTTATTGTCTTCATCCAAATAGTAGTTTATCTGGCAGGCGTCGTACTCCGAAATAGTGGCCGAATAGAGTGGGTACTGTGGGATTGGAACCATTACACCAGCTCGATCTGGTCCGGGTTGCGAAGAGGAGAGAAGAAGCAGAACAGCCTATGTAAAAACACAAAAAGTGGTCTTGTCAAGCAATTAAATATGACAGTCTTAAAAGGCGCAAAGAAACAAACTTTGACAGCCTCGCTAGCACCATTTGAGAGAAAAATGTTAGCATGATTAGCGGGAATGCCATCTCGACACCGGATATACTCAGAAATTCGCTCACGAATAGAAGTCACTCCGATTGAAATGCTATACGAGCCTAAAACAAACACATTCGACCAAGAACTTCAAGAATTTTTAAAAATACATCTAACGCAGATCTTTTTTGAAGAAACGCACCAACACTTTTACCAGCACAACCGGCCAAAATGCTACGAGCGCGCGCTTTCGCATCCTCAGGAAAATTTGGATCTTCTAAGAGAGGAGGGTAGCTGCAGAGAGCAATGACTTGACGGAAGAATGTAATGGGTTTCTGACCCGTAGCGTGACAATCACCGATGTTGCATTTGACAACTTGTTGAAAGTTTTTCTTTTCCCCCAATTGCAACTCCCTTTCCAGTTCTTGAGAGCGGATAACAATGGGACCGCGAACAGCATACTCCATGTGAATCACATTGGGATTAATTGTTGCTAGGGTTAAAACGTGTTTCCCGCAACTCATGAGGCAAGCAGAAATGAGGGGTATAGAATGAGGCCAAAACGCTCGGTTATCGAGACTTTTATAATGTCACCGGGTCCGCTAAAACAACTAAAACAATATGAAACCATTGAATTTAAAAATAAGTTGCCTAGGTGGATTGCTATTTGGGCTTAGTTAAATCATTTAAAAATTTATCAAGTGTCGCTCCGTTTTCATAATTTTTGAGCAATAAATGAGCATTGTGCTTATACGTTTATATTTTCATATGTGTCCATAAGAGCGACTAAGTTTAATGTATGCTTTATCTAACTATTAGAAACAAGATAGACTCCTCTACTGATACTCGAGAATTATTCTAGCGATAAATGAATAGCCAACATAATTTTCCACAAAACGAAATTAGAAATATATTTCACTTTTCACTTTTACACGATTTGGATAGTGTGATCATTGACAGCTTTGTTGAACTTTAACCATTGTGAAATTTCTTTTACTATGCATTATATGTTATCTTTATCTAACCATTCTACCCCTTTCAGGAGTCTGAAACCGGGGCATAAGCTCCATCGTTTGGTTTACTCACGTCAGACGACAAAAGACATAACAGACCCTACGTGCACCACCTCAGAGCCTTAAATCCGTCTCTGTGACCATCTAGGTAATTATGGGCACCGATTTCTATTAGCGGACATTAGCCAGAGAACCCTTTTATTGCAGCCAAAAGATGGAATATACAGCAATGATTACGCAAGTAACCCACAAGATCCTTGAAGGCCTGCTTACCCCAGCCCTTTGCCAAGAGTAGAGAAATGGATAGACGTCCAGCTTAGAAACAGTGGTCATGTGTGTATTATGGTCAACAAACTCCGCAGTACGGACACCAACTTTCTCAGTGAACTTGTACGGTTCCTCTCTGAGGTGCTTGTGGCACTCAATCAAAACAACAGAAATGACCGACCACATGCAAAACCATTCTACCAGGATCGATCACTTCCCTCTCTAAAGGTAAATATGCCTTCGTTTTTCCTACCGTCTCTCATTCACTCCTCCAATCTCCAAACTAATTAGAAAGTCATTTGTGGAGTTACTGCTTTGAGTCTGGTGCGTCCAGGTCAATGGCAAGCAGCGGAACCTCCCATTCCCTTCGCCAAAAGGTTAAAATTGCCCCACCCATGTCCGCGACCAGTAGAAGAAAACGAGGTGATGGTGGACAAAAAATTTTATGTGAGGCATTACCAAAGACGCGGGTGGTGAGGTCTCTCATATGGCCAGAGCTTGCACGGACTTACAAATCGTGAAACCGATTTCCTAAGCAGCATTAAAGTAGTTCTGCTTTTCTCACAAAGCGTACGCTCTATCCACTAAACTTGTCCATCACCGAAGACAAGTGTCGGTGATGTCTGGAGTGTCCCATTTGAAGCCGCAGCAAAATCAATGACCAGCCTAGACGAAAGAACTTTGGAAGTTACCGGGTCAAGCACACAAATATATTCTCATGGGGAGGTGTTTAATCGGGCAAAAAAAGCACCGTCAAGAGTAAACCAATTTGACAACCGTCCAGTCGACGCGATTCACAAGATCATAAAATCCTCCATCTCACCATGGACACCACAGGCAGAAGTCTTCGGCCGTGCGCCGATTACGGAAGGTTAAACCCGACAATAGGGATGAATGCTCTTCCCTATCCCCACGATTAATGGGACTCCCCACGAGGGTCGAAGTTGTTCTCCACGTTGGATCTAAGATTGGGATACTGAGAAGTGATGGCAAAAGCGGATAGAAAAGGGGAGGTTTACCGATTGCGTAGCTGGAGGACTGCCCCTCCCCAATGCATACATCAGCACTCTAAAAGCCAGAAAACATCAATTCGAAATTTTGAGGGCTCTCAACACTGGATGACTGACAACTCAATGGGGAGTCAGCAAGGCGCAAGTTCTGTGGAATTTCAAGGGTCAATTTTTTGTTTCTACCATCTCTATTTCCTTATTGGAGAAAGCACGCACCACCACTGACTTTCCACGCTCTTCCCAGATTCCATGATCTTCTACCGTCACTTGAGTCCCAATTGTGCTGAACTAACATCTGTACTTGGATGAACAATTACCATGCGTGTTGTTTTCATGGTGAACCAATGCCTGCCCAATGCTACAAAAGAGGAGATTATTCCTTCCTACTTGATGAAGTAAGCAGTATTTCCATTGAGAAATATGGAACCATTCTACAGATATCTGAGCTTTCACAAAATACAATGCGTCGGTTGTTTGGTTAGCTCTCGGTTTCGGTAAATGGGCCGCTTAGGTGCCCTGCCATCGTACCTTCCCCGGGTGGGCAAACCTCAGGTAAATGCCAATGGCCCCTAAGCCCATCTATGGGTCGACAGAACATATTCCGCCCGAGTATTATGGCCTCCTTCATCCTCAAAAAAATTCAGGGAATTGTAAAAATCTCATCGGTTGTAAAATAAAAAAACTACTACCATTGGATTGATGAAGGCTAAAATTATGCACTTCGCCTGCTCCAAAGTTGCACAACATGAAAATGCAACTCAGTAGTGTAGAAACTGAAATAATATGAGAAATCTCAGAAATATGTATATTTGCGTACTTAACAAGTAACTTGCGAAGTTCTTTTCCCTTGCTGTCGGTAGCATGAATAAGCTGCGCGCCGAGGCAATCCAAGTTACTCAGGAGTGACTGCGGCCCTGAAGGGGATGTTGAAAATGTCATCGATGTCTGCCTCGGTAGCGAAAGGGCTGCACTGGCTTCAGTGTCTTGGCAGGTAGAGAAGGTACCCTCCACTGCGTGAACGTCCTTCCAGTTCGTCTGGGACTTGCGACAATGAACGGAGCCATTTGGGAGCGAACAGAGAAGGAAAAATGACGGGTTATCCGACTGTGGGGTATAACGTGGAGGACCACGACATGGGGATGTCAGATTTGGACGCCTTTTGCAGATGTTGTACTATGGGACCGTAAGCAACCCCTGACGTTTCATGGTTGCAAACTTGGCCGGTTGACTGAGGGAATTGGTACTCGGGTTACAGAGTTCCTCAACCATAATGAGTGGTCAAACTCAGTGTCTGAACCGAACGGTCATTCATCCAGAAACCCTGCATGGAAGTGAGCCAAGGAAGGCCGGATGTGCTAGAAGTTTGAGGTCTCTCGCGTACTCGTCGCCGTCATAGCTTACCTTTTGGCAGCTATGAAAGAAGTATCTAGCTAATGGCTACTTTTCCTGGTCGATGGTGAATCGGCATTGGGTAGCGTAGCGTTTTTTGGGGAAGAGCATGGAGAACCTAGAGTGTCCCCTGGCTTCGGAGCTACAGCCAAAGGTTAGATTTGGCCCCTTTGGGCCACTCTTCAAAATCCATACCTTTCTTGAAGGGAGGGAGCTCCGCCACCGCAGCCATCAGTATAAGTTTCAGCGTTTATCCCTTACGCCATGGCCTTCACTAACTCAAGACGAGCAGACTAGCTAGGTAGATGCGATTTCACTAGCGACATTTAAGGTAGGGAACAGATATTGGAAGCATGAACAGTTACAAGAATTTCCAGCTTTGTGCTTTTATGACAAACGTCCCCTTGAGAGGGTAGCGCCCATTGAAAACTCCCCGTCCGAAAGGTGCATTCAAACAAAAGTGCGCCATCGAAACGATTAAAGCCTCTCTCAACTTTTAGTTTGCGTAACGTAAAACAAAATAGAGATCTTTACTAAAAAGACCAAAAACTTTGCGCAGCAATGGAAGAAAAGGAAAAGACTTACAGTTAGAATTCATTCAATCAATTTAAGAGATTGGTACAGAGTGCTTAAAATTCATCAAAACTAATAATTTGTGTACGTTCAAGTATTCCTTCAAATCCCTTTTTTCGTCACCCACTAACATGAGGGTTTCTATTTGGTAACCTAAATACGGCATTTTTGAGCAAACTGATGCAAATTTATTACATTTAAATTTGTTGATTAAACGAGACTGTGAGAATTGCTGATTTATTCTATCCGGTAGTATTTATTACCTACGAAATCACTGTTATTGAATGATGCTATCAGTTTGTATCTATCATGAGGTAAAAAGGAAACATAGATGTGATTGCGAACATAAGGTTTATCATACTCACCGTGTGCTTGAAACCGCAATGTTAGCCGAGTTTGCGGTTGTTTGTTGTAAATTAATGTGCTCAAGTATTGTTACTTCTATAGGGTGAGGTTTGTGCATTTGGCGACAGACATGGTTCGCAAGAACTAAATTTGTAATGGGTGGAAATGGAGATGAAGATACGCAAAAATAGAGAATAGGAGGAGAGGAATTAGATAAGCAGGGAAACATTTCTCACTCATCTTGTGATTTCGCGGCTCAACAGAGGAACCGATGTATCACAATTTGAGTTGGAATCGTAATGAGCAGGATGTTCTCTCTGTTGAGCAATAGCCGTCTCCTCCACCGACCCACCATGCATCAACGATGTGGTTCAACAATACTTGTTTAATGAAATAAGAAGAGTGGACTCCCACCGCACTATTGACTTGGTTGCCATTATCCCACCATCACCTTGTCGTCTTCATCACCGTAAGCTGCAACTCTGCTTGAGCAAGATCGCAATCATCCATCCACCAAAATGAGATCTCCTTCCCGATTTCCTTTCCCCCTAGTTGCATTTAGGAACTCAGTTCCTATAAATGCTTGCTTCTGGAGTGCTATCACTACTAAAATTTGCCTCTTTTGTATCAAGTTATCTTCTGAACGATGAAGTTGCCCCTTTCATCAAGTGCATGCAATCCCAGGCGGTGCATGCGCTTACTAACCCTTACCTCTCCCTGTGCGTCCAGTCAGTGCTCACAACTCCATCCAAATCTTTTTCACTCCCCGAGTTGACACTGCACGCTCACCCCTTCCGTCTCCGGCTGCAATTACATCACAGATTCTATGGATCTACCACAAGACCTCCCACACATTTCGCTGGATTTATCACATAGGGCGAATCTCCACCGGGTACTTATATTTCATAGACACAACCTACTAGGAAAGGAGGATTGCAGTGATTGCGAAATCGCCATGCTATATCCTCTCTTCTTGGTGCGGAGGGCACGCACGTCTCCTGATTTTCATGCGCAAGACAAAAGACATTTGAGAGCCGCCGTTGTCAGGTCTACACTGTGTCAACAAGTAGCCACGATCAAACTGTTCGTCAGGTGGAGAGCGCGGAGATTAGACTGAACCACAAACGTTCGCCTATCTAGTGACACTTCTGTCCAATAACTCGCAGAACATATCTTGGGGTAAGTATTATCATTAACAATTATTACCAGTGGCAAAAAGTACTTAATCGACAGAGAAAAGATGGGCAAAGGAAGACCCACACTATCTAGTAATCAAATAAGGCTGACATCCAAATTGGCAGCTACACCGGTTGGAAGAAGAGGATCACTGGAGGACCTCTTCACACCTCCACGCACTGCTACGAGGAGATGACGACGCCGTCCACGTTGATGTCGATGCCCATTGCGGTCGCCGCGGCGCTGAAGCGAGACGGCAGCAGTGCCACTACTTTTGGCGTAGGTGGTGGTGGTGGTGACAGAGACACTGCTGAAGCATCCAGGCATCATGAAGGGCTGTAGTTCGAGTGGGAGGAGCTGTCGGACATTTGCTGCTCGACGAAGAATAAGGTCGCGAGCAAGGACACCTCCACCACGATGTGGATGAGAACAGTGGGAAAAACCGTCGATGTCATCGTCATTTTCGCTGTCGTGGTGAACTATGAGACAGTCGTTGCTTAGAGAACGTGGACGACCGACATCTGTGGAAGGCGAGGAAAAACGAGAAGTTACCGAGCCCGTCCACTTATCCATCCCAGACCCAATAATTTATTCCATGGATCCATGCATAATCCAACCGCCTCGAAATAATCTATCAACTACGAATACTTCTAACCATCCTCGATTTCCAAATCTACCAAAGATTCACTTATGCCTATGGACCGGATCATATCAGGTCAGCTTTTTTATTCTCAAACCATCTATCCATCCATACACGCATTCATTCATCGTCCTGGATTAAGCTTGGGGTGATAACTTACCAAGCCAAAGATCTGCAGGGATCAGAAGTGAGCCGCTTTGTGGTTCGCCATTCACCATATTGCCTTCTACCTCGTCTGGAAATTCGCTATCAAATGTTCCATCGTCAGTCAATTGATCGTCATCGATTTGTGAGGTGACCGTGGTAACAGTTCCACTGTCGAAGCCTTGAAGACGTCGAAGAAGGCTGTGAGAGTTGACGTAATCCCCGCGTTTGGGAGTTCGTATATATCGATGCACCGACGGTGGTTGTAGTGGTGGCGGTGGTGGTGGTGGTGGTGGGAGAAGTAGAATAGTTTTTCCAGGTGGTGCCTCGTTGTGGCGATTGGAGCTTGATGGGTCTAGAAGGCAAGGCTATGTGAAGCAATGGATTTATCCGACCATTGAGACATCCGAAGATCGACCTAATCAACCACATCGAAAGCTCCACAATTTTATCAGCGACCAATAAAGTGAGGTCGATGGTGAACACCATTCAGGCGTTTTCTTAAACTTCTAAAGATCCTAAAAACCACCCGAAAGCCTTTTCAAACCTCTTGCAATTCTCCGAACCTTTAATTACTAACAAGGAAACCAAAAGCGGCCTCAACTAAGATTCCACTTCATAAAAGCTGGGAGATTATATGAGGTCTCCCAGGCGGTTTGGAGGGGCAAAGAGGACGAAACTTCAATCGGCAGCAGACCAACCTTCCGAACTAGAAGCTGAAGGCGATGACTGCGTCCGCAACGACAGCGCAGACTGCCACCCCATAGCGTGTAGACGTTGACATATTCGACGCGCTTCATCCACGATGTGCGCGTTGAGACGGAGGTGTCGTTGGTAAGGGTTATCGACTTTACGAGGATGCAGTCCTCCGTGTCGATGACCACGCACATCCCGCGGCCGCCAACCACTGTATTGCGGTGTCGGACGCAGTGGCGTGCGATTGGTTGGCGCAACTGACGAGTAGGCGTTCTCCAAATTATCGTATTCGGCCCTGAGGAGGGAGGAGGAGATTTTGGAAGCTAGCTAAGCAACGCACAACACTCAAGCAGTATGGTGACCTATTTAGTCAGGAAAGAAGTTCCGTCCTGACAGGCAACATTAATCTACCCCTGATCACAGATTCCAGCTAGTCAGTCAATCATGTGACGCGTGGAAGGTAAACTTGAATAGAGCAGAGCTGGAGTGAATTAAACTGGGGCCAAGACAACGATGGGTGAACTGAGAATAGCTGTAGTGACTTTAATGGATCGAGAAGGGAATTGAAATACGTTCAAGCAGCCAGAACTCACATATCCAGTCCATCAGTGACGATCATTGTTGGGGCGTTGTTACGAGGAGGAGAAGGGGGGCAGGTAAGGTCCACCAGGAGGGGTGGAGAGGGTGATTTGACGATTTCCTTGTTTGCAGATACAGAGAGTGGTGGATGCAGATTAGCTGCTGCGGCGAAGTTGGGCAGACGGACTGGAGCTATGTCAGGCAGACGACGTCCTTGTCTGTGATGATTGCTCGATTGATTGGTGAGGGGGAAGTAGGCAGGGGGGAGGAAGACGGAGTCGTCGCCTTCTTCGTCGTTGATATCACCATCACCAGCTGGGTCGCTTGTGTAGGTGGGATGCTAAGTGGATGGATGGAAGGGAAGATCTGCGATATGACCATCCTCCGACCTGTCCAACCATTTTGACGCCTCCGCTCATTCAGACAGATATCCACCAACTAGACCATCCATTTACCTATCCACCTACCTGACCATCAATTAATCCCACCATTAAGTCCACTCAATTGAATGTCCATTCTTCCAGATGCTAATCTACCCAATCACAGCAACCCACTGACCTATTTGACAGTCGACTCAATCGTCCATTCTACCTATCCTTCCAACTATCAAACTTCAGTTAGTCCAGGGACCCACTCAAACATTCAAACACCTACCCTAATCCATCAACCGTCCGTTTATCCAAATAATGAACTCTCACTGCATCCAAGGAATTACCCATCCATTCATCAACCATTCTGTCGATTCAACCATCCACGCGATCATTTATGCATTCATTCACCCACCCACCTATCCAGCATTCCTTGTGCTACCCATCCATTCAATCGCGCTCCTGCCCATCAACCAATCTAGCCACCCTTCAGCCCGACCATCCATTCAGCCATCCACCGACACAACCATATTCTACCAGCTCAAAAGCTCTTACGATGTGAGTAGAAGAAGAGACCTCCTCATCACCACCAGTGACAACAGCAGCGACGGCAGCAGAGGACGAGAACTCCGAGAAATCGTCTTCCAGTGGACCTCCAGTCTCTACCAGCAGGGAGTCACTCATTTTCGGTGTCTTCGATGGCACGCCATCAACTCGACCACCACCCTCGGTGGAAGTCATCCAAGAAGTGTCCATCAACAGAGGAACGTCACCGGACTCTGCATGTGTCAAATTGTTTGCCATCTCGGCTTCCAAGTCATCTTCCTCTTCGTCGTCGTTGACGCTGAAGTCGGTTATTCCAGCTTCAACTATGACGGAGAAAGGAGGCTGATAATTCTCTGAAGCTATCGTTGGACGAATATGGGACAAAGTCACATTTGTTGTCTAGCAGAGTCGATCTTTTGAATGACCAAACTGGTAAGAAATTTGAAGGATTGGAATGGATTCTACCATTGAAAACACCTCCAGACTCTCGTAACATCTCCGCTTCCCTCCCGCTTGGAACAGAACTTTCGATAACATCCCACACTTAATACCGTCTGCTTCATCGTATCATAAGTTATTATTCTAAAAAATTTAGAATAAACCATTTCTCTGTAGACTAACCATGCCACAATTTAACAATTAATCACCACCCAACCAATCACGAGTCTGGAAGTGACGAACCAATCAGAAGGGAGGAGGCAATGAAGAGACAAAAAACGGAGCTTACATTCATAGTCGCAGGCAACGGAAGGAACAACACAGATGCTCAGCAAATCCATTGACGTGGAGTCCTTGTCGTTCAGCTAAAAATTAAACAAGGGAAAAGGGCATTAGCGTTCCAACGTCTCAACTAGCCTAATTTAGGCACGCACAAGGTTTCAAAGCCAAACAAAAGTTATTGCTCACATAAATTAAAAAAGCGTGTTTAAATATAAAATTATTCTTTTAAAGTTGGGAAAATCTACAAGAGGAGTTAGCCAACTAAAAACAAAATAAATGAATTATTACATAGAATTGATGTGATTGGCTAACGGGAGAATTGAAAGGAATGCCTATCAAGCGGTCAACCAATCAGCAAAATCAACCTTTACAGAAGTCCTCCTCTGAACTTCACCATTGCCACTTGCAAAAGCAGTGGCGCCAACAACAATTGGAGGATTGTAGAGTGTTTGACGTGGATTGGAAGGTGGTGTGGAAGGACGTCGGTAGTTTGGAAAGTTGGATCCGCTACTGTAGGAAAAAGAAACGGGCGAATCCATCATGAAATTAATCTCTTTCAATCAAAACGGATTTTCGAGGTTAGAAGATACACGAATAAATTTTAAGGCGAAAAATAAAACCTGGTTTTCCCCTACCCACAAGTTGACACCCCGAGAAGAGAAAGATTTGCCACTACCACTGAACCACCTTAGAACAGCCTACTTTACTTCTATTCTGGTAAGAAGTGATCATGAGCGACTGAGTTTTCCATTACTGTCACAGAAAGATTCGCACCTCACCCCATTTTATCACTTCACTGGCCATGCTTTAATCGGGCGTCCAGGAATAACTGCTGAGGCTGGTTGGCTAGGGTTCACCACCATTGCCTCTGGGAGAAGCACATACAACCCTATCGCTCCTGGATACCAAGCCTATCATTGCCACACAGCACTAAACTTGGAGTCTTCTCCGAATACAAGTGTTCACAGATTTTATGCCTCCAGGTATCAGAAACCTCCTCCAGCCTCAGACGCTGCCACTGTTACCCACCATCCTCAGTAACAGTGTGGAGACTGATTCACACACGCCAGGTGCACCAAAGATTAAAATGAGGGGGAAAATTCACTCACGAGATAACCGAGGCACTAAAGTCTCCCAACATTGGAGCTCGTTGAATCCATTCTACACCAGCGTCTAGACAACCACTTGGCATCTCGTCTCCTGACTGTTTGACACCATCAATGATATTTCCATTAACCTCCTCCACCTCCTCATCCTCATCATCATAGTACTCGTTGTCAGTGTAGAGAGGGTTGCTATGGTGATGATGCGTGTTGGCCGTGGTTGTAGGTGATGCAGAGGAAAGGCTGGTGACTGCCTCACTTTGCAAGGCTTCTACACGCTCACAGGTGCCTTCAAGAGCGAGAAAGACATTGTCCGAAGAGGTGATTGAAGTTGCAGCAACGTCGATTGTAGTTTTGGGGGGCTCAAATATCGGCTGAAACAGAGAGGACTGTAGAAGGGGGGCAGTAGAATGGAAAAAAAGCCCTCAAATAAGCTGAGGAATTAAAAGCGTCTCTGACGCCTTCCGTAGAAGTATCAACAGTACTTAAATCTCTCTGTATCACCTGGTGATTTTGATGGTTGGCATAGCCACTGGAGTCCTTAGTGACGCAGTAAGGAGAAGCTGTTGCACTGCTCCCTACCAATCTAGTCGTGGGCTGAGCATAACCGTTGACAATCTCCACCTCGGCCATAGCGAAACAGGCTGCAAAAAAAAAATGAACCCTAATGAAGTAGGTGAACATTTCAAAATGAGTTGGTGAGGTTCTCGGAGGGGGGAGATGACGGGGTGCAGCCTGACACACTATCAACTCGTTACCTCTATCAACGTTGTCCCCGTCTTTAGGGCCATCCGAGGACACGGATTTTTGAGCCCATCTAGAGGGAGGAGAGGAGTGACGCGGTGGTAGGAGGGGCGAGGACAGTTTACGATCCCGTCGTGGCTGGAAAGGACGAGGAGCAAGGATACAATCCCCGTGTAAAACCAATTCAGTAATTGGAGGTTCCAATTCACTCACCAAAAGTGGAGAACTATGATTTTGGTATCGCGCCTCGCCCACCGCGTAATTTCGTTTATGTGGTGGTGGTGGAGGTGGTGGTGGGGGTGAAGAATTCGAATTAACCAATGAGGATGCAGACCGAGGATGCTCCAAGTTTGGCGGTGTCGCAAGTGGCTTTTTTGACTACAGTGGAGAAATTTTAAAAAAGATGTGTATTACTTTACTAGCGATGGCTTTAGAGGTACTTCAGTCATCCACAACTTACTCTATTTCGAAACACAGGTGGTTGAATAGCAGTGCTAAGAACCGGCCTCATAGCAGCGATCAAATGTGGGATGTGCTGGATTTCCGTGGACCAGAGAAACACGTCGCTAGCACTGGTACTGCCTCCACCGCCGTTCACACCAATTGGCTGCGCTCCGACCAACGATTCGGTACCCCAACGGGCAGTGAAATCGGCGGATGCAAGGAGGAGCGATCTATCTATCGGGGCAGGAGGAGTGGCGTTGGCAAGGCGGAGGGCAAAATCGAGGGTTTCGTGAAGGAGAAGAAACTGAGGACCGTCAACTACACCGCTCACCGTGGCGCCGATGTGAAGGCCTGGAAAGGAAAAAAGTCATGTAGGGGTCTGATGTGCTGAGATTGAAGCACCCGAATAAATGATCAAATCCTTCATTCCCATCAGTGAAAAGAAATGGCATTTGTATTCCATCACCTCAAATGATCACAAAGTTATTCTAAATCTTGGAAGATCGGGTTCAGGTGCATGATTACCAAGTGTTACACGGAATCGAATCAAAGGACGCACCAATTTGTAGACGACATGCGAGGGCCTCATCTCCACTCCGGAACTCTTCACTAGACTTTTGAAGACACTGACTCTCCAGTTCTTCGAACAGCTGGATGAGGAAGGCAGCGAAGAGACCTAGTTGCGACGGTGAATCCTTTGAATCCTGCAAGAGGGAAAAGATATATTGAAACGCGAGTTCAACTGATCTGTTACAGCTGGACGTGATTTACTCGACCAAACTTAAATGGACACGTCAAAACGGATACATCGGACTCTAGTGGGCAGGTCAACGAATACATGGTGAGTTTTTTTTCGAGTGATGGTGAAAACTAGTCTTCAAATCAACATAACTTCCAAAAGTGAGGCGTTCGACCACCAAAGTGCTACTTATGGCAGTTATAAGTAGCAAGAGAAAACCTACCGCATCAAGAAGTGCGTAGGCCACACAGTTTCCCACCGAATGGACCTTGACAAGAGGGAGAGAAGGTTTTGACAGTGACTTAATGATTCTATTCACCGCATTTCCCATCATTTCTGCGTCACCACCACAAGCCATTTGGTCGATGAGACAAATGCGACGGTTAAGTCGACGAACAGCGTCTGCAATCACCGTTGCCTCGCGCGATCGACGACTAGCAGTGGAGGAGGAGGAGGAGGAGGCGGTGGCAGTGGTGGTTATAGATTGGCTCAACGCAGCACTTCGAATTGGCGACCGTTGATACTGAAGCATATCATCACCTTTGCCTGCGATGCCAGGATTCAAAACACGTGAATAAAGGCCTCTTGACAAAATAGCACGCAGCACATATCCACCCGTACCTGTGCCGTGGATAGCAACAGCAATTACAGCGGTAGCGAGATGTTCTCGAGGTGGGAACATATCAGAAAGGCTTGAGGGATATGTACAGGACTCCGCAAGAGTGTTGGTGGGTTCTGTTGGCAAGTGAGCACGAGGAATTTGATTGTCCAATAAGTGCTCTAGTGCAAAACGACGGCCGATTAGATCCACCTTTTGCTCTAGCAGCTGTAAACAATGAGAGCAGAATGTCAACACGAATGAGTAAGACATAGGAGTTGGACCGACTACAGAGGAACAGCAGTCTTGCCAAAATTTCAGCCATGGAAGACCCACGGCAGAAGGGCTTTTGAATACTCACTGACATTTAGTGCTCACCCCTACATTGTAGGCTTACACAATTAAAAGGGGGAAAGATGCTTGGCTTACAATTTTAACCCACTGTTCAGTCCAATGATGCAGTTTTGCGGTTTGCCATGGCAGCAAACAAACAAGAAGAACGAATACGAGATGAGCTGCCAAGGAATTGGGTAGCAAGGTCGTCCAGAAAAACGTCGAACTGGAAAAAAAGAACGGGAAGAGAGAGAAAGGAGAGTTTGGCATGAAACAAGACTTAATTCATAATTTACGCAAATCGTGAATATATCAAGAAAATGTGATCAAAAGAAAGTAACACATACTACTAATAAGGCCTACTTATTAACTAATTAACCAATAAATATCGGGAAAGAAAAGTGGACTTTAAAGTTAACCGGTACTGGGACTGGAGTAAGTAGCAATGCCACCACAAACTCACCTGCTGTTGGAAGGCGGAGCAGGAAGATGGATGAAACGGGTGGTAGCGAAGGTGATATGAAGGCCGGAGAAAATTCCAGCAATGATGGCACTATTGAGAGGTGTTGGCGGAACAGAGGGTGTCAGGGTGAGTAGTAGGAGGAGACTGAGACAGGCCAGTACAGTGGTGGTGCTCAACTGTGGTGTGCGTTGCCATGGTGTTGTGAATTCGCTAACGGGTTGCTGTACTTCGAAGGAGACAAACATCTGAAGGGAAAAAGAGGAAACATAGATTCGACTTACTAGGTGAGGTGGCATAAATTGCAGGAAGTGTCTTCTGACTTAATGACGCTTCCAAAACGACGGCTAGTGAAAACTGGTGGCAAATCGTCAATGATGTCAAGCAGGAAGCTGCATGCGATTACGCCATGTGCTGCACGAGGGGCAGACCTGACCCGAGATGAGCTGAAATGGGCTATGTGGGGGCAGGATACATCCAACCGCTCATCTCAAAATGCTCGTTCATAAGTATTTACAAGGCTGGGCAAACATTAACATTTCGGTCGTGATGCATTCACCACTGGCGTCGCGTAAATGTTACGGTGGGATTTCCCTCCATACGTTCGACGCTGGAAATGCGCGGTATGGGCCCTACACCAATTTATTATCACCGTTTACACCGACCCAGGCACCACACCCGAAATGATTGTAGGATCTCCTTGGTCTGCGAATAGTTGCATACCCTTCCAGTTTTTCGGTAGTACATTAGGAGGGTAAAACACCTAGACCGCGTCAATTTGGTTTCGGGAGTTTGTCTGTCCTACCGCCGGTCATTTGGGATTTTAAGCGCCAACTTTAGTAAACGAAATTATTTGGTTAAATAAAGCATAAGTAGATTATGCGAAGGTAGGAATTTGCCAATTCCTGAATTTGATGATTCAGCTGGATTCAGTGGGCGTAAACAAAAGGCTTAACTTTTCTGGCCATCTTTTGTGGTTGCGTGCGCCGGCTTTTTATTGTTTGCGAATTCAGCTATCCTCCTATTGAACCGTATGCATAGTTAAAAAAAGGCATCTATGCATTATAAGCATTATTTTTACCATTTAAATACAACTACTACAAATAGGGCAGGTGGTACTACTCACTTCCAACTTAAGTAGCAGACTGACTAATTTTATTTAACCGACACCAAACTGCTTTGATCAACTTGTACCGGTGACCTATAGCAATTAAGGCACTATCAGGTAGAAATCTGCATGTGCAGCGTCAGCGTTAACAGGCACCTCATCAACGTCACAAATATGTGACAAGGAACTAATCGTAGGCTAGGGCGTCCAATCTGGCGTTGTAACTTTAATATTGGACACGCACACCCCGTCCTCCTCCTCCTTCCATTACGTCCGATTAAAACTGATGCCGTTGGAACAGAGAGGGGATATTGACATTCGTAAACAGAAGTGTCAGATTGGCTTGAATCACTGACTTTCATAGCTAAGACAGTGAAGTTTGCAGTTTGACAAGTTCACAGCGAAGTAAAAATGGCAGTACACACATTGACAGCGCCCCTTTCGCTTGTTCTGAAGTCAAACGAATCATCCACTGCATTGACAGTTCAATGGACGATATAATATTAACTTTATCAAAAAATAAGTTATGCAATCCTCTCTGCGCTTACTCCATCTCAATTATTTTTTTTTGTCTCAAAACGTATTCAATGCAATCTTCCCGACAATCTTTGATCACATAAAAAGAGCGCAACAGCAGAACTCCCCGACAATGCATGCTCCTCTCCTCCCTTCCGCTGCACAGCTCCCCTTAGCTCGTCCGCGTTACCTACCGCTGCCGGCGTGTCATCAGGTCAGCTCTGTCTTTCGCGTAGTACGTGGCTGACCAGTTGACGACTGCGTGGTTGATCAACGAAAAGTGGGAATTTGTCACGCAAATCATCGGACCAAGGAGCCAGACTACGCTACGGCACATTCGTTGACGTTTCGAACTGCAGCTTCCATAAAGAAGAGATCCACACCGGAAAATAAACCACACTGTCGCCTTGAACCGATCGGATAGGCGTTTGAATCGAAGATGGTCAGTAAAAAGTGATATCCTAGGAATAGATCTAACATGGAGAGGAAATAGCACAAGGGCTTCTGAGGCCAGACCATTGTGCATCCCGATTATAGCGTATTCAGTAGACGAGACAATGAACAAATTCCGTGTCTACTTCTAGGGTTAGGAAATCAGCCAGGCCCCCCTGCAGACGCTGAGTCAGACATGTCAAAAAGGGTAAATAGTCATGCCTTTTGACAAGTGAGGCACACACATTCCGAAATGTAGGCGTGATGATTCGTTTCCCCTCAACCTCACCAAACACATCCACATTTGGGGAGATTAAAACGAATCCCCTCTAGTGGCCGGTCGCATTCGATCGGTGGAAGGCGATTCGACTAGATGTGCACACGTGGGAGGGATCACAGCCCAGTTGTACGATTGTGAAAAGTGCCATCAGGGAAATATGGAGAATGGGGCTGAGGTAAGTGTCCCTCTTCCATCCTCCCTTTCTCTTTCAAACTGGCCAACTGGTTTTGGCTGTTTCACAACCATGAATTTCTTTGCGTGCGGAGGAGACAAATTTCAGTGGCAATCGTTTGATCCTTAGGAAACAAACAACTCCGTCTCCAGTTCACCGCACACGCGGGTACAACGTCTGTATGCGTGACCCAGAAGTGTGGGGTGGGGCGGTGCGGGTAGGGACACTGTTGGTTGGGCTTAACCAGTTAAAACAAATCATTGTACCAAGCCGCACCGGCTATCGCACGAGGTTTTTTTTTTCAACCAACTTTGTTTTTAGGCACATGGGCCTACGATTGGAATGCGGGAGGTGCTAGTTGCAGAGCACAGATTCAGTTGTAAACAACAATAACTGAATAAACAAATTCTGTGCACTTAACCGCCAAAGAACGTGACGGACAAAATCCCTCGGAATCAACGATATAAATCACCCCCGGTTGAATTTAAATGGCTTATTACAGCGACAAAGATGTCACAATGTGGGATGACGATGATGAATAGATCCGAGGATGGCGAGGGGTGTGCAGAGGAATGATTTACTGCCAGCGCGTAGACCTTTCTAGTCTTCCGCACTTCGACTTCCGGGCCAGTGGTAGGACTCCATCTGTCAGTGGTCTCCTTCAAATGAAAGTGCTTCCATAAACCTACTCAAACTTAAAAGTGACTTCCATTTCTCGTACAATGAGTGAATAAAAGTGTCAACAGTGAGAGGAAAAAATAACCGGGAAGAACGAAACAGATGGCACAACAAATAGGCTCATGGGTTCTAAGTTCCATTGTACCAACATCGCCGACTTCTCATTCCCAACATTTGTGGTTCGTTTGGTCCTCCGGCCACACCTACAGCCTCTTAGCCCTTCCTGTACAAGTGTGACATGACACCTTCGGGAGTAACTCGCAATTCAACGTGTTCCCTTATTAGGGAACGAAGGAGAAAGCAATTCAGAAAACCACCACCAACTGCTTACTAATCCAACGGTTGTAGACTGTTCAACCGCCTCAGGAGGACCGAAATTATCTCCAGTAAACGAGGAGAAGATTCGTTGCAGACAAATCAGGTGCCTACATGATGAAAAAAGGCAGGAGGAAAATGGAATAAGTCGCTGATAACGCAGCTGCAGTCCTAATGGCATCACTATAGCAATGCTGGTACCTGCGCATCCAGCCAGGTGATTCAGCAGAGAGCGGAAATGGAAAAGAAACGACTCCAGCTGAAATGCCACCTCTTGGGGGGGAGGGAGGGGATGTTCAAATTCATGGCTTACTTCAAGGTGTACGCGGGAAGAAAGTGGGCCTCCAATTTTGGAAATAGAAAAAAAAAAACACCGTCATAGAGGAGAATGCTTTTTGTTACTGACGATGAGGGAAAGAAGCGTTCGTTTTGTATTTTAACTAAATGCCGGAAGAGGAAAGGAGAAATGAAAGGAGCTTTTGTTTGGCGAGAATTAGCCGAGATCAAATCAAACATTGCATGGGATATGGAGGCGCCTCCATCCATTCCGTACGACAATCCATCATTCTAGTCCATACAATCTGATGCATCCGGCTAAGGAGACGTTAATTCACCCCACCATGCCTCAATCGAACCGACTGCCCATCCATCCACCGCCAGAACTACTCACCCCTGCAACTATTGAAACATTAATCTACCTTCCTCACGAAGCATCCATTCATTCATCCATTGATCTGCGAACCGCTTCATTTATCTACTTATTCAATCAACCACCCAAATACCCGTCAATCCAATCATCCACTGATTCATCCATTCCATCAACTGTCCACTCATGAACCTACTCACCTATCCTTTCGTTCATCAATCTACTCATTCTCCCGTATCCATCCAGCCATCCATCATTCCTTCTATCCCATTATTAGTTTTCCCAGCCATTCATCAAACCACCCATCCATCCACCCATCCCTTCAATCCTGGCACCTTTTCTCAGGCCAGAAAATGGGCAATTTGAGAATATCCGGGACAGTTAGAATGAAGTGAAATGATGACTAATGGCTCCACTTGCACCTTCGTCGTGAGATGCAATATTTATCATTTGAGAGACTGCATTTTAGCCATTAATCAACGGGCGAACGAATTAAGGGACGAGGATTTTATACTTGTAAGAGGGGAAGCAACTGGTCTTGTAAAGCACCAGGTGACACGAAAATTACATTTTAAGGCGATGCCGTTGCACAGATAAGGAGAAAGCTACTTTAATTGCATTAAAGTGGTGGGATTGGAACAAACACACAGTCTTTGCCCCTTCTACGCGTCAATGACCCAACCGTTCTTCCTAACTCGGTGGTCACCAAGTCTAAATGAGGCAGAAGAGGGAGGGTGGTGTAGATGGATGTGCCTGTTGAGAGGAAATAGGAGAGACAAGGTGACATCGACGTTTGACAAGTCCCCGCCCTCTAGCACTCCATAACAAGCATTGGAGGGATAGGATTTCAACGGGTCATTGTGAAGCATAAAGAAATGTCGACTGCATGCTCTTGATGGCAACGATTTACAACATGACAGACGTCTTTCTCTACACGTAGAAGATATACTTCCTATGGAGAATCGTCCAACTTTTAGAACTACCCTCGTAATGCCTTCTCTAAGACGGTTCGTCTTCCATAGGGCCTGAGAGTCAGTAACTCTAGCCAATCGACCATGCAAATTGGTAGCATTTGCTTCGGTCACCAACAGACTCATGACAGCCGAAGCAAGTGGGTGACACTGCGGAGCAACGACGATAGCGATCTGGCTTTAACTGCAATCTCCGCAAGTTCTACCACCATCTGAGTAACATCGACATCCATCTCCCTCGCTTACAAGTGTGCCTTACTAAGCCTTCGGAGAAGACTAAGGGTGCTACAGAACATACTACTCACAACCAATGCATTAGTAGTTTTAACTCCGGAAATTCTTGAGATGGGACGTAATTTTCAGGGTTCCTTTGAATTGCTCTCCTTCTTCACATTATACCGAATAGACAGACGAGAGAGAGAGAAGGGCTGAGGATCCCTCCCCAGTAACTCCGACAACAACAACAAAAACAACGCATTAATTATTTACCCTCACGTATCTTAAGTAAACCTCCAATCATTTTAGCGAGTGACCGGCCGCCCTCTTGGCCGGTCCATTTAGACTGCTCCCTTCACCCCCTCCCCTATCAAAGAGGCTGAAAAAGGGTCCAATCGAAAAAGAAAGGCAGGTTTTTTGCGCTTTTGCTGGTAGACACCTGATGAAGTCAATGTCGACTCAAAACTGCTTTTCAAGGTCACACAATCGGTTCGCGTGGAGATAGAGCCAGAAAAACAACGGATTTCCTCAAGGCTAGGCACAAAACAGCGGTACCAGGAATCGGTCCAGCCAGACGGTAAGTGAAAATTTGGTGGGAGAAGAATATACAGCCCATTAATAAGCCACAGGGAGTTCGTATTCGTGGAGAGCGAGACACCAACGTTTTTAACGGAGACGTATACCACAATGAGTCACCGGCTTCCAAACCCCAGAAACGACATTTATTACTACCATTGCCACGGCTAGCAACATCAATGTCGTGCGTGTCGGCTAACTACGATAGAGAGAATTTTTTTGCGGAAAATTATTCGGAGGATAAGCAGGTTGAGCTTTTCAATGGGAAAAAATTAGAGAAATGATGTGCTCATAACATCCGCCCTTCAAATAGCCCTCAGATGCCCAAATTGAGACGGAAACAAATGTGGTTTTCGATTCTTTCAAGGACAATTTACTTCACTACTTGTTGAAAAAGAAAGTAGCAGCGTGGAGGAGTCGCCATATCTCATGCTTATGTCCCAACAGAACAGAAGCGCGATTAAGAGTTGAGATAACCCAGTCCCCTTCCGGAACACAAGACTTATCAACCAGCCTCATGGCCAAATGATTGAAGTCAAGTCTTCCAGGGGTGGGTAGTGAAAGACAGTTCCAACGGCCGCCAAAATTCACAAGATATTCTAGAAGGGATATGCTACGCTACTTACAAAAATAAATCAGTAGTAGTAACTCACCAACATGAAGAGTAGAGAGGCGAGAAGAAGGAAGAGGGTGAATACCACACAAGCTTGCCGTGAAGTCACCGGGAAACAGGTAAAATCCTAAAATTTGATAGTTGAAAAAGGAAAAAATAAACCGGTTTTCAATGTCAGATGACAACAGCCAGCCGATATCAGCTGACAATAGTAAATCAATACCGGTAGTTAAGAGGTCAAAGTTCGACTATTTATCAAGCAGAAGGAAAGGGGCAATAGCAACAAGCTGGTGTCACAACTTGCAGAGGGTAAACACGGAGTTGTCACTACTGTCGAGGCGCCTAGTTTAAACAGGAAGGCGTGTCAAATTCGACACTCCAAAGCATTACCTCTCGGCTAATGGCATCCTTGGAGAAGTACTATAAAGACTTTGTTTTGGTGATAAAGTAAAGACAACTTCTTCTTTTTATTGCATAAAAATTCCCAAAATTTGATTTAGATAGAGGCTACTTACGGAGCGGTAATTTAATTGAACGCAGTAGCGAATTTATTGAGAAATTTAGACTTAAGTTTTTATTTACTTAAAAAGGGATTCTTTTTAGTCTAGACAGCAGAAAGTAATGGACCATAAAACAGTGAGCCTTCTTGTCTGGAATCGTTCAAGACGCCTTCAACTCGGACTCCTGTGAAATCGAAAACTACGCCAAGGTCTGTGGAAGTAGAGATGGAACATGTACCCTCAGCTTACGAACTCGACCTTCCAGCTTACTTCCTTTGATATTAGGATGCTATTTATAAGACAGCTGGCGTAGTATCTCCTTGCCTTCGGTTTGTGGAGGAAACTGCTTTTGTTGAGGAGTTCGTTACCAGCGTCACATATTTGTGACACTTAATCCTTGCCGGTTTATGCTAGATGATTGCACTAAAATGTGTACCACAAACATGAATTTCAACTCCAAAAGTCAAAATAACTGAGAAATGGTCTTAATCTGAAAATACTTACGTATTATGGTCTCTTTTTTGACTAGCAAAATTTATATTCAACCAATGAGAAGGAGAGGCTTAACGCGCACCACTTGTCGGGTGGGCTTTGCAACTCCCTCACAGGGCAGCACAAACTGAGGAACAAATAACATTATGAAGGGTAAATCTTACCAAAGGCATGATAAATTCGCAAAATGAAACATTGATGGGTATTAGCCTATCGGCATGGCTATCTACCGTCCTCCTCTTGATTTGAAAATGCCTATAATAGAGTATTGGTGAGATCCAATGGGTGTGATTTGAGCCTGTCTACTTCTATGAGCCCGGTTCAATTTGATGCCAGAAATGAAGCAGAAACGTCTTGCTAAGTTCGTCACATAACGGACGGAGGCAGTGTGGTAGAGCAGGACAGCGCACCGTCCCGAAATGGCTGGAACAACAACTGTGATTCGGGCGATGATTCACTCAAAAAGATACAGATGCTGCATCACAGTCAAGAAGAGCTCCTCCACTTGACTAGGGTAGAAAAGTAGGTGCCGATATTGACTCAAACCAGGTGAAATTAAGGAGAGAAGAACAACTTGCTGTACTGGCTGACGGGAGTGGTAATAAATAATTTGGTAGCACCTACAGCTATTGACTGACTTGAAGTGCTAAGCAGTTTTATAGTGAAACGATGGAGGAACGGTCATAATAGAGCCCTGGATGATTAGCATCCCCGCTTATTTATGCCACCCCCAATGACCTTGACCTTATTGGGCCTTTTAGTACATAAGGAGAGCACCTCCGGGCAGTATAGACACGTAGGGAGAACCCAACGTGAGTGCAGGAGGATGAATATTCTCGAATGTCCAGAAGTCCAGATTCCGGGCAAAAAATTCTGGAAGGTGGAAACGGGATGTAAAGAGTTGACGGTGATTTGTACGAGGATGGGAACCCAAATACTTGGGTGTACCTTGGATTAAAATCACCTATTTAGAAAATAGGGCCAAAAATAAACTTCAAGTCGCTTCCATAATCAAACGGTAGCTACTGCAAAGATTTGAATGTAAGCAGAATTGTGGGTATTTTCTTACAGATCCTCCAACATTTGCTGACCGGTGAAAATCCGATCTCAAGGTCACCTGTGAAGGTTCTGTTTTGCTAGTTGGCTACAGCACGAGTGAATCAGACTTCTCTGCACATGCACACACGTCTGTTGGGCGCAAAGTTTTTCTCTACTTAGCTTTTGCCATGTACTTGTCTATCCGCCCTCCGGTCATCTGACTCACGAAGTCTGGTGATCTATTTTAGTCCTCCCACAGTGCACGAGTCCCATGCCACCTGTGTGGAGGCTGAGTAGCGAGGACAGGGGGGGGGGGGGTTAGGGAGACAAACAAGCCTCGTCCACAATGGTCTCAGTGATTGCTCTCCTGCATTGGTCGATAAAACCGTCTCCAGGTTAATGTTTGAAGGACATCGCCCAGTGTTCATTGATCCCCCACAGCCCAAGTGGAGCAAAAAAAAGTTGCGTCGCGAAATCTCCCATCGTGAGGGGATTTGCACTTGAAGATGGGAGGAGAGAAAGATGCTACCGCACCCTCATTCTCACCCTCCGAGCTCCCTCATGGTTCACCAAGTGATGACTGCTGCCTCCTCATGGTAGCAAACAATCAAGGTGGTCAAGGCTAGGTTGGTTGCTTACTTCCAGGAATAAAACACTACCTTTCCTGGATGGAAGTTTTGCACACAAATTCCCCATAAACATTCCCTCGACCTTTTTCTCCCGGAAATGTGTGAGTGTGGTTTATTAACACCACACACAGGACCAAAGACGTTGGATAGGAACACACTCCATCCCTCCAGGACTGCGCCACAGAGCACCTGTATGCCCACCACAATCGCCAAAACCACCCAATTTTGCAGTGACATTCTTGATCCCCCAACATTTGAACTACAAAACGTGGCTAGAATGAGGGAGGCTTCAAGCGCAACATCCTTCTCCACCTTGTAAAAGTGCAAGACTGAATTGTCAACAGATTACCGCGTGAGGAAAGGGTCAAAAGTACACCCCACTTCCACCAAAGACAGTTTTGGTGGTTGTGGCGGTGGCAAGATGATCATTTGTCAGATATAATCTAGGGTTGTCATACTACATGATTGATAGCGGAGTCTTCTTCCAAAAGGCAGGTTAAAAGTCACTTCTTTGGGGTGTCGATATATCAAGGGTGAAAAAGAAGGACGTCACAGAAGATTTCATCAATTTTATGCCAACAGTAACCGATGTGGGGATAAGGTGATGAGGAAAGAGGGTGCTTCTAACACCAAGCAATGAAATTTTAATCGTTCCCTCCAAATGCTTAAAATGAAGATAAATGATGGAGAGAAGCCCACATTTCCCTCCTTCAACATCTAACATCGGTAAAAAAAGGAATGCTGCTTCCTGTAGGCGGAAGGGTCTACTTACATTGCGTATTTTTATGACCTTCAAGAATAAATTTCTTCATAGGAAAGCCTTGCAAAGAGGAACAGTAACAGGAAACGACATCTCGTCCATAAATAATTCAGTAGGCAAACCAAAAGTCTATAATTTTGAAGGAACCAAGCGGACTTACGTCGAGTCGACGGATTGAGAAAGTGACAAGCAAGAGGAGACACCATGTGATCACACAGGGATAGACAATCAGCGCGAAGGAGACCCTACAAATGATAGATACATTTTGTCCGTTGAAGAGGCAGAAATTTCAAGGCGGGGTGAGGGTAAGCAAGTGGCACTTTGGCTGAAGAAAAGCGGTTGGCAAATTCCAGCGATTCGACAGTCTCTCTTTCATTTATGGAATCCAACCATCCATGCCACCATATAATCTTGATTCCTTTTCCGATTTGTCAGGACAGAGGAGGATGCTGGCGGGGCAGTATGTCTTACCCTCCCATCCCTCCCAGAGCGCAAATCTTCTCATGGCTGCGTTGTGTAGTAGAACGAGACCCTGCGTCATCTTATAAGAATTGCAAACTTCTTCCCACTGATTCACTAGTCCCACATGGCCTTCGCTGGGAGAATAATTGCATCTACAGTACACCACACGCACACACAAAGCAAGAATGGTCTTGTGAAGATGATGTGGTGCATGCCTCAGAAATGTGGAGGGGAGGGGGGGGAAAGACTTGTTGTCACCCGATGTTAGTGGAAGTGACCCCAACTTGCCTAATAGCTTCCCTGACTGCCCTTCCTCCCCAGTCCATTTGATATAGGTGTCAACAACATTTTCCAGCATCGCTCACACCAACTCGTTGCCCTTGACAAGTTACTTCCAAAGTTGGTCTACTGAATGACTGACGTCAACTATTCTGAGCTTCAAAGAGTGGAACAAAACCCATAAAATATCGGTCAAACCGTCAATTCACGTATACCTTGTTACCAAGAGGCCGCCGGCCACTCCCAGGAGCACCAGCAGAAGCACCATCCATGCCAGTGAATTTCGCAAGACCTTGAGTTGATCCCTCCGAAGAAATAGTCGATTCCATAGAACTGCCTCTGCCAGTGGGCACATCGCATCGATGCTCGGACCCAGAAATGGCGTTGGACAGGAGGTGCATTTCGTTGGAGTTGGTTGAAGATCTTCACAGCTACCATGTTTACAACGGAGGGAAGAGGAAGTGGAAGACGAGTTCTGTTGTGTCGGCAGAGGTGGTGAAGGCAGTAGAGGATGGACAAATGACCCCACAGACGATGGAAGATTGTGGCAAAGGGAGGTAAGAAAAGAGGAGGAAGGAGAGGGCAGGAGACGAAACTCCAAGGCTTTGATAGAGGGATTTGCTATCAACGTGGATCTGAAAAAGAGAGTGTATTTAATTAAAGACAATTCATAATTCACCATATCTGTAGGCGTTGAGAGTGGCTTCAAAAATCGTCAAAACAGATTGAACCGAGAGTGGGCATATTGACCGTTTAGTCGAAGAATGAGTCGGCTAAATTCCTCTCCAAGCTATTCACAGGTAAGGGTAGCCAAAGAAACACATATCTGTTAATTCCATTTTGATAAAACTTTTTGCCTCCAGAAGCACACGGTCCAGTCCTAGCCACCTCCATTTCTACCCCACATTCGCACACGGTTTCGGAAAGGCGACAATTGTCACCTGGAGAAGTATCACTGAGGGAATACGGGGGAGGGAGGGAGGGATGAGAGTGAAGATGTGGCAGTGTCATCCTCCCTACCAACCCAAAGTGTAAGTCCTCTCACCAGTAATTGTGAGGTGTGAGGTAGTGAATAACCGATGCAATGGTCGCTTGCCTAACGAATGTGGAACTGCAAAAGCCACTCCGCTTCTCGAGTCCAAACCACTCCAAAATTCGCAGTAGATGGCTTACGAAACTAATTGTCGTCCCTTGTTAATGACGTGTGACACCCATGCGGTGGGAAATATTTATACCTCGCCCCTCCCACTTGATGTTGGCGTAAATCACTTGGTTTGTTCCTCACGGTGGACATTAATAACGGCAGTCCTTGTCACAACGGTCTCTAATCATGACTGTCAAAGTAGAAGTAATTATTTATGACCTGGAAGTGATTTAACATTGGAATCATGTAGCCACGTTGTCCCGTTTTCCAAATGCAATACGACAAATTTGGGGAGTTTCTGGAACTCTGGAACCGTTCGGAGAGCAAAAAACCTGGAGTCACATCCATCAGAATCGACCAGTACAAAGTGATGGGCGGGAGGGTCATGTCGGCGGAGTGGCACACACACGCACACATACCTATACTTTAAGGTACATGTATACAAGTAATTGCAAAGAAAAACTTCTTTGGTCACTTGATGAATACCACGAAAGCTCCGACGGCTTTTGAATCCACAGTAACTGATAGATATTTGTTAAGGGACAAACCAATCTCCAAGACATTCCAAGAAAGCGGAGTAACCATGTGAGCATCTTCTCGATCTCCAAACAGGTAGTATTTTAAAAGACATTCATTTCCGCTAGACATCCTTAAACAGTGATGGGAACCACAGTCTCTGCGCACCTAGAGCAGAGTCACCACGAAATTACGATCAAACAAATTTGTTGATGGAAAAAAGATGAGTATTTGTAGACTTCTAAAAGCCGTTCAGGTGTGGGAAAAAACATTAAAACTTTAGAGAGCAGTGTGAAATAAGTAATTTACATGACCTTCGAATCAACTGAAAGCTTCCGTGATTCCGAGGATAAGTTAAGACCTGATTGAGATGCCTGGAAACCCAGCAAACTCTCCTGCTTTCCTTTTCCCGGATTTCTCATTTGTATGACCGGGTTGCGAACCCACCTATTGCCTCCGGATTGGTTGATATCACGTACAGATCCACTTTGAGCTCGTTGATACACCCTATGAGGTCAAGGTTAATTAATACCAGATGATACGCAAGGCAAAAGTCAACCTGTGTCTCCACCAGCACTCGCCGTGACCCCTCTGTATTGAAGTCTGGCCTAATAATCTACTCTGGTTAAGGGCTCGAGAGGATCCAGATCAATGCCATCTTTTCCATTACTGACGGTTCAGTGGAAGTCTAAATTGTCCATGAACTTGTCTATAGCTCTTCAGTGGCAGAACACACAAGAGCTTCAACCACCAGACATCATATTCACGGTTAAAAGGCTAAACCGGTCAACACTTGCTTTGAAACGACGAAGAGGTTCGCGGGATGGAAACTGTTTCTGCGCCTTTTCTCCAGGAACTGACAAATTTTGAACTTTTGAGAGTTGGACGAGCATATTCAAGTGATTAAGGAGCATGATTGCCGACTCCAAGGGAAGGAAAACAAGTCCACTTATGGAATCGCATGAATTGCAAAACCTAGGCACACCACCTCCGTCAGACCGAGGTTCTTCAAAACAGTCCATTATACTGGGCTCCTCGAGGTCTTCCAGAGCCAACCAGTATTAGAAGATATTGATTTTAGGAATTCAAAAGACCGTAAACCGCCAAATATTCTTTTAAAAAAGTAATTAAGAGACTTCTGAGTAAAGGGAGGTAAAACTTTCACAGCTTTCGAGGACTGGGAAATCCCAGATCTTCTCAATGAGGACCGATGGTTTTACACAATGCATCAATCAACTGCAATTTCAAGTCAATGACTCGGCAAAAGGGTAAATAGTCATCCAACAAGCTTTCGAGCTATTCACCACTTAAGTGTTAACTGAACCGACAAACTACTCACTGTATCGGAAGGCATCTGTGGTCGCAAAGTCCTTTCAGACACGCTGCAATTTCATCCTCTCCCTCCATGCCTTCCTCCTTCATCTTCATATGACGCAGTATTGAAATCAAGGTGGACGTTTCTGTTGAGTTGGAGGACTCAGCACTTTCCAGAGTTATTTGGTGCGCCAGTCTTGCAAAGGCTTGTGCAAGACCACCTGTTGAAATGGATTCACCAAGATTTGGCCACCTTGAGTCGAGGCATTCCTAGACAAAAGAAACGAAATGGATCGAGACAATATGAAAAGAGAGATAGGGATTCAGGGTTAGGAAGATGTTAGAGGAGTGATGAAACTGCGATAAGTGAACCGCAGATAAAGTGATTAAGGGGTGACAGCGAGTGACGTAACTCAGTCGACCTGTCAAGTAAGGTAGTGCTAGGACTTGCTGGACTGTAAAATTGGACAATTTAACTCCTCCTGGGCATGGAAAGCTCCATAAATAAGTCGACTGGACGGGTGTGGAAGGGAATGAGTGATCTTCACGGACCCAGAAGTTGAACGAGCCGATTACCTACCTATCTATCTGGCAAACAAGATAGTTGACACTTGCATAACCATGAAACAGACGCCTTGACATCCCAATAGGCATTAAAAACTTGTTAATTTAGACTGATGAAGATGTAACCGATTAATAGCCCAAGTGGAAGTTGAGACACTCTCGACCTTCAAACGGACCAATTAAAATCCGCTCACACATCAAAGCTTTATTTACGTCCGATCATTTCATTCATCACCGACCTACTCAAGCAAGATGGTCGAGGTAAGTGGTTCAAGAAAAGGTGATAACATCTTCAACTTACCGTAGAGGAGACGGATGTGTCGGCAGATTTGCGAGGTTGGACGTAAAGCGTTTCGCAGTGGAAAACGTGACGATTTGCGGAAGGATCCACGACTGTTGGGCCCAGTTCGCCCTCGTAGCCTTCAGGCAGTTGGTCAAATGTGGCCCTCGAAACCAGAACTCGTCTGTTCAAAAATGGCAAAAAAGAAACTCCTAGACCCGGTGCAGGCAAGCCTTAACATGATGTCACCTAACCTGACTTGTTACCCACAAAGTCATCTTAATCTCGGCCGGTTTCATGGAGCGATACACACGCAAAAGTACCACCTCACTTTAGTAGAATAAGCTAACCTCATCTTGATCGCGTAAATGAGCTGGACAGATCTGAGGGGTTGTAGATGATGTCTAATGGAAGTGAGAAAGGTCGTGGAAGGTTTATTCACCCAGGACAACATTAATTGAATGGTTGAAGAGTGGGGGGAGAGACAGCTTTCCCCCAATGCCATGAAAGAGCACTACATAAGGATGACGTAGTTAGTGGCCTTACAAACTAGGTCGAGTTTAACTCGACTCTACAGCGGCAGAAGCTTCTTGTTAAATTTGTTGCATAGCATTTGGAGGGGACACGGCATCAGGAATGGGTTGAGTGAAAAAATTTAATTCTGGCAATGGATGAATCACCCCAAAACCAATTATTCTTGACCCAAAGAGAAAATTTTGCATCGTTGCTAACACACCAACTGAAGACTAATGCACCAAGACTCAACATCAGCGACGCCTAATGCGAGAGATGGCGAAAAGTTGCTTCACACCCACATAAATAGGAAACGTGGAGGAAAGTGAGCCAGTAAACAAAAGGGCACCACCCACAGGCGTTGACAGAAGACCAGTTGGTTCTTCACTAAAGCAGACTTTTGTACGATTATTTGCTGAGTGACTAACTCCTGATGAGAAATGGGTTAGGTAGTTAAACGGTAAGTGAATGAACACACATGGCCAGTTTGCCCCATACCATTCACTGGCTTTACCCACTGTACACTTCAAAGAAATGCATCACTTCACCCCACTTCCCATCCATCATATTCCCCGGATGATATTTCTTAAGGTGAAGACGATCATCTTTTCTTGATACTAGCAGTGGACAATCAGTAGTTGCTTGATTAGGCGGTTGGTAAATGAAAAGGAGATGGGAACGGAGGTGATCAGGGCTAGGGCATTTGCTTCTTGGAAAGACAAGTTCTGTACAAAAGTTAAATTCACCGCTGTCCTTGGTCGACACTTTTTTGGGTTTGGTAGTAAAGAGGGTAGGAGATAACCGCCATTTAAATTTATGAGAGGTATCACTCTCATCAGCCTCGGACGTCCTCTATGTAATGAGATATTATCAGGTGAGAATTGGTTCTACCTCACAAGTAGAACTTCAAAGCGCTAAAGTACTGTGGTGGTTGTCAGTTTGGGGTGATAACCATTAAGGGCTGCATACTAGGGCGAGATTTGTCCTGATTGCGCGGAGCTTTAGAGACACCCACGACTCGACCTTCACACCAGTTGTACGAAGCTCTGATTCTAATCTCAGAGCATTTTCCCCCCGTGCGGTTGCAGTAATAACGTCTACTTCAAACTGAGATGCTTTTTAATGTCCCCAGAAGTAATTCGGAGTCTACATTGGCAGAAAAAAGTAATCGGGTATCAACAAATCAGACGGTCCATGACTCAAAACCCCTAAACCACATTTGCCCCTATCAGACAACTCAAAATCGGGAAATTCTCACCCCGGTTTGGCAGCAGCACGAAGGTGGCGACGGAGATGAAAGACATCAGCTCCCAAAAGGTCGAAGGTCAGGGCTGATTGACCCAGCACTGCAGCGTATGCCTCTCCAGTGTGGATTGCCATTCGTGCTTCCAATTGGATGCGCGCAGAGTTGGAAATGGATCTGTGGGGAGAGAAGGAAAAAAACTGACAAAAGTGGATAACTGGAAGGGGTTGATACGGAAGCTCTGTTTTTGAAACGAGTAGTATGAAAGTTGGAAATGCAAAGGCGCAACCCATCCCCCTCCCCCTCGGCATCAAATCCTCTGTTCATTCATTAAAAATTCATGGATCCTCACAAAATAAATCACATTTTCTCCCATCTAAACGAATATACATCGTTTCATGCACCAATTTTAGCGAACGTCTAGGCATCATTGGCCAAAACGACCGCCTGATGCAGTTCTCCAGGTGAGAAGTCCAGATGGGACGAAAAACCTCATGAGTTTTTTAATACGATCAGCATCCATTCATTAGGCCACCTATTCATCCATGCATTTAAGAAAATCGTGGGAGAACTTCTCCTTTTTTGACACAAATCACAACGATTATCCAGCCAGTTCTAACTCTTTCAACAACTAGCACAGATGTGATTTTTTTGATGGGAACTACGGGAGGGGGACAAATAAAAGCAGCTGATGAGAGATTGTCAAGAAAAGCTTTTAGAATTACCATTAATGCCATAAATGTGCCATTTGCACTACGGGCAACAGGCAAAAAAGTGCCCAATTAGTCGGAATTAATGATACAATTAGGCCTAAATTGGAAGGGGGAAGAAACTCCTGAATTGATAGAAAAAGTGAGGGGATTTGACCATTCAATTGTGGCCAATTTTCTACCAGTCTAATATTCGAAAAAGAAGGTTAGCAGTAGGTGATGCAAAAACTGATTTCAAAAGTACCTGTGAACCTCATCCCCGCAATTGGATTGCCTTGATGTTCCTTATACCAATTGCAAGCAGGAGATGGGGTAAAGAGCATCGCAATTAATCTTGCAACAACGAATTTTGGCAAAAAGATCACTGATAAACAAAAGCTACCAAAGGGGTCCCAGGTAGACGCCAATGAATTAAGAAACCAATCAAAGGTGACCTAAACGCAAATTAGCCAATTAACGCCCGGGTCAGGGAAATGGAGTTTAACCATTGGTTGCTGAGTCTACGAATCATATTAAAGCCCCTAGATAAATGCCTTTTAAAGTAAATAACCAAAACCTTGGCCTCATTTCCCCTAAACTTTTGGGAAATTTGAATTAAAAAGCAAATAAATATTTAAATTCTAGAATCAACTTCCAACTACTTTCTGATCAGGCCTGAGTTTTAGCCCAGCTTATGAAGCCAAAAGTCGTTTTCGCCGATACTACCCGATCATAGTGACCACTTTTTCCCCATACCTTAGAAACGGTGAGAATTTGAATTTAAAGTACCCATTTTTCAACACTTTTTGACTGCCTGCTGAAAAGTGTTGAATTGGCTGGGCGCACTTTCCCATGGGAGCCTAATTTTAAACAACCAACACTGTCTACATAAACAAACAACTTAGTGCAAATAAAATCGGCTATTTGCAGTGTATTCAACCGGTACATTAATCAACTTTCGTGTTCATTTAATGGGTAGTAATTGTGCCCAAAAAAAGAATGCATGATGACTGTACTCCCCCACCTCCCCCTCGTGAAAATATATACGAGGCATAAATCGGGAACTGTTCTTGCTGGGAACTATTCTCGCTGTGATGCCTCCTTTTTGTGTACCTCTCGTATAGACGGCTTAAAATAGGTTTTTGAAGCAAGTCAGGAGTACCGTCATTTGGAGGCCACATGGAGATTCACGGAGTTTTTACAGGGTAAAGGTGTGAATTTGTGGACGGTCAGTCCCTTTTTTCCCTAAGAAGGGCGAGACACCCGCAGAAAGAGTGGTTAACAAACTGACCGGACAGGCCAGTGCATGTTGGGATGCCGTAGAAGCATGTCGCCAGGAAAAATGCACTTTCCGTCTCTCAATAACTGCTTTGTGATCGTGAGTGTGGTGGACAGCCGGTGGAATGGTTCACTTCCCGATGACCAAAAAGTTGCGGATGACGTCTATCGGTTGGACGCGATCCAACTCCAACGTAGGCAAAAAGAAACAGTCAGGATTCATTGATCAGTTTGAAGAGAGCCTCGTCCTTATCCTCCTTATTCTCCGCATATTCCTCCAAGTAATGATCATCACCGTTTCTCATTGGGCTACCAAATGACACGTGCGGAATAGATATAGACGGCTGGAACACTGAAAGGCGATGGGGACGCAAACGACCAGGACTAAAGGAATGCCTTTTATAAACCAAAAAATGAGGAGGTTTGAAGATTCCACATCTTGACCTTGCAGAAGAATTCCTTAATTATTCATCAGGGAGGAGGAAAAGGAATCAAACACTAATGTTTGTCCCGTTTAAGGTTCGCGTCTGAAGCGGTCCAATAATTTGTCCAGAGGGAATTAAAAGGACAAGTAAACTAAAATTCAAGGGACCTGTGAATTGGTGGGCGACGTGGGAACTATCTAGGCAGGAAGAACAACACCACCAGATGGTTCATGGCTATCATTTAAGTCGGTAAAAGAAGTCAAGAGAAAAATGGTCTATGCTGAATCCAACGGAAGACCTGATACCTTCCCACATAGCAAAAAGATCGAAATGGAAAAATTGAAGGCAGAAATTCCATCCTTAACTTAATGTGGAAGCAGTTGGTTAAGACGATTTAAGGCAGGGGAAAACTTCTTTTCGTTCATTTTTTTGCAAAAAAAACCAAGAAGGTAAATAGAGGGTAGGTAGAAAGCCCTAAAAAACTGAAGCCGTCTTACCTCAGTAGCCGGTTAATTGCGAGTGCCAGTTGGACACAGGAGTTTGCATGATCGACACGCACCTCTGGATAGCCCGCAATGCAGAGAACTTCACCCGGTCGTACATGAACGGCGTAGCAACCATGATTCTGAAAAGAGGGAGGTGCTCGCTAAAACAAAGGTCGGCTTTCTGTAAAACCACTAATTTGTCCTTTGACCCTCGCAGAAGTGGAACCTACCTACACAGTTAGCATGATTTCAAAATGAGTAAGGGGATGGGTGGATAATTGGACAGATGCAGGAGGAATGAGTGGAATGGAGATGGATGGGTTGGAGATGAATGGAGCAAGGATAGGAAAAACAGCTTAATGGATGAGGTGGGGATGAAACCTAACGACTGAGTGGATAGATTAACCAGCAGATGAACGCCTCAGAGGTGGATGGCTTCGTGCATGGAAGGATGGAAGGATCCAGGATGAATGGATGGATGAATCCAGGATGGATGGAATTGGAACTGACTTCACCTCAACATCAACCACCTCAGTCTCGGCTCAAATCTTCTATGTGGCACACCATCCAAATCCAAAGTTAAATCCACTGGTAGAGCGAAGGATTTAATCTACGGTTTTGGAAAAACGCAGGTCATCCAGTATGGACTTGGCAAATTGTTAGGTCGTTTGGCCCATTACCACTCCGACTTGACCATCCGTCTGGTGGTTACTATCTTCTTTCAACTTGTCGAATGAGATTACGACGCAGTGGAGTCAGCACAATCGAATCAGGCAGTCATACGCCCAAGTGAAAGTCAGACCTGAGACCAAGGCAATGGCGGTGAAACTAAAGGGAGTTGAGGTGGAAGGAAGCAACACACCCATCCAGACATCTCAAACTACCCAGGTATAGAGTCCGGGCTGGATTAATGGCTTCACCAAGGGAACACTATCCTCCTTTCATAACACCGGTACACGCCTTGCCAAAGTTAAAACATTGAAAGGATGGAACGAGATTATCCTAAGTGTACCTCACACAGCGCTTTGATTTGACCGATGAGTTGATTCGTAAATGTTACCACGTGTTGAGCTGCAGGCTGTGGATAACGTTCAACTTCTGGAACACCAGTGTTGGGAAGCATCGGTGACAAGCCGCCTCCAGCACAACCGCTACCAGCTCCATTTGAGGTGTAAAAACCGACCAATTCAGCGCTGAGGAAGCTAAAAAAGGGAAACCCTATGAATCCGACAATTTGATTGGAGGGGGGAGAGAGAAAAGGAACAATACCTGACATTTCGAAGGTAAATGACCAGAGGAGAAGACCAAACGTAAGGAGGAGAGTAAAAATCGTGCTCCAAATCAGTTGTCAACGCTGGAGGCACGATAGCCCGTGAGATTCGGTTCTTAAAATATAAACGAAAGTAGGTGATTTAAGAGATCATCAAAGACGAAGGCATTCAGGGATCAGCACTCACGAGTTTCTTCTGAGTCGAAAGCAGAGTCGACTGTCTGGCGGCGGCATGCAGTACAACACAAAGACACCTCCAACGCTCCAGGTAGTTTTGACAAGACAGATGCCAACCAATCAAGTTGGTCAGTGTGAAAGCTACCAGATTTGAGGCAACCTAGGGGCGGGTGGGAGAAATCGGTCATTTCAAATCCGCAATATTTCCCTCTCTCCCTTCATTATCTTTTTCCAGATCAGAAAGTGATGGATTAGATTTATGAACTCGAAGTGGAATAGCAATTTGGATAAAACAACCCCGCGCGCTCAAAAATTCAAGAGATGAAAGTGGGACCCCTAATCCCTGTCCGTTGAGCCGACAGTTGGCATGCATCTGTCTATTAGCAGCTCTACTACTGTTGCTAGGACGGCCACTGATTAAGCGTGTGTAGCGCCAACCTAGAGCACTGAAGACAATACTCGGAAGATGTGACACTTGTCAACTTCAAGGGGGACGGAATCACACTCGACTCGGTACAGCATTTCCAGCTTTGAGGGTGAAAACAAAAAAAGTAGCAAATCACCGAAGTCAAGGTGAGGAAGCGGAGGGGGGAGAGAGTGACTGGATTTACTCTTTCACTCTTGGCAGAGGCAAAACCTGGCATAATCGCTTTTACGAGGAGTCTGCTACCCCACTCAATTCTTGGTTAAGACCAAAAAAACTGTCTGAACGTATTGAGATGTTAACTCTTTGTTAAATAAACAATTTCCTTTAACATGATTACCCTACTTTTCTTGTCTGAGCACGCATGTCACAAATACGTGACATATGTTCCTTATCAGTTTATGACAACTGTCTCCACCGAATTATGTACCACAAATAGGTTGGTTGGGATAAAAAAAAAGATATAAAGCCAAAAGGAGTTCTAAATCTGAGGGAGATATTTAAAGTGGGTACAGTAAAAGCACCTGGACTGTGGCAGTCGGAGCTCTGCTGAAATTGTAGCGATAGCGGACGTTTTAACGGCACACTGGGGAGGCAAAATTTCAGCTAGTGAAGGAATAAGGTAAGTCCCCAGTTTTATTGTTCTTCTCCCACTTTGCCTTAGCTGCGTTGCTTAGAAATTAGGAAAAGACAGAATGAATACCGTAGGATTCATCTGGCCCTTGGATTGGATAAAAACCTTCCAGAGGCAGATCGTTGGGTTGTCAAAATAAAACGGTCTTAAGTGAAGAAGGAATGCGGTACCAATTCAATAAAGCTTAAGACCCAACTCCTTGTACACTGAAGTCGAGCCACCCAGAGATTGAGGAAATCTGGAGAACTCGCCACAGTATCCAAAAGAGTGGAACGAACTCAGTGGATGTGATTAAAGCTTGGAGGTTCAACTCGGTTCCAAAGCCAAAAAGCTTCCAGCCAACAGTTTGAACAGGTGAGGCATTAGAAAAATGCACCATCCAGAGATGTCGATTCGAGACTAGCGTATCAGGACCAAGTCAGTGCTGTTTAACGTGAGAGACAGTGAAAAGGGTTTCTTTTACACCAACAGCAACTGGGAAAGTCTGGGAGGGAAAGCTAATAGGCAAATGAGTGCCACCCACAGGCTTCCTTCATGACCTTTATCAAAACTTAAGGAGAGGGTAGATTGTTCCTTGAGTGACTAACTCGTCACTAGAAATGATTTTTGTAGTCAGTCCAACGCTAGGCGAATGACTACATCGCTGGTTTTCTCCAGCCTATTAATGGGCTATCCACCGCACACTTCTAAGGCATGTACCACATCATCTTCAGGAGACTACGCCCAGGCGTTTTGCCTCTGAGGCCACGTTTTTTTACAAAGTGAGATTCTCAGAATACCTTGAGATGCAGAAACCCGAAGTGCATACTACTGTGACTTAAAAACCCAGAGATAAAGACCAATTTTTGGAAGGGAACCTTTATGGAGAAAGTAAAGTCAACTTGACGTCTAGTTGTCAAAAAGAACTTCGATGTAAAAAGAAAAAAAGTGGAACGAAGCCTGTGGAAGGGGAAATAAAAGGTCTACATTCTGAGGTGGATTATAAAACCGATTTTAGCCCAACGATTTGCAAATTTAAGGAAACTTCTAATTCAACAAAATGACGCTTATGTGCTTCAGAGAAGCAATTTTAACCTCCTGCCACAGTAAAAAGGGAGACTTGTTGCGTTCAATGGCTCAGCGATGAAGACAGAATGTTAAAGCCTCCGGTTTCAAGGTGAATCTCTCCACCGAACTGGCGATATTATTGAAAAGAAATACAGAATAATGTCCACATTTAAAAAGAAACAGATCCACCGTCATTGGTACGTTATAGAGACGAATACAACCATTTGATTATGAGGTGTGGAATATACTACTTAGGTGATATGAGTAAGTCCCTCAGAGGGCATGTCCGAAAGCGCTCTTAATAAGCTCAACTCCTGCATTAAAAATACTGCTAAAGAAGAGCAATCTCCAGAGAGAAGTTATAGAAGATAAGTATGGAATTATTTAAAAGCCATTTCTGTGTAATGGCAAAGGAGAAATGGGACCAGTTAGGGGACTCACTTGTTAAAGAAATGAGAAAAGGGGTCCTCACATCCATAATTATTTTCTTTTGCTTATTTGCGGACAAACAATTAATAATACCTTTGTAAGCAGGATCTTAGGGCGAAGTCAACTATCATAGGCAAGTTCTTTTACTATCCTCCTAATGAAATCAACCAGGACACTAAAATTATCGCAACCAGCCAGCATACATCCATAAAAAGGCACATCACATGCCTGTGAGTTGATAGCTCAGATAGGGAAACTTGAGAGTCACATATATGTGTTGTTGGTAGTGAAACTGCTAAGCACAACCCTTGATAGCTTAGAATTTTAGCCAGACAAGTCACAATAATTCGAGCCGCAAAAAGTGAGGCCGAAATACCTGCAGAAGAATACGCCTTGATATGCGACTTGAGGAAGCAAAATCAACTGTAATCAAATGATGACAAATGTCTCGTTCACTACTGCGATGTACGACTTGTGGCGCGGATAAAATTGGCTTCAATACACTAATTTACAAAGCGACATTTGAAAAATACGTACACGCTCTGAATATGTGATAATTCAGAGGCTCAAGGACGGGATTAACTTCGTCAAGTAAACAACGAACAGTTGGCAAATTCTCGAAGAAAGCTTGCAATTCCATGGGCACGATAAAGAAACAACTTCAATTCAGCAATGCAGAAAGTTAATGCATATTAATTGTTCCACTTTGAACGCGCAATTTCGTCCCCTCATTAATTCATGTTTCACATTAAGGAATGGACCCTCAAACTATGCAATTCACCAGCTAAGGCGGGAATCGGGTCCGCTAATAGTAGATTTATTCTCCAGGCCACAACAAGCACCTCATCAAACTCAATGGGAGACCAAAGTGTTGCATAGCACAAGTATTTGTGATCCAAGCGAGTTAATAATGCAATTTAGAATTACTCATACTAAAATTTCCTTGATGCGTACTTCAGGAAAAACCAATTTAAGTGTACCTATTTATAAATGCTAAACACGTAGATCAATGGCAATGAACTAGCAACCCAGAGACAGGTTATAAATTTATCGCCACAATCTTGAAGAAACCTACCAAAACTACAAAAATTTGGTGGTTTAAAGATCCCAAATAAGGTTACGATTCAATAAACACCTCTTACCTTACGCCAAAATCGGACGTCACACGAATTCCAACACAAGAAACATTCACCGCCACCGCCGCTGAGAATCGCCGCATTACTAGCGGTGACCCTCCTAAAAACCACTATGACAGCATGCACCAGCGCAATGACTACACACACAAGATGCCGTACTCGACAAATGGGAAGAAAGACTTGGACACAGAGCGTGAGAGCCAGGAGAAGCCATATGTCAAGATGCGCAACATCAGAATCCGACGTTGTAGCAGTCACAGAGGTTGGAGTGGGAAGAGAAGCAAGAGCCGAGAGAGTGATAGCAACCGAAGCACAGAGGGTTGCTTGACGAAGTCGTTTAGAGATGTGCGAAGTACAGAAAACCTTTTGAAGATGATTTCCACGACAACGGATTAACCCAACGGTACAGCAGATAAGAGTGCCGAGGTGAAGGAAGGGCTGTTGGCTGAGAAATCGTGCAGTAAGTAGACGAGCGGTGGTTAAAGCCGTAGCGGTAAAAGAGATAGAGAAAAGGATGGCGAAAAAGAGGCGCAAATGCCAGAGGGAGAGGGGCGGAGAGAAGGTGGAGTTAAAAAGGCGAGAGATGGCGCAGGTGCGACGAATCATACTGTAAAGAAAGCACTATTCCAAGAGCTGAAAATTAGTACAAATGCAACTTTTTCGAGGCCCAAGGACTAAGACTTTAAAACGCTACATCGTGTACTGATCGGGGAATTGATTTTGAAGGGATTACGACCCTGAAAGGTATTACTATTTGGACCGAAAAACAAACACGCATTGTTTGGTTCACCCTTTAATATGGTGCTTCAAAAATCATAAATATTAAGCTTTTTTAAAAATATAAAAAACATAAAACAGCAAAATGAGGAATATTTCTCATATATTTAGAACTCGACCTACCCCAATTTTCTAGCAAAATATTTTCACGAAATTTATAACTACGTGCTCTATGCTAAGCAACATGAGATTAATAATAAAAAGGGGCACAAGAAAGGCGAGTTATGCCACTGGGATTTTGCAGCCCACTCGTGCAATGCTTCAGCCAGATATTATGTCCTTACAGTTATAATTTGTCTTGTAACTGTTCCCCAATTTACCAACAATAAAAATTTTCGGACTCTTACACATTCGCCAACAGTTGTCATTAGCCAAATAAGGTGTGAGATTTAGCCCTTGTGGCCCCAAAAATCCATTTTCAAAGCTGCAAGTCTGATGTAGGCATAAAAGCTATAGAGTGGCGTGGGTTCGTTTGGGAAGAAAAGTCGTAGAAATTCTCTCTACGGCTGATTTAAATTTATTAAATCAAAATAAGTACTAGATCACCCATGTTTTTTGGATATTTTGAGATGCAGAGTGCCTGAGTATATAAGAACCAGAGGGAGTTTACACATTTTCGTTTATCAATTTGCATAGTGTTATGTAATAGGGTCATAGATAAACGAATTTGAATTGACTAATGGAATTCGTGTGATCGCTTATCCGTTGGTTAGGTGCCCAGTGGCTGTTGAGTCGTGCTTTATTGATAGAAATGAGTATTAAACTAGTTGCCACTGACGAGGCCTTCAAAGAAGCATTCAAAAGTGCATCGGACGATTCAGCTCGCCTTGTGGTTTTAGATTTTTTTGCCACATGGTGCGACCCTTGCACTGCAATAGAACCTGAAGTTGTCGAACTGAGTAGACGTTTCCCCTCTGTTAGTTTTATCAAAGTTGACGTTGATACATGCTCGGTAATGATACAGACAGTGGAGCTTGTTTCTCGATTCCATAGTTGATCCAATTGTCTTATTTAGGAATGTGTTGCAAATTTCGGTGTCGTTCAAATTCCAACTTTTGTCTTTCTCCGTGGTGGGCAAACTATTGAAACAATTCGGAAACCGGATATGGAACTGTTGCGTGCCCGCCTCAATGAATTAACAAAGTCTTCTGGTCCTCCCGCAGCCTCTTCTTCCATTCCAGCCACATCAGCTCCCACTATTGCTCCTGTTCCTGGTCTCGTAATTTACCCTGGTTTTTTTCTCATAAATTCTTGTTTTTAGATGGATCTCGTTTCGATGCTTGACAAGACTCGTTGCGAGTGTCTCAATTGCCATAGCGACCATGGGCTTGAATGCGCTTTGACTAAAGATATGTCCTATCTCATGTCTGACGCAGATGAACAGGTAAATCCATTAAACTCGGTATTTTTTTAATCCGTTTGTTTTCTGAATAATATAGGTCTAATAGTTCATGTGCTCTGATAATACCTAAGGTCTTTTTGCATGATTTGATGTACCACTGCTTAGGATTTTTTGGCTAAAAAAGGTTTGATTTTAAGTACACTGGAAACATGAACGGTTGAGTAAATGTATCTTGAACCATAAAGTTACTTGATGGTTTGGCCTGCTGTCGACTAGTTCTAACCTTAATGTTAGATAATTCTCCATTGGTTTGTGAACTGAGTAGTAAAATGAGCATTGGATCTTTTCCCGTTTGTTTAATTGTAGCTCATCATCTTCCTCACATTTAATCAACTAGTCAAGCTGCACTCTCTCAGAATCACTGGCCCTGAAGGTTCGCCCGTTCTCACTCCTTTTTTATTTTTTGGTTTAAACCGCGCTTGCAATGTCATAGCCTAGAAGTGGAAGTTCTTATGAGTTGTTTGGTTTATAGATTGAAAAGCCTATTGGTTTTGAGTTGATATGGCATTAAGATCACCAATACGATACGAATGTGTAAACAGCATATCTCATCTGCCTATGATGACCTGTTTTATAAACAGCGAAGCACATGTAGGATATTCCTAGCATGAGAGTCATTAGCTTGTTTTAGCGTTTGAGCAGCTGTTGACTTGGTTCATTTGGTAGTGCTACTATTGAGATCATACTGGAGCACAAAACATCCGGGTTTTGGTGGTCAGTCTTCTGTTGAGATTTTGGTAGCAAGCATGTCACGTCAAGCTTATCGCATCGTGGATTTCTATCAATGAATAAGTAATTGATCACCTGTTGCATACTTTACACCTTACTTATTACCGGCATAGAATGGAGAGCAGGATTTGTCTGATGATCGTTTATCCAGCATACGACTAGTTGAGTTTAATTCTCTACTTAGTGAGACGTGATTAAGCAGTCCCTTGATTAATTTCTTGTCAGGGCACTTTGCCCACGTATCAGGATCTCTATTTGCGTGTCTTGATTTTTGTAGATTCGGGGCCAAAGAACATCAAGATCTTCACTAATCAGACCACCACACCGGACTTTGATGCTTGTGAAGATGCAGCACCGGTTCAGGCATTTACGTAAGCGATCTCCCTTCCCCGATTAATGCATAGCATTAAGCTGAGTACTGAGTCGCGTTAAGCACATGACGTTTTTGAAGCAGTGAATAATACCAGGCGTCCAAAATGTTGCATGACAATCACATCACACAACTTTTCAGAACTTACGAAATTCATACTTTTTTACATCCACGAGCCCCACCTATGTGTAGCTTCATAATTGAATATACACCAGTGAATCAGTACAATGCTTCTTAATGTGCTCCCTGCTATTTCCGTCCAAATTTGAACCCTTACTTCCTCAACAGCCGGTTGAATTAACCTGATGAAGCTGTAGAGGCCAATTATCAAGCCTGTTGTTGGGCAGTTGGGGAATTGCTCACTATTTAAATTACTTGTAATGTGAGCTAGCTTTTGTGCCGCGGAATTAGACGAACGCTCGCATCACGGCGGATGCGAGCGAGTCCTCCTGTCCTATACTAGATGTGTTGCCTGAAGGAGTCGTGACAAGTGAATCAGGGGGAAGAATGTGCAAGAACACATATCTCAAGTTTCTGCGGGACTTTGCCGTAAGAAAGTAGGCAAGGTTGATGATGACATTCTCTTCAGGCACCAAGAAAAGGTGCTCACCTCATGCGGAATCGCATAGGTAGTTGGAAAGTGAAAGCGCGGTAGAATCGGCAGCGATTGGGGCTGGGTTCCCGATTTCCGGTGACTAAACGCCGTAACAAGAGGTTAGTGGGGCAGACTTTGTTTCGTGGGTGAGGAATTGTAGATTGAAGTAATGGTGATTAATTTAACAGGCGACTAACTTCTCTGGAGGTCTTCTTCAATAAACCTGCCCTTTGAGATTGGATTGATTCAATCTGGGGTGTGTGCGTGTGTGTGTACCAGTTTTGCTACTTTCCGTGGCTACTTTGGCAACCATTCCTCTACCGAGTACTCACAAGGAAATCCATCGGCACAGTACTCAAGAGAAAGGGTCTGTTAAACTTTATGCCGCTTGAAACCTGCAATGTGCTTGTCCTGAACACAGAGTACTCTGAACTGCCCCCACATTGCGGAGATGGAGAGTGGATCAGTGTTACTAGACCACCAACGCTAAGTCATGGAGCATTCAAAGACTGTAACGTTTTCATCCTCCCCTTTCAGACTTACTCCGAGTCACCTCAAAGCCTCGTCCCTTATCCAACTGAAGTACGTCAGGTTCCAGAATGTCAACAGTATCACCGTGAGTTTGGTGAATTCGCTTTACCTTTTTTTTCTCCCTGATGCGCTTAAAGGTTCCTTGCATCTTTGAAGCTTTGACATGCTCACCTAAATGAGAGCAAAGAATCACTTTGGTAGGGGTTTTTTTTATTTCTATTTTACTTACTTCCATGCTAACTTAATTTGAATGGTTTGCCATTGTCTGGTCATCATTCCCCTCACCTGAAATGTCTTGACATGTTCCTTCGTTTTATGCATTCTCATGCGGCCTGACATGCTGTTCGTACTTCCACCACTTCAATCCATCCATAAGTCATTGCGGTCTTCCAATCTGCCTTCTTTCAGACAATGCCTCCTTTGTGCGGGAATGGCGTTCATTGACGGGCACATTCGTTTTTTCCCTTTTTTGGGGGCAAGGGTGAAAATACTTCTGCGTTAGTTGGAGGCAGCGTAAATTCCCATCTCAATTTATTTTCAGGATTCAAAAAGCTAGCTTTTTTTAATTTCTTGCGTTGTGTAAAGCCTAGCAATAATGATGAAGTTCTGTCTCAAAAGGAAATCGGCTACTAGCATCCACACGTTGTGCAGCTCCAAATCGAAGAAGTACCCACCCCTAGACCCGGCACAGCCCACATTCCCTCAGTCAATGCGTTTGTAACGCATAATTTGATGCAAACGATCAGCTCTAACTGATGAAGAGCACGTGTCACACATATGTGACGCCGGTAACTGTACCCTCGGATATCAGGAACGCCACCTTTACATCTTCGGTTGAATTTCTTCTCCCACACCCTCCGTCACCTAATCAAGACGTGTAGAATCGGTTAGACTTCTCCGATGTATGATTTCTAATCTCCGAGGCACTTCTTCATCTTGCTAGTTTTTCCTTTTGGAGACGAGTCTCCACTACCTAGCAGCCGGTGACAAAAAGTTTGCTGCGTTTTTTTTGGCATGACTCACGGAAATCACATCTGGTAACTTTTAAAGGACTTACAAAATTCACATGCTTTTCTACCTTCACGGGTTCCACTTGTGTGGACCAGTGCAATGCTCTTTCTGCCCTGTTTTGAACCCTCAAGTCATCAGCTGTTGGTTGAAATAGCCTGATGAAAGTGCTTGCAACTAGACCTGGTTTACGAGGTGAAGCGAACCCAGTTGTAGAGGCCTTGCATCAAGCCTGTTGGGTGGCAGTCGGAGAATTGTTTGCTGACTGAATAACTTGTGGTGCGAGCTAGCCTATGCGAGGCGTTCCACTCACTGTCCGTTGCACAGATCTGCGACACATATCACTTCATCGTGAGAATGCTCCGCTTCGTGTGTACGGGGGATAAATTACTAGTGGAATAGTTCATTAGGAGCGAATTTACTGTTGAAGGCCCAAACAGTTGGTTCTGAGGGCCCTTTTTGCAAGGCCGTCCATAACCTCGTATCCTATATCGCCGTGAAACTTATCCACAAGAAAATTTGCCTCCAGAGGCGAGGGGAAAGGGATGAAGGGAGCCACCGTCTCCTCCTCTGCGTTCTCATATTTCTCCAAGCCTTGTCCCCCTTTCTCCGTATGTTCGTAGGAAAGCGAGGTGGAGACGGAGGCGGTCTTCTAAAAAGTGGACCTCCCGGGGACCTGACTTTTGCTCGTTAGTCATTTCAGCTGGCTAGGTTTTTTCCGCCTCACATTTCATCAAAGGTAGGTTATTGCATTAATTTGAGCCCTCCTTTGTTCATAGATGCCAAAAATTTTCTCCATCTTAATTAGCCAGTTTGAACTACGCAGGAAGTAAGTTCTGAAGTTACATCCGCCCTTCGAAAATTTCAAAGGGTCCTACCGTTGATTGAAAATACATCTCTTGCAAACCCATCACTCAATAACCCGTTTTTCTCAATTTAATTGCCATTCCTGATACCTTTTGACAAGTAATAAAGGGGAGGGGGCATCTCGTGGAGTTGAGTCTCATTTTCGTTGCCTTTTGATTGCCAGATCTTCATTCAAGACAACCAACAGGGTGTGGAACAAACTCGCATCACAAATCTCATTCTCTATGGCTGTCCGGTGCAGAATGTTACCAACATGAATGAGTTCAAACGGGTACGTCTATCACTACACCTACCGCACTGCCTTGCTTCCACCATCACTGCTTCGAGAGACGCGCCCAAATCGGAGCGAGACTGCTGATTTGGGGAAAAAAAGGGCCCGACTTTCTGTACACAGTCTCCTGTCACGCACAGTTTTTCCTATCCCGAAGGCAGTTTTTTGCACGGACGGCTGAATCACCCTTTGGTGCGCTTTCTGAGGTAGAAGACGCTCGCAGGTGACCCCGACCACCGTGTCCCACATGCTCATTCCAGCCTCACGACAAGTTACCCAAGCTAAGATATTTAACCTCCAAGGAGGTAGGCTGAGAGTCGCCATGGGCGGGATCGTCAATCACGGATGCGCGGTCACACTGTCGGGAGTTTGGCCACCCCATCGTCACATCGTACTGTGCTTGTAGTCCTCTCCATAAGTGGGTATCCACCCACAATTAGCCACTGCCACTACCATCATCACATTGTCGGTCCTTTTGAGTACCGTAAAATTAAAAGTCCCAGCTTGACTCAAAAGGAGCATTTGCACCTACGAGCGGGTAGTTTTCTAACGCTTTGGTTATTGTGATGTGTTTTTAGGTTGCTGGACAGAAGGGCGAGGCGCACAGCTAGGCGGAAGTGGAGGGCCCAATCCTGCGCCATCTTTACTACTGCTAGACCGAGAGCAAAAAAATAAATAAAAGAACATGAAAAAGTCATTCGAAGGTGTTTTTGGCCTCTCTAAAGTGCGTCTTGGCTGCCGGCCAAAGTGAGGGAGGAAAGCGGTTTTCGAATTGGTGATAGTCATCACCTAAAAATAGGCGGAAGAGTTAAAGGGGAAAGGGCGGACTCACTTTGGCTGGAAGTGGACTTGTCATCCATCGGTTTGGCCAAGGTCTTCTCTAAAATGCGAGCCTGTGATAGAAAAAGGGCAGGGAGTAGTGGTAGTCGGCAGTACGCCTAACTACTAACTTGAAGTTCATGCTAGCGCCCGCTCACGCAGAATGCTATGGTTAAGCGAGCGACTCTTTTCGGTCGAGAATGATTGATGGAGGATTCCCATGTCATGCCGTTATTGGTTAAATGACAACGGACTGAACAACTGTTTCAATCCACCCAATGACAAGCAGAGCATTACAAAGTTGGCTAAACCGTAAAAAAGAACATCAGCAGTGTGACATACTACTGTTACTCCAGGTGTCATGCATCACTTCAAGCGTGACTAAGGCAGGGCATCGCCAAGTCCTCCGTCGTGGCTTCTAGATGCAAATTGCGAACGTTGAAACCGCCAATCGGGTGATGTAAGCCAAAGTAGTGATATATTATTGACTCGCAGGACTAGAAAATTCATTTGATAAAGTGAAATGAAGTTTAGGATGTGAATGTCATGACCCTGGCACGACTGATACTACTCAAATCAGGTAAGTACGTTGCATCCAAAGTGTGCCGCCGCTTGAGTTTTAAGGCAAATCTCAAGAGGATACACAGCTGCTGCCTCAGTTAGTCTTCAGTAGAGTAATTTGAAGGGGATTTGTGGTCGCTTTGCTTCGTTAATTATTAGTCAAATGTCGGAGATATGGTGCGCTACTGAAATTGAGCAAGTAGCACAGATAACGAAACACTCCTCACTCAGTAACATCGCCGAACTTGAAGTATTTTCGAGGAAAAAGCCCGTGCGATTATTACGATAAGCTATTCTAAAACCATTTAGCTTAATACGTTTTCTCTAAACAAAAGAATAAGTCAAGTAGCTGCTGAAATCAGTCGGACAAGTAGTACAAGCTGAGCACGCCGTTATCACATACGTGATTAAGTGGATAAAAAGGAAGAGGACTAATAGTACAAAGGACCTCACAATTCTTCAACCTATTCAACGACAAAATGACAAGCAGGGCATTACTAAGTGGACTGAACCGTAGGAAAGACGTCACCATTGCGACGTGCAAAGCGTCACAAAATTCACCAACACGGTTTGGCCAACTAGACGCTGAATCGACAAATCGACAACCTCTCTAGAAACGTCAACTTAAGTGCTACATATAACTCCATTCTACTTGACACCCGACAGGTCTACGTGTCATTATCGAGAGTGACCAAGGCGGAACATCACCGAGCCTTCTACTGTGGCTACCGGATGCGATTTCACGGACAATTGTATGGGTGACTAGAAGCTAATTACACCATTTGAAACCACCAGCCGGATGATGCCGGGTCACTGGTGGCAAACCACGATAAGTTATTAATACGCAGGACCAAAAAGTAAGTAAAACTGCCACCAAAATCTATTTGAAGAGCGAAATGAGGTTTCGCGAAATCGAATTGATGAAAACCACAGCGTCAGCACCCTCTGTATACTAGCATGCTATCATTCCGGCACGGCCAATACTACTAAAATGAAATAAGCATTCCGCAGCTAAAGTGAGCCGCTGCTTTAGTTTTAAGTCAAACCCCAGCAGAATGTATAACCACTACTGCGGTTGGCCTTCAGTAGAGTACCTTGAAGGAGACTTATGGCTGCTATATCTGGTCAATTATTATCTAAATATTGGCAATATGAAGTGCTACTGAAAACAGGCAAGTAGTGTGAGCACCAGAACACTCCCCGCTCAGTAATATCGCCCAACTCAGACTATTCTCGAGGAAAAAGCCCAGGCGGGTTAGCTAATTCAATAACTTTTCGTTCAACGAAAGATAGCCTGAAGCTCCTGCTGAAATCAATTATATAAGTAGCCAAAAGGCAATAAATCTAGGGTCAACATCGGCGCAAAGCTGAGAGAATGTGAAGCAGTTTGATTGAAGACACTTCAAACATGAAACGTAAGTTGCCACAACAAAACTAGGCTGTGTCAATTCAACCACATAATCAAGATGGTACTAAAAACGGAGCACGACTGGTTAAGCAGATGGAGGGTCGAGTCAACTGGATGCTTTGCAGATCTACTCTGACACTGTCAGGCATTTTCACAAGATGCAGTCATAACATTCTGGAAAAAAAACTGTGAGCCCCTATAGGCGATCTGTTTTCAGCAAACAAACACTAGGAGCAAGTGCTCCAGTCAATTTTGGTTCATTTCTACTTAATCAAATAGGCAAACCAAAACTGCAACAAATCAGCGTCATGACCCGTCCCAATTTCGCACTTGAGTCATCAGGTAGCCATAATACTACAAAACAAATCAAGCGATTAGACTGCACCTCAATGAAGTTTGCAAGCAGCGCCGGATTCAAATGCACAGCAAGCAGGGCAGTGTTAGTGCTGCTACCACCCGCATCCTTAGGGGGGAAACAACAGGCGATCAGTGTAGGAAACAGGATATCTGCCAGCACGGGTTGGGAGAAGTAATTCAACGGGAGTTGGCATAGTTGCAGAAGCAGTGGTGTCACAGACTGACCGTTGACACATAAACGCGTCTGGTTGTCAAGGTGACCCAATGTTAGGTAGCCCAAGCATATAATTGCTTCATGTAGAATCAGAACTTGGTGACAGCTGTCACTAGAGGAGAAAATAAAAGTTGTAGTTGCAAGTCATCAGAGGCTGGAATATACCGGATAGAAAACGTACTGGTCAGGAGGAGTGGCGCACCTCCTTTGTAATGCTTCAGGTGACGATAATGGCAATGATGAGGGGCCCTCTTTAGGCGTAACCTTGAGGCCAACCTCCTTAGCACCACTAGGAATGAGTGCAGATGCATTTCGACGACTTTTACCCACCAAACAGCCACCCGACGCCGAAGTGGTGGCCTTATTAAGGGTTGTGATGGGAGCAGGAGAGGGCACATCTTTTTCTACCTCAGACTCGTCCTCTTTTGGTGCGCAGATGGAGAAAAGGAGGCCCATAATGTGACGCACTTGTATAGACGTCGAATCATTGCTGACAATTTCCTGGTAAAAAAAACAAGAGCTACCTAAATGAGGTCTGAAAGTAGCTTCCGGAGCTGGTACTGTTGGAAGACGAATATTTAGTCAATTATTGAGTGGAAAAGAATGAGGGATTACTGGTGCAGGAACGAAGGCTTTACAAGTACAGAAACGTTAGAAGCAAATCAACTGCCTTAGTGACCCGTGAAAGCTGGAAATCTCAACACAGGCAAGATTAAACAGTGATTTGCCTTAAGAGTCATCGTGACAGGTACTTCGCGTTACAAATTGGAAGGCTATGTTATCCACCCAAAATGGCCTAAAGTTATTTATATGATGGATTAAGATCCTTATCAGGCTTTGGATCTAACAAACTGTTCCAATAACAGTCGCCAACTTCTCAATGCAGCCTTCACGATCTGGATGATTCAAAACTCTTGGAGTACAACCATTATTGAATCGTAGATGATGCGATTGCTAACGATATTGTTCACAATAACATAGCAGTGAATTTGTTGATGTCTGCCGCCACTAAGCGAGCCATGAATTCAACACGAATAAGGGTCCTCTCCAAAATGCTCGTGGAGATCATTTTGGAAACCATGTGAATATTTAGGGCGGTTCTATTGAAAGAAAGCATTATAATGGTGCCACTACCGAAAACGTGTATAAAAATCCCACAAAAATAAGTTAAACAGCTTCAGAGATTTTGCATAAAGCTCAACAAATTTTGGTATCAAAATTTCCACAAATGCTAACCTGAATTTTAGGCAAATTCACCAACGACGCGCAATTAATTAGTCGCAGCGCATTCAAAACAATTTCAGCCAATCGCGCGTTGAGTGAAAACTTCTGACCAATCGCTTCACTACCATCATGACAATCACCTGCACGAGGATTTGCTGACATTTGAAGGGTGTCATAGAGGAGCGAAACAATGCCAAAAACCTCGGTAGCTGCCACCGCATCAAAAAAGAATGTCGGATCATCAGTGATTTCGGTTGAACTAAGAGAAAGAGAACTGCGTGTTAGTTTAGAGGCATAAAACTTATATTGTCAAATAGAGGGAAGCACCGCTCTTACCCCTTCGGCTTGTCGGCACGCTTGCTCTTTGCAGAGGGTATAATCCGAACAAGAGCAGTGAGAAGTTGGAGACTTTTTAGAGCTACTTCTGGTCCCCTGTCAATTAGTTCAGGACTGCTGGAGTCCAATGGACAAGTCAATTGAGAACTTAAACTTGGTAGAGAGAGAAAATTTGTCAGAACTTCCATCAGACCGGAATTCACTGCGTAGGCGACGAAGTCCTGCATCAAAAATTCAAAATAGATTATAGCTTCAATAAGCAAGTACATTTTTCACGAAAAATTACATCAAGCAGACAGAAAACTAACCGACAGACAGGCAGCAGTGAGGTTGGACGCTTTCTTCGATGGGGGAGTAGCCGTAGCGGTGGTAAGAGTTGGTGGGGACGATTTTAGTCCACGACTTATAACAAGAAGGCAGGAGAAGAGAGCGCAAATAAAACCCATCTCTTCCAATGGTTTTCCATCACCTTTTGGACATTGGGGTTGTTTTACCTCCTCCCACAGTTCCATGACTTCCAGCCGCTGAATACAAGATGGAAATTCGTAAAGATAATTGAGAAGGAATTCCATTGAGATGTCGAGTAACTAACTCACGCTCAATTTCACGGTTAGACAGTCGAGAAGAAGAGTTAGGTCACAATTAAAAAGGAGGTGCCAGGAGCAGAGGGAGACCTTTTGGCAAATTGAGGTCAGTAATTCGCATGCCAAAGCAACAGTCCTGTTGTTGAGAGAAAAATAGTACTGATAAATGTTGGCATTTCAAGCACTTTGTTAAACCACCCTCCTCAAATTGTAAAAATTTCTCCTGATTACCTGGTAGGAACGACAGGAAAATCGAAATATCTTTGACAACGCGTCAAATCGATTAAGTTCACGAGAACTGATGGCAAGTCCAGATGGTAGCAGCACAGGAGAGACGTCTAGAAGGAATAACAAAAGACAAACAGGCAGAGAAGTTTGAATTCACACCAATTCAGGTCACATACTACTGAAATGTGGCATAGGTGGACAACTGACCTCGTCATTGGCCAACCGCCGAATGGCACGAAGGGCTTTCTCCATAGCCGCTACACGCGAGGCTACCCACGGTCCTGACTCCGGCAGATTGCAGTATCTTCTCGCTTCCTTGATATGTTTTTGAAGTCTAGAATGGCGTAGGAATGAAAGGCATCCGATTGCTTACTGTGCTTTTTGCGGACAAGAGGGAGCCAACTTGTCATTCACAAGTGGTGCCTTGCGATAAAGAATGCTTCTGAAGCAGAAAGAGGTAAAACAAGACGACTTATTTTCATCCAGTAAAAAGGATTATTACAAAGCTCAAAGTGAGGCGCCACCTCGCATTCATTCGCTGACGCACAACATCCAAACGTTTAGCGAGAAGTTTCTGACGTTCCACCTCAGCTGATCTCCGTTGTCGCCGTAGGCGTTCCTTCTCATCCGCCTCCTCCTGATGCTTTAACGATGTCGGCAGTTCTATGAAACAAGCCGCGTTGAGACGATCGATATCCCATCTATCGCTACGCCGCAGACAGGCGGGGAGAGAGGTGAGCAGGGCATTGCGGTGTTCCTGCGATTCAAAATGCGAGACGGAGTCCACCTCAACACGACAGAGACGACACCAACCACGCCGGTGATATTGTGAATGCCGTGGTAACGTGGCGGTAGTTGTGTCGTGTTGTGGAGCAGACATCTCGAGAGCTTTGCGTCGAATGCCGCTCAGGGTCTCCTGATGGCGGCGTTCGCATTCAAGTTGCTGAGATACATAAAGCACTACTTAAAAAGGAAGTAGACGATATTCCGTTCATCCATTTGAACATGAGCCACATCCGCCGATTCCCTGTAATTCATACAGCACTTCGTGGAATCGAAAAGCAGTTAATAATTTATGCATATGTCTTTCGGAATGAATAGGCGAACGTTGCGAAAAATTCCAGGACAGCGGGCATCAGATTCGGGAACCACCACCTATCGACTAATCCTACATCTCTCCCAAATCATCTTATTCATCCTTAGTCCAACCATCTACCGATTTTTGATCCAACTATTACAGACCCATCTGTCAATCAAAAGTGGACCCACCTACTCATGTTCAACCCATACTTCCTGAATCAAACCGCACTGGATCCATCCTTCCTCAAATCCATCCGCCCAATCGAAATCCATTAACCGAGACATGTGTGTGACGCAGGTAGTAAACTCAACGGCTTCCTGAACCTATATTCCCATACCATAGAATACAGGCAGAACCTGATAGGCCTAAATGAAGGTTGTCTGTTCAGCAAACTGGAGTTAATTCAATTCCTCGATTGTGAAAACACGAGCCTCTGTGCTAATGTTGTTGAAATAACATTTAAAAACGGTGCGATGGCAGAACAACTCATCTCTTAGAAACTATTTTGATATAATACCAAATGTATGGATGTTTAGATAAATGAGAAGTGTACAAACTCGGCGCCATCAGCGTCACAAATATGCGACGTATTGGTTTCAGTAAATCATGGGTTAAAAACAGATTAAGTGGATTTAAAGGAGTGAAAGAGGTGTAGGATTTTGATGTTCCAAGGTAACCGGCACTCCTTTCGTCGTTTTAACAGCACGAATTTTGTGGCCCTCAAAGACCAATTTGCTACAGAGCTCCAGGTGACAAACGTGATCACCTTGTAAATTGACTTCGTGCTTTACAATAGCCGCGTTTCCAAAAATAGCTCCCCGCAAAATACCACCAATAGGCACGCTTTAGTAACTCACTTTACGCACGATTTTCGACCTCAACTCCTCAATGTGTTGGCGCTGCTGTTGCTCCAAACTAGCCAGTTTCATTTCACGATGTAATTCGCGTTCTCTCGCCGCCGCACGTCGCACCAATCGAGTCTGTTCGCCCCGCATTTCGATTTCGTGCGCTCGGGATATCCAGCGTGCCTGGAGCTCGTCCAGGCGGGCCAGACGAAGTGCTTCCAACTCTATTCGTCGAAGCTGAAATGGGTAAATTCCAGAAACCAGTGTCTTCCAAATACCAAATGGACGAGTTGGAAGACAATATTACTAATTTGTAATTCAGTAGGGTCGTTGATGAGAGTAATCTAAAAAAAGTGAATACGGTGGCACAACCAGCTTAATAAATCCAAGGAAAGTCACGAGTCGGATTTGATTAAACAATGGATAGGAAAGAAAAACACTCAACCACTTTCTTAGGATTAAATTTGATAAGTTGTCCACTTACACCTACACTGCCCTCGGACTACCCAGAGGCAGCGAGATAAAGGGAACAGACAAAACCAGAAGTAAGAGATACCTTAGCGGCTTCTTCTCGCTCCGCCTTCTCTTCCAAACGCCTACGCCGAACTTCAGCTCGTTCTCTTAGTCTTGCACAAGAAATTTCATGTTTTGCAAAGATCGTGTGCTGCTTTTGCTCTGCCTCCAGACTCTAAAAACAAGAGGTATAGGAAAGAACAAGAAATTGACTCCTCAAACGCCATTCCTTGGGCGGCAAATAGCGGATTCGGAAGTAGGCTTTAAGCAAGCGTAATACACATTTGGGCTACGGGAAAAAAACAACTCTTACAGAGAAAGACAGTAAGAAGCACCTGAATAAATGCAATTTCTCGGCCCTTAATCTCCTCATCGTGTGCCTTTAATATGCGGCGCTTTAACTCTGCCCGTCGATTGGCGTCAGCTACGAGAAGACGTTGCTCGAGGAAGTTGCGACGTTGTTGAATCAGCCGAAGTTTCTGCTTCCGAACTTCCTCCACCTGAATTAAAGTAAATAGAAAGATGCTGGCTGCATAAGTTAGATGTTAGAAGCATTGGGTAGGTTAGTTCAATGTGACACTAGTAAACTCACCTTTGACAAAAACTGCGATGTAGTAAATGTTGCCAATGGGCAATTAAATAACCATTGATGGGACAGTCAACAGTAGTACTTAAAATTGATATGAGTACTGCACATTAAATAGAATGTAACTGCAAAATTTTAGATTTGTGTGGGAAATAAACAAAAGCTTTTGTGCCATTGCGAAGGTAAAGAAGTGCTTAATAGTATTCAGTCAAAGCCGCTACGTAATTTTTCCAGTACCAACGGTACTACTAGAACCTAAATTAGTAGCAGTATAGGTGGGGATATGACGAAAAAGTTGGCAAAATTTATTCACCAAATCAACCAGTGAAGCAAAAGAAGTTGTCAATGGCAATCCAGCGTTATGAGCAGGGCACAAGTGTCACCGTCTTTAAGCAAGCAAAACGGGTTTAAGGGTGCAAATTCTCCATCATTGAAGGAAATACAAAAAAGAGGGCAAAAGTTAGCAACTCATTGGCCACCAGCACCACCACCCAGGGAAGTCCGGATCTTAACTCTAAATTGTTCTAGTTTTTGACATAATTAGAATAAAAAGTCAGTTATAAATCAAGACGTCTATATGCGCGTAACCGGATTAAATCCTGAGGGCAAACACAAGATAAAGCCGGTTTATACATAAAAAATAGAATAATAGGCGGAACACAAAGAAATCGGCAAAAAATGGATACAAACACTAATGTTTTATCAGTTTTGGGACTTAGAAGTAGGCAGTTCCCTCTCAGAGTTCGGAATAGCGATACTACTTAAAGGCTATGCCAATGACAATTCAGTAGAATCGATAAACCATACAGAAGATAAAAATGTTCAATTACCTTCTTACTGAGCTCCCTCACTCTATTAGACCGCTCTAGTAGATGTCGTTGACGTAGAAATCGCGCTCGTGCCTGCTTGGCCTCAATTTCCTGGATGGAGCGCTCACATCTAACAACAGATTGATAGGAGAAATGGAATGACAAAAAACATTACTTAAAAACACCTGAATCAGACAATAATTAAATTTACCTTCCACGATTCTGCGCCAGAAGTTTTTCATGCATTTGCACACCTCTGCCGGGAATTCTTGGTTTCCCGGCTCCCAGAAGATCACACCCAGCACTAAGAAAATCACCTCCCGCTCCATCCGTTGCCACAGCAACTGATCGTCGTTGGGTCTCTCCAGCACAGGCACAACAGACGAATGGAGTTGCAGTGGAGTCAGCACCACTAGTGGAAGATTTTTTGCTATTGGCGCCACCTAGCTGTCGCAGTGAAGCCTCCTCCCGTCCTAATTCGCTTCGTAGAAGGCGTTCGGTGGAGGCCACAGACTTTATCGCTGCGTCGAAGTGAGTTTCCTCACCTTCCTCCACATCTTCTTCCTCGTCAACATCATTCAGAAGATCCTCTTCGTCGGAGCCCCAGGCAAGGGCAGCTGCGGCTGCGGTCGAGGAGGAGGGCGGTGTAAGGGTGGTTGGGGAGAGGTCAAGGTCAGCGAGAACTCGAAGCATGATTGGTCTGCCGGGTGATATCTTCCGCTCGTCCCAGGCGAGACTTGTGGGTCTGAAATGAGTAGGTGTCTACTTTTAGGCGATATCAACAAATGAATTTGTTCTCATTCAGCCTTTAGCACTGCCTGCCAAGGGACGCAATGATCAAGGACGTAATTCCAGTAATGCAATAGGCGACATCTACTTCTGTCTCCTGGACGATTACAATTTATAGAAAAACAAATGAAGCAAAGGAGTCACCACAAGAAGCATCGTCAATGAAACTTAAAGGATGAAGTGTGTCTTATTGATACGGCTTTCCAGCACCACCAGTTTGGCCTCCAAAGATAACTGGAAGCAGTAAACGAGCAGCAATAGCAAGCGAATTCAATATGATCAGGCAACAAAAATTCGTCATGGAGATATCATGGCAAAAATCCCAAAGAAAAAAGCACCCACTGTGAGCGGCCATCACCTCAGTCTCAAGCTCTGCAATAGAATATTTAGCAACTGAAGTGAGACTGAATCAGAGGAATTTGAAAACGTCAGTCCATTCACCTGGAAGGCATCTGGTGTATAGGATGGACCACCTTCACGTCCTAAGAAGACGAATAAAACAGCGAGAGGTGGCTCGACAGCGCTGAGAGAATACGAAGTAGAGAGGAGAAAAGAACAGCGATCATCACTTGAAAGCGCCCTCGGGCGATGCCACATTAGCGAATTTCTCACAACTCAGTCCACAAAGAGTATCCATCAAAATTCAACAGATGCGCCACAGATGTTTGGTCTGGACGGGAGCTAACTGCAGGGAGTCAAACACAACCGTCCAGATGTTAATGGAACCACCCCTACAACCTCTTCCGTACATCTAACTCATTCATCTTGAAAAATTAGTAGAGGGAATAGGTGAATGCGTGTCTCCTTTATGTGGAAATGCGTAGACAAGTCCCTATTGTCCGTAACTTACAAGAATGCTACTCCACATAGAGGGCACAATCGACCTAACCACCTGCCTACTTATTACAAAATAAGTAGATCAACGACAACCCATTTCAACTGTGTAGCTAGGTTTTAACCTCTCTAATTGGGAGATGGGGTCACGACGCTTGGAGCAAACACAACTGCATCGCCCTTAGCTCAGGTCTCAAACGCAGATGGACAATTTTTCGCCAAACAAAAAGTTCTAATCAAATGACCGTATTCAGCGATAGAAACTATTCATAAAACGACAAACCACCGTAATACTTAAGCCGAGCTGAAGATTCCAACTTTTTTCCGGCCATACAGTGGGCTGCTGTCGGAACGACACTTCACGCAGTAGTAGCAAGTGATGCGATTGGAATTGTCGATTCCAGACATCATTAATCACTGTGACGGGCAATAATGGTAACTTGTGTGTGAGCGCACGGAAAAGTGGGTGGTGAGGAAGGAGGTTTCCGGCGTACAAAAAAGGAAATTCCGTGGACAACTGTTTGTATTTGCGGGAGACCTTGAGCACAGAGGTATACTGATGGGCCGCTCAAGGCGGCTGCCAAAGACCGTCTCTCGGCGACGATTCCGGCTGCGGTGATTCCGTTACCAGCCTACGGGTAGTAGTAATTTCTGTTAACCTGTCATAGTAAAACTGCATAAGAGGCGATCCTTTCTGTGCAAACGATAAATACAATCAACTATTGATGTTAGGCATTCCAGATCTTGACAAGCACAGAAGAAGTGAACAAGTGAAGGGGGGTTCGGCAGTACTGGCAAGCCCTCTTTTATCAAAGCTTCGGGGATGCACGACGAATGCTGGAATTAGGATATGAACTTATTGTAGACGCAAAAGTCCCAGGGTTACTTGGAGCCCCCCTCTCAAACGGTAAACTAAAATGATTCTCAATATCCGTATTCAAAAAAATTTGCAAGTGTTTCCGGAGAAACAACATTACCTCTTCAAGAGGCTAAGAGGCAGCGGAATGATGATATTAATAAACAAAATTAAGACGATGGGAAATTTCTACTCTGTTTAAAACTGCGAGATGTCGTGCTGCAGTTAAAAGAGACAAAAAGCCCTCCCACACTTCACAATAGTACAGAGGTGATATGCGGTTAACCCCCCATGGGTATAAGGAGAGTTTTTTTCAGTTGCAGCTTCACATTAACCTTTGATGTTAATTAACCGACGCGGGCCCTTCGGTCCTCGCAGGCATGGCATTGGCCAGACAATTTTGCAATAAAAAGCTCTAAGAACAGGAATGCCACATGTGCATGCCCGACAGCTGTTAACACCAAATCGCCACGGACAGTTGGCGGTAAAACAGCTATAACAGAAGCAAGGATGTATGTTGGTCGAGAGCAATAGTCAAATGCATTTTTTTATTCCCTGAGGCTAAAACACCTGCGATCAATGCCGATCCAGCAGAACAAAACTGCACTAAGACGGAGAAGTGGAGACTTTTGCCTTTATCGCCACCGCAAGAAGCCCAAAGTAACCTGGATAAGATGTCTATCTTAGTTAATTCGATTTTAAAGCGTCCATATTCTCTTGAAGATAGGTAACTGAGAAAATTTGGGGAAAGATGGACCAGCCGTCTGCGAAGACAATCAGGAGATAAGATCAAAGCTGTGGAAATTTTAATAAAGCAGTTTTTACAGCCTTACACATCAACAAACAAACCTTGATTAACGCCTCGGCACACGAAAACCCATCTTCATATCCTCAACATTTAATGAGGCAAAGATTATTCAAATGTTACTCTATCTTTACAAATATCCAAACCACAAACCAGCATACAGGAACAATACCCCTACAAAAAGTAGAAGTAAAAAGAGTGGGGCTCATGCCGCCGCAATTATAGTCTTCTCTCAAGACTTAAAGTATTTGAGAAGAAACATTCTAGTTAGCTCCAAACAACCACTTTCTCAGTTTCGAAAAGCCACGCCTTATCAAGATACATGACAGATAAGGCGGAAGGATGCACATATTTTCAATCACCAAAGCTCTACAAATTAATGAATTACTTCTGTAAACAAAATTCGATATACTTAAGTCAAACTAGTAACTAACACCTTTGAAAACATGTCAATAAATACGGTAAAAAATTAACGAAACACATCCGTAACACCTACCGTATTCCATCATTCGAAATTTATTATTTGGGATGATAGTTTGCAATATTTAGGCAAAAACAAACAGCAATCAAAAAACCTTATCAGATAAAACGTAACTTTCACATGTTAAGCAGGCGCTCATGCAAATAGCCCAAAATCCTTTTTAACGTACCATCCTTTTTGGCATAGATAACACACAAAAAGCAGGCCTTGGGCTCACCTGTTTCCGAACTGTTGAAGTAGAGACATCTTCTCAATTAGTGACTTAAAATCCTGCTCGCTATGGGTGAGGATCATAATCACCTCTTTGCATCGCATCTCACACTCATCCAATTCACATGCCGCATAGATCTCATCAATTGTTCGTTTCAACGTATCCAGCATTTGACCCCAATAGAGGGCGTGGTAGTCTTGTCGTCTCCTAGCTAGACTTCGTTGTGAAGTTTCCCGGGATGAGGCAGACGAACGGTCCGAACTCGCAGTGGCTCGGCTTTTTGTGCTGCCAGAATTCCCGGCTGACGATGCCCGAGAACCCGAACTGTAGTCCCCATGGTGACGCTTTGACAAAGATACCCGGTTGGAATCTGCCGAAAAGATGTGTAAGCAATGATACCTTGGTCATACCTTCACATGTCTCAGAAAAAGGAAGGTTGTACTTTACTATATTGCGAGCTTGCGTGCCCTCGCGTTCAACTTTGAGTCGAATCCAATCGGTATTGGAGTCGAGGGACTTTTCGAAATGAGGAGCTTTATAGCCGTCCATACGAAAAAAGAAGCGCTGGATACATAGAAAGGTCAACAACCACCCACCTATTCGCAATCAGCGGCTTAAGTTAATTTGCCGGACTGATTTATACAGTAAGTGAAACAATAGTGACTTCCAGATCAAGTGATTAAATTACCTAAATAAATTACATACAGCAAACAAAACATAAAGTTTTAGTCTTAGAATATGGCAAAGCCTGTAACTACTAGAGCTTGGCAGCCCTTAAATTCTGCATTTTGTGCAATTTTGTAAAGCCTCATATCATCCAAACTGGAGATTTATCTCGATTGCACAAACATCGCTTTTAGGATTATCATGAGCACAATTTTTGTGCAGCTCCTATTATTCTCATCCGGAGGCAAGCCCCAGCTTCTTGATTTGAACCAGCATCCAAATCGAGCCTCAATTTTATTTACCAGCACATCTACTTGCAAAATAACCATGTGTCAAAAAATAAGGATCGTTTCTTAACTTGCTGTAAGGCCACCTTAAAAAGAAACAAACTACCGCTTTTCGAATCCATCCCATTAAGTACCACACTTTGCTTATGATACTACCGTTAAGTTATACAAATGCTTAGGAAGCCTCATTTTCAATGATTTCGTGGGAAATTTATGAACAATTGTGGCGTCCCGAGACTGCCTGAAGACGAAAGAAGACACAATACTTGGGCAGAATATATATATTCAGCACGGAGAAGGTATCTGGGCTACTGGCATGGCCCAAAGGCCAGCCCACCCGGCGAGGTACAAGGGGGCTAGTTCAAAGTACAAAGTGGCGCCTCACCAGAACCGAGGGATAAACCACTATCGTATTACACAATAAACTACCAAACATCAAGATTGTATGGATGTGTTGAGGAGAGTAGAAAGGACGAAGGTGAGTCAGCTAACAGAAATCTTGCGTTCAGGAAAAAATACTACCAGTCAGGCATTATTACTGTTACTTTTGTCAAGTTGTAAGACAACCGGTATGTTTTTCTTGTTCCTTCTTTCGTCTAGGGACTTGTTCAATAATGCACAATCTTTGATCAAGAGGAGTCTTTTCTTTATTTTACCCCTCTGCATTCAATTTCTTGACATTGAAAAAGAGCGCAATGTTGGCGGAAATACACCCCATCTTCTCCAATATGAGGTATCACTGAAACTTAAATTTTTAGGTGTAGTCATAAAGAGCTATGGCATAGGCGATTAGGACTTACTTGCAGGGGATGAAAATACAAAAGCTACCGCAGCTAGGGAAACATTAAAACAAAATTTGAAGCCGGTATCCATATATGGTCATCAGACCATACCAATGAGGCAAAAAAATCGTACGCAGAGACTGATTTGACGCATGGTTAAGGGCAAATTGCCTACCATAACACCTATTTTTGTGGTAAGTTGTACCATGTAGAATGTACACTGTAGTTATTTCTCCCCTTTAGCGCCTATAGAAAAGCTTTTCTCACTGTATTTGCAACACTGGTTGATAAAGGAGAGAATGAAAGCAGTCTTTCGCCAGTTCATCACTTTTCAACCATATTTTTTGAAATATTTATGTCTCAAAAGCAACCATGGATGCATGGATGGATGCAAAGTGGTTACGGGATGGATGAAAGAATGTGGAATGGATGGGTGGATGGAAGGATACCGAATGGATGGGTACGAGATGGATGGATAGATACAAGATGGATGAATGGTTAGTTGTAAGAATGGATGGCTCCATCCGATATTTTTTTTCATCACAGTCACCTGCAATTCACTCATATCCTCCAACGCCCCATTCCGAGCTCCATTTCCTACTTTAGCATTTGCTTTGACAACAACTTATGCCATTTCGAAACAGGGCGCCGAACTTCAGTGGCACTCGATCCAGCGCCGCTGCACACCCTCATGCATAATAGCATCGAAATGTAAAAGCCTAGCAAGTAATTATCTTACATGTCGTTGCTATGGCACCAAGGCTAACGTAGATTTCCTTTCGAATCCTGCAAAAATAACCCCAGCCCGAAAATGCAAAAAGCTAATAGAAAACAAAAAACTTACCAACAAATTGACAACCACTGTCATTTAGATTGCCCCATTCGTCAATCAAAGATTGCCAACGATAAGAAATAAGTAGACCAGGCACCTCAACGATTACTTATCATAATTTATTCCGAGTTTACGGATACTAATGTACAGTATGTCTCCTTTGACAGCTTAATTTAGCTGTCTGTAACAAATCCCATGCTGTCATCATGGCGACTCTGTTGCTACCACGAATTAGGAGCAGTATTAGGATCAAATAGCGCCTTACCTTTGAATCAAGGCATGTGTCTACCTCTAGAGTTTCCACTAAGATATCTCCTTAATTGGATAAGGTCAATTTAAAGGATGTTACTAAGGCATGTTCCGTACGGCTATGCTAAATACTCCAAATCTGCAACAGCATTCCATTCACTTCATCTTCATCCACCCTGAGTCCACCTATACCCTGCGGATACATCCCCTTACCCGATATGCCACGGAGACATCCTCGTATTCATTTGTTTCTTTACCATCTTTTCACTTAAGCACTTTTACAGACGCCAGTCATTGACCAGCTACGCAACTTCAGGATGAGTAAAATCAGAGTACTTTATTTACATCCAATGACCTTATCGCTTAAAATAAGTCAAATCACATGGCTGGCAGATAGAAGACTCTTTTCCTTTTCTTTTCAAGTAATCGTTTTAATTGATTGACCAATTGTCTTCTTTGCTAACTCCTTTTCCATGGAGCTGCAAAATAAAACATAAATTGGGCCAGCAAGGTCAAAGCATCTTATCTTTATAAAAAACCCGATACAAACATGTTATGTAACTACTTTGTTCAAATATCTTTGTAAAAATGACAAAGTGGAAATTTTCCGAAATGTCCATTCCCCTTCTCACTTTGACCCTTAGATAAATCGCTGGACTCTACCTGTGGAAAGAAAACTATCAATTGTACGAATACGACCAGAAGCCGCTATTTTTAGACCCAAACCAGCGGATACCGGATGCTCAGTAGAACAATAGGTTCTTACCACTTTATTCACGGGAGAGCACAGTAGCTCTGTGTTATGAAAAATGCGTTCTTCCTGCAAACAGAACGTAACACAATCTTCTCAAATACATGTAATTTCAAAAGCCCATGCAAAAGATATATTAATTACGCGCCAAGAATGCCACTAGAAATTTTTAACTATTGTGTTTGATTAACAGTGTTGTAATTTTAGATTTGCGTTGTAAATACTCAGTTTTACCTACTTCTGTCTCCAAATCGACGAGTCCATCAGTGTCAAAAAGTATGGTCTTTAGCATTTCCATTTCGCGTTTTTGTCGCCGCTCAGCCTAAAGAAAAATTGGCTGTTCACTTCAGTGATCAGGCGATAAAAAATAATTTAATAAAAACAAACTAACTCTTATTTTTCGAATGCGTTGGGAGTTGCGAATATCTTCAATGCTTCTGCGCAGTCTTGACTGCCAATTTCTTTCGTTTTCAACAGCCTTGTCAGTCAAAGTCCGAATGTATGCTTTCAGCGCTGCTTCCTGCCGTGATTTTCTAATTAACTCACTGCGAAAATCTTTCTCTGGGACTATTTCACCTCCTGGAGTTATCTGAAAACAGAGGTGACTTTCCATTATGCTAATACACTTTGTTGGTAAGATAAGGATTGGAACTAACAAAAAATGAACCGTAATTCTAACTTACTAGTCCGGATTTGATCAAATGTTGCTTAACTCTGGGTGAATTGAAAAAGTGAGCAAGATGGTGGTCAGCTAAGATGTTGTAATTTTCGAGAGAACTAAAGTCGTTATCTTCCAAAATGAAGTATTACACACTTCATATCAACTGTAACGCCGCGAGACCGCTCGCTTTGCATTCACCGGTTAAATAAGCCTCAGTCCGCAATAGAGTGTTTCTTATTCGGTTAAACAATCAAGGTTGTTAATATGACCCTAAAAACCGTTAGTTCTTCTGCAAAAAAGTGGCTTCATTGACTGCAAAGATATTAGTTGCAAATGCATTTATTTGCCATATGTTGTGACCAAACATATTCATTCCCAAATTCTTCTAATTAGTAGGGCTGGGTGAATCGAAATAAGCCAGGATGAAAATAACAATAAGCATTGCTATCAGCTAGCACACCTAAAAAGTAGACTCGAAAACGTGAAACACTTCAAAAAGTTGCCACTTTTATGATTCGAAATTTTATCATTGGTAGAAGTTTAGACGTGTCGAAAACGTGTCAAATACATTAAATTGTAGACTTAAAGCTACTTCACAACATCACAAATCATTTTTACGCATTTATGATGATAGCTCTTTATGTGTGCTTTACTCCGTGCGTCCAAGTCGCTGTAAGCCATCCTACTGGAAAGGCAGGCGCCTTATTAACAAATTAATAGGCCAAAATGCTTGCCCTTGTTCAGGGCAGACCAACTCTCGGGTATAGATGACGTCCATTTCATGGCAAGACCCACGATCCCCCACTGGCCATTGCCCTATAGGTCCATTTAAACAAACATATAGAGCAGGCTATTGGTATGGCCAGATGGCTGTGTCTCTTGGCGGTTGAACAACCTACAGTGTCTAATGTAGGTTGAGCATATAATTTAACAAATTACAAAATAACCACACTTTTCCCCTCTTCTCTAGGGCTATTCTCAGCACCTCCACATTTTAGTTTTAGACGTTAAAGAACACAATCTTTTCGGTCCTTTAAGTATCCTCTTCGTGGAAGGAATCTCTACTCGGGTTTTGTGTCGGCGGAGAGAAACTTGATCCCAACTTCGGTGGCACACATCGGCGACTCAATTGAAACTAGAGTTCGACCCCATCTGTAAACTGTAATAGCATAGGAAGAAGCGTAGGGATTTGAAATGTCTAAGGTTGGAGGATATTGCAGAATTTATTCATTTCTTATGCCGTTAGCTGAACACTAAAACGTTTGCCCAAAAGCAGAGCCATTTGATCGAAGGCAAATCTTCGGAAAATTTTGTTATTTCTCCTTGTTTCATTTATATTATTTCAGTGCGTATAGCTAGTACGTCCATGAGGGACGTGCCGCGTACTCACCGAAAAGACCTTTTCAAGCCGTTCAAGTTTAATTTAGCTTAGCTTGTTGATGTCCTTTTGCAGAACACGAGGATAGTGTAAGGATCAATCTGCAGCAGGTTCTGCTTTTTTATAAGGTCAACGGTTTTTGGCTACGGACATTCGCCGCAAACCTGTGTTCTGTGTGACGATTCCTAGAGATATTCTAATACCTTTTTGGAACCAATATGACACGGGGGTAAAGGCACTTGCTTTACGTAAAGAAATAATCTCCAGTTGTTCCTTGTAACGAAATCAAGTCCGGAAAGACAGCTAGATAACAGTGAAGTGAGGATTATGTGGCAGAAAATTAGAAGCAATTGATTTTTCTTGCCTACCCAGATTATGTGGTCCGCTACGCAACTACTTCCATGAACACCGATTTATACACTAGGTGAGCTCGTCGGAATACATCGTTACAGCCAGCAAACGCACAAACTGCCATTCAGAATTGAAACGCAACCGCAAGTGTATCAGTATACTCGAGAAACATTGACGACACTGAGGCCTAATGTTTCCCTCACTCTAAAAATCAAGGGAATGGTCTTAACCACCGGCTTCCGCATCGTTTTTTTTAATCATGAGGCCAAACAGGGCTTCCTGCCTCAGCAAATTGAAACCTTTAATCTGATTGGTCGAAACTGCACCAATCATTTTGTGGGAATCCGCAATTTTCTCAATGGCCAATCAAAATTACGATTAAAAAGCACAAACACAGCAAGCGCATCATACACATTAGCAATGACAGGTGATAAGTGAGTCAATGCAAGCAAGCAGACAGGCACGCATAGCACACCATCAGTGACCTTGAAAAAACAAAGAAAAATGGCTAATTCACTGGCGGTGTTTGTTTTACCGGAGCACTCACTATGGCAACAAGGTACTGTCAACAGCGGATAGAATGGATAGTCATGAACTCGCTTTTTCTTCGTGTCGCAGCAGCTCTGATTATGGCGGTTGGGATTGCCGGACTAATCGGGGGGACAGTGTTGTGTCGAGGCAACACCATTGAAATTATCAATGGTGACTCGGTTCAGGGCATCTATCCGTAGGTTGCCTTTCTTTAATGCTGATGAAATCTTTTAAAGTGACATTGGGATGGGCTCTACCATTTAGAGAGCAGGAAAATTATTGAATTTTACCCAATCTTGATTTTCGTGTCTAAGCGCGTGGTGACTTCTTTTGGCGAGAAAAAGAAGCGATTGCTGCACCATGCGCTCATAGCCACCATGCCCGGAATCGGCATTGACGAGTGTCAAATAAACTTTGGCACCATTAAACTGGCTCCCTGTGACTAAGACTTCTGTAACAGCGGTAAATGGGCTTCAAATCTTCGCGGAAACCATCCATCATGAAGAGAAACGAAAATGAAGACGGGGTTAGTTGCCATAAGAAGTTGCCACTACAGCGGGGGGGTTATATATTTATCGCGTGGAATTAGACACCGTTCCTCTTCTGATGAGGAAGTAATATGCGCCTGGGGCGGCTGACAAGTTGGTTAATCCTCTCCGGTGTCTATTGTATACTTCGCGGTGCCTGTTCTTCCCAGCTTAATCCCCTATCAGGAGAGTATGGTCGTGTAATTAACTCCAGAAGTTTTGTTGTTCTACTGTCGGTGACATGAAAAGATGCCGCAAAGCCTCAAGGTTTACTACTGATCTCTTTGTGCCAGAGTCAAGGAGTAAATTGCATAAATGTCCTTCAAGTCGGTTTGAAGCTTGTAAGAATGAACGAGAGCTAGGGAGAACTTGCCAAGCTCTGGTGTGTAATGAAAAGAGCCTCAGGTTTAAGGCATTGTGGTTGTTTTAGCACCGGGCCACGGCTAACTCCCAAGACTTCTTAAATGCAAATTTCGCCAGCTAGCTAAGGGTGTTGGTATCCGTCGATGTGGAAGTTCTCGACCTATAGTGTGATCCAACTTCGTGTCTAGACCGGATGATTATTAATTCCTTGACACTGATTAGATGTAAGCCGTGAAAAGATCGTTCTGCTAATTATTGTAGATTTTTTATGCGAAATCCTTATCGTCTCTAGTTAATACCTGTTCTTACCTATTAATGATGAGTTGAGCCAAAATAGCACTGAACACTTGCAACTCGGGGTCCTGGATTATCCCGACCTTATGGATCTCTGGATTAGGTTCCGAGGAAGGCAGGTTTGACATGTAGTATCCTCTGTCAATAAAAGTGAAAGCAAAAGTTAAATCCGTCGTTATCCAGACACACTCGATGTGAGTAGGTCTTGAATATAGGACGGTCGGCCAGCGCTCCCTCCAGTGTGATGGATTCATCTCCACAGAACAAAAAGATTGTATAGAGGCTGACATCTTTATTTGATCAGTGATATTAGGTTTAGCAGATTATCAAAGCTTAAAGGGGATTATGGTTCATTACCTCCTCAAGAATTAAAGTTTTAAGAAGATCGGATGATCATCTAATTCGACTAATTAGGTGACTTGTTAATTATCCTACTGAAGTTGCTAAAGTAGCAGTGAACATGACTTATTAATTCCAGTGATTTATACTTACTTGTGCTGTTTCAAATTTTTATTTCAGAGAAATGGGCATTCCCGTCATCCTATTCAGTCTCTTTATTGAACTTGTCGGGCTAACAATCGCATGCATCATTTGTATTATTTCAAGGAAATACGAAAGTGTTTCTACGGTAAATTCTTCATTTTCAAAATCATCTTTTTTTGTTTTGTATTATTGTTCAAAGAAAAAGAAATAACTTTCATATCCGTTCAGGCATTTTACAGACGTCCCGATTTGATGCTCTGAGGACTCAGATAAATCCGGTGCCAAAAAAACCAAGTCTTAACAGTAAAATCATGCAGATGTGCGTTTTTATTAAAAATAATTCCTGCCGATTCAGTGTTCTTCCTATTTTATGGCAAAATATTCCAAAATTTTACATATCGCTAAACAGCCAATCAGTGGGTGACCTTAATTCCACGGCCCCAAGTCACTTTTCGACTGATTGGTCAATAAAGCGCCAGTGTGAGCCAATCAGATCTCTCCCACCCATAGAATTTTGCTACCTCGGAGTATAATCACCAAAATTCTAAATTTCGCAAATCAAAACACATTGCTTCTATTTTCAATAGCCAATATTAGAAAAAATGTACTTTTTTAAAATAATCATCAGGCTGCTAAAAACTAAAAGTCAGTTAATTTGGGCACTGGCTTTATCAAATGTATCAAACATTCTGTATCTATTTAGTCTCTAAAGGGCGTGTTTTCTCTTTGGTGGCGTGGCCGATCAAACAGACAGAAAAAATAACTTTCAACTTCTTTCAGGCACTAATAGAAACCACTCTTTTGGTCCAACATGCCTTATCACGAGATCAGCGGATAGGCAAGGAACTGAAAAGTTATTAATAACCTAGAGTAGATAGTAATTGAATACTTTACCTTTTAATTTGCATTGCTAGGCAGATATATTCAGAGGTGTCTTAAAAAGCAAGTAATACTTAAATGCGCTATTGCTGAGCAAATGAGTGCATAAAGTTAAAGGCAAAAAGAAGAAGGCATCCGAGGCTTTTATTTTTGTCTCCATTCTCAAGACACCTTGCTTAGCATCTTATACTGCTACCTCTATCTCCGGCCTTCATGACTGACAGCATGTATTCTGGCTGTTGTGACCCTCAAAACGGCTGCTTATAGCCCCGCAGTAGAGTTCCCAGTTCACAATGAACGCGTCTCACACAAATGATCGGCAGATATCAGAAAAGTCAATTCGTCGACACAATACTATCAAAAATCACCGTTAGATTACCAGATGCCGCATTACCGTACAGTAATGGGTACTTCATAACAGGCATTCCTCGGTGGAAAAAATATTAGGCGGACAAATGAGCGCAGCATCATACAGAAAAGGATTTGGATGCATAAAAGAGAGCACTTTGTTAACAGTAAATCCTGTCGCGGTGGTACCACGCCCAATTGGTGAGTTACAAGTATCGCCCTTCCCTACTCATATATCGGACAGGTCGGAATCCTCTTTAGACATCGTTTATCTCCATGACAGTCGGCAGTCGAGGCGCCCTTTTGGATCTTTGGCAAGATAGGGAATGGTGGATGATAGCAAGGCAAAGATGTATAGCAGGCTGTTGTAGGATTGTTAGGTTACACCCACAAATCTCATTAAGCCATGTCTGCCTTCCAAGTACTGAACAAATGCTGAGGTAAATGTACAAGAGAGAGGGAAGACGATACACCAAACCAAGCTCAACAGCCACCGAGGGGTGAGGCATACTCAACGAGCCTACTGTCTACATTTGTTATTGTGTTATCTTTGGGTAGCCTACTCAGAGCTGAATTATTTTTCCTCTAAAACCCTAAAAACTAAAAGCGAGAAGGCAATTAATTATGGTAGGCAAAATACTTCAGTCGCTGCTAAGCTACCACTTATTGCTAAAGTACATTATTGGTGGTCTAAACATAGAATCTACAGATGGATAGGTGTACGCAATCGCTATGTAGAAGGGAAAAAATTGTGCAGCCTAGTGAAACCATGGTAGCGAAGTCAATAGAAAGCCAATTATCCAATAGTTAAAGCTACTGTCTTGTTGCCCCGGCAACTGTTGTCATCGGGCAATCACAAGGCCAAATGTAGAGTGCGGCGAGAGAAGGGATGAGAGTCAGTTGGAAATTGAGATTTAATCGGTACGTTTGTATGTTTTTGTCTCTTAAAGAAGGCTTATCTCTCTCATCCACTAACTTACTCATCAGTGGATAGTGGACGTCGACGTCCAAGTGCATTTACTTTTTAGCTTTGTTTTAAACATAGATTAACTATCCCGAAAAAAAATGTGTAGATTTCATAATATCACCTCAAAATACTTTTCCTAACCTGAAAAATAGACGCAACTTATTTTATTTTATAGAACCTGTACTGAAGTTAACGCGGTTTTTCTGTGCACATTGAGATCGCCACCATGGGAGTGAAAACCGGTATCAGCGCTTTCGCACGTGCTAATGCGGTTTGCTGTCAGCTTGCTTCCGCGTTCTGCTACATTCTCGCCTTGGGCCTCATAATTGGTGGAGCGATACTAATTAGCAAAAATTCCGCTGTTTTGCACCGATGGCCTGAGCTCTGCGGTGACGGCTTTAGTGATTCGTGAGTCACTATCTACTGATGTAATTATAAGTAGCAATAATTTTACAAAACTCCTGCAATTGAATTCGAAATGTAAAGTAATCCTAAATAATAAATAAATTTTATGATACGAGAAACGAAATGCATATTTGCAAACAAATCATCTTATTTATTGTTAAAAGTGCCTAATGGTCTTGTTTACTAGCATACGCCTTCAAAAATGTCTAACATATTCTTCAACTCACTCCAGTGTTATTGTGTTTTATAAGTGAGAATTTGGCATTGTCATAAAAGGATAAACTATCATCTAACTGGTCAGAAATCTTTAATTCTAAATTATTTTCATGAAAGCCAACGGTTGATGCATAAGGTTTATTTGTGAAGCCGACATTTCATTAATGCTAATCATTAGATCCTACGGACACCCCAACCATTGGGACGGCGAGTGCGACAGTTTGTCGGCCGAACAGAGGCAAGCGCAGTACTGCCTACTTACATGCTTTTAAGTAGCACCTGTGTTTTTAATGACATCAATTTGTTACCAGCATTGCCAGCAGTAGCGATGCTTTTAAAAGATGAAGATTGACGTTCTATACTACTGTTACATTTCATATTACTAACACAAAAGTAGATACATCTTGTTTAACCTAACTTCTGACCATTTGATTTAATAGGAACTTTGTTGTTGGCATCGCTTTGGTCTTTTTCGGTTGCCTTTTCACAGCGATCGCGTCTATCATGATTTGCTGTGCCTGTGGTTTCTTAGCCTTCAGCGATAGCTCCAAGTCGGTTGTAACCATCACTCAACAACCCCAGCCGGTAGGTCTTCCATACAAACTAGTTTTATCTCGTAGACGCTGCTTCTGTTTAACTATCAAAAAAATAAATTTCAAAAGGCCACGAATGGGTGCATAAATGTATTTTTAAGTATGGATGGGTGTACTCTAATAACTCTACCACTATTCGCTACTGCGGAACATTCTATCATCGCATGATGGTTGAAATTGATGGATTTGGTTCAAGGTGACCTGCTTTAGAAGCCGAGTCTAACTGAGTTCTTAAGCCTAGACGGAACCGAAGGTAAGGAATGCAGTAGAAAATTTGGAGTAATGCATCGGGATGAAGTTGACATCAACTCTTAAGCCTGCTTTCAACCTTTTTAACTCCCAGCCTTGTGGTGTTCAACGTGGGTGATGAAACGACTAGCTGATTGCTACATTAAATATCGAAGCAGTGATAGCAATGCAAATGGGTTCCAGAATATAGCAATAAGCTTGGAGACAGCAAATTCATGCCTCGTAACTTTTGCGTACGTTTTGAACAAGTCGCTGTGCACTTGAAGTTGTTTGTTAACCAATTTACCTATGACGAGAAGGTGCCTTTTGCATTGTTGGTAATTGGTACCATTCTCTCTCAATGTTCATCATACACCTCACCTCATCCTTGAGTGTGTGGTTGTGCGTGAAGTGAGCAGCAGGCGTAATTTTTCAAGATGTATTCCTTGTTAAAGGTCTGGCAATAATTGCCTCTGTGGTCTATCTGACTGAAAGGATGCAAGAGGTTGAACCAGGACTAGTCATTGAGCAAGAGTAAACATTTGAATAGATGATGAAAAGTAAAAATAAAATGACTTTTAGACTAGCATCTTCCTAAAAGGTCTGCTTATAGTATTTATGAATCTCGAAATTTTGTTATACAATACGAGGTCATGTTCCAGAAATCTAATCTTCCAAGGAAATGTGTGTTTGTACGGTTTAATTATTCCGCAATAAAACGGGCTGTCATTCATTGCAAAAGTTAGGGCTAAAAATGTAAATTGTGCAAAATCCTAATTTTCTGATCTCCGTTTGGGCATCACATTTGATACCGTCAAATCTCTGCCCTTGACTACTTATTCTACTCAAATACGAATAAGTAGCATTGTCTCTCGATCTGGTCATAACAGGTGAGCCAAATGCCAATGGGTTCCTACTCCAATCAACCACAACCTCCTCAGTTCATGACGCCTGATTACGATGCCAGCCAACCACAAATTCCCTCAGGGCCGTCAATGCAGCCTACGACGTACCCCAGTGCCCCGGTGTATCCGCTACCATCGGCAGCTCCCCCACCGTATGACCAGGCTGCAAAAACACCCAATTCTCCCTCAATGTCAGCGGAAAAGTACTAGAATGTAGGCTATAAGGAAACTGTGAACACGAAGACTATCTTAAGTTCATAATCGTTTGCTTTACTTAAATAAATCACCAGAATTTTAACGGACTTTAAGGTGTGGAAAGTTCTATAGTTGCCGACGCACGCACTCACCCACGCTCCACTTGCTTAGTCTCTGTGGAATAGGCCCTGTTCTGGGGAAAACTTACTAGTCTTTTAAGTGGTGCTACAGAAAGATTAGTCTCTTGTCCACTATCATAACAACAGGTTGCGCTTCCATCAGGGTAGCAGAACTAGGCCAGCCGGTCACGGAAGCGACAGCTGAGTTGTGGACTGGGAACCACCACTAAGGCATGTCACTCTGCCCATTTCACGGAATCTGTTGACTGCAGTCACTGTCATCGTTACTGATGCAGGTCGACCTCCATGACAGTGACATGTGTACAAATTGAAACGACACGACTTGCTAGTGTGCAAAGGTTAAAGTCTCAGTTTACCCAAAACACCCCTCACACTTCACAAAGCAGCTTTTGACTTGAGTTTTTTCCACTGTCGAGTTAATTTGACCATTCGTGTGACACGCTAACGTCAGTCATGACAATGACACAAGACACGCATGTGTCCACATGCAAGTGGACCCTTCAGTAGGCTTGACGGGGTTTAAACAAAGTCGGAATTGACAGGAAGGAAGTAATAAGAAAATCTTTTGTTGAGGAGAATAAATTGTTTCAAGGGAGAGCAGATGAGCGAATGCGAAGACAGAATTGCCGTAGGAATGAGTGAGTGTAAAGATGTGTTGGTGATTTGACAAGGAGGAGCTACGCGCCAAACCAAAGCAGCAAAGTGAAACAGGGAATTAAAAAAAGGCTTGATTTTCGGCCGAAATGTCCGAGAATACACAGAGGATTGTGTACTGGACAGCTGGAATGCACGAGTTGTCATCGGCAGTCTAGGTGGCCTTGACCTCGCGGGACATTTATAGTCTTCATGTAATACTGAAAAATCAAGAGAAGGTAAAAAAAAGTTAAATGTACAAACACTTTACAATATTTGGAATAGAAGTGTAAAAAATAACTGACATAAATTAATGGAACAAAAAAGGCAAGATTTATGGATAAATAGGTAGATTAGCGTTTGATGGATAGGCGAGGAAGAACGGTTGGATATGAACGGAATAAATGGACGTATGGATAGGGGTATGGCTGCATAGATGGCTGGTTGGATGGGTGGATCCAGGATGGATGTATGAATGAATACAGGATGGATGGATCCTGGATGGATGGATGGATACAGGATGGATGGATATAGGATGGATGGATGGATACAGGATGGATGGATCCTGGATGGATGGATGGATACAGGATGGATGGATGGGTGGATGGATGGATTGATGGATCCTGGATGAATGGATTGTTTCAAACGGGAAGATTGAAGATATATGGAGTGAAGGCGTATGCGAATAGAGTTTTGGAGGAATATATTGGTGGATTTAGAATGGATACAAGATTGATCTCATCATGCGTGCATTTCCAAAACCATCTCGGGCAATGCAAAGGTCGTTAATTTATTTGTCACATCTGTGCAATGAAGCTTACGAGTCCCTTCAACTCATGCCGGTTCGCCTACCCGTCAAAATCCTCTCAAGGTCATCCTTCCACCCTTAGTGCCAAAGCGAGAGGAGGAGGTATTCAATCCTCACCACTACGCAGAATCACGCCGACGCAGATAAAATTTCACAAGGCCTGAAGCGGAATGACACTTTTCTTTCGTTGTCTGAATTCTTTGAGGCAATGATTGCAAAAAACCAGCTGTCACGCAACCTGTTTGATTTGCATAAACAGTTTCGGTGGGTTGTTGAAACACTGTGAGAAGAAGTTGACATTCGGTTTCACAAAGCGCCGTGGCAGGTGTTAGTCATCGCGTTAAGATTTGACTTTGTTGAGTTATTTAGGGTATGACTGACGTGAAGGATAAAACAAAGTGAAAAGTCTGTTATGAAGTGGGATGTTGATTTTATAACTTGGAGGTTTCTGAGGCGCAGGGGTCAGGATCGTTAGGAGTAAACCATGAAGTATAAAAGATGGAAGTTTCTTTGGTCAACTTGATGAGATACGGACAGTGTGTGTACGTGCCTGATAGAGAGAGAGCCAAGGCCGTCGGAGACTGATGTCAAGTCAGTGACTGGCAGTGATAGCAACTGGTTGACATTCGCCCCCTCGAGTGGTTGTCAGTTAACTTAGCGCACATCGCAGTCTGAAATACGGCACTCAGAATGGACTGAGGAGAAGCAGAACTCTCCAAAATGTTGGAGGGCAGCCTATAAACGTTGGAAGTCCAAGCACTAGGGCATCCTTCCACCCCGCCATCCGTTCCTCCATCCAACCAACCAACATCCCTTTTTCCTGTATTCCTCCATCCTCTGTGCATCCATCCATCCATCCATCCGCCGCTAATTCATCCACTCATTTAGTTAACTTCAAATCCATTCATCCATCCATCAGGTCCGCATCTATCCATCCGCCCAACAATCTCGAATCCATTCATCTATCTGGCATCCATCCACTCAACTATCCTGTTTCCAGCCATCCCGTACCCATCTAACGCCCATCCATCCCATCCTTATCCGTCCACTCAACTATCCATCCATTCATTTGTCCCTTTTTCTACTCTTTAAACCATCCATTTATGAATCGAGGCCGTTTCCAACCATACTGCCGCTACTCATTTACCAGAATATTTTCTAGTCCGCTCATTTGTCCGATTTCATTTAGTTGACCCGTGCATTCATCCATTTTTCCAAAAAAGACTCAACATCCCTGTTTTAATCTCATCATTCCTCAATACGCCTCAGTCCCAGTTACTCACCTCTAGCGGTTTTACATTCCTCCAGATCCGTCAATTTATTAGCTAACCCACTTCCGGTGAGCTGGGACACTCAATCCATGCTGGATTGCTCCACCGACTGATCCTCTCCAACCCTCATCCGGCTTTTGCAATGTCATCTTCCAATACAAGCATCCATGCTCCATTATTGTAGGGTAACGAGTCCTCGCTCCGAAGTAAACATCTTCCGCAAAAAAGTCGCTAGATTTAACAATACCAACTACAAAGTATGTATACGACTGGTTCCCTACACTTATATCAAAAAAACAAAGTGTAAAAAAGGGTGAAGACAAACGCCTCAAAAAGGTCAGATGTGTGCCGGGTCAGACCCAGGTGATATATCAAAACGCACAAAGCTAAAAACTAGCTCACGCACAAAAGGGGATTATACATGACGTATTTCAATCAAGACTGAGACGAAATTACACCTACGGCACCTGACTTGATATGAAGACAAAGAAGACGAGTAAGCAACAAAATTCATCAAATATCAAGTTCTGGAGGGTCAACACACGCCGCAAGGCACAACATAGGAAAACGCCAGTTATTGAATTGAGTCGCCTAGGTAAAGAACAATATAGAAGGAAGCGGAATGATCAGAGGGGTGGAGAATTAACCAAGTTAAAAATTTTGGTTGACGTAAATAGGTTAAATCAACAAATAGCAAAAAGGGGCATGGAATATGGAAGCATGGAATGTTGGAGGAGTATCGGAGTGAGCAGCCATGGCGCCACTTTTGTGGATAACAAAAGGCAGGAAATTCATGATTAAGATCAATCAGATACGTAAAAATGCATCTAGACACGAATCCTCAACGGCCTCCTCAAATTCTTTGTAACCCTAAAGAACAAAATACGTGAAAATGACCGGACAAATGACAGTAACACTGGGATAGCAAGTAAAATTACACCAATATACTCATCACCAAAGAAGATTTGAGGAGCTAGGAACGGTGGCTGTTTATTTGCTGCCTTTAATGCGGCCATCATTTTATGTTTTGCATTTTCATCGGCAGCGATATCAACAAGCTGGTACTTTATATTCAATGAGTCAAGTACGCTTTGAACGCGTTGTTGGTTGGAACGCACCTGTATATACATATAATTAAGCTAAAATAAGCGTAAGCGCTTACTTCATGGTTCCCACTAACAGTAGACACGTAAAGATACAAAGTCATTGCCAATGCGGAAATGAGAGGAAGAGATGACGAAGACACACGCGATGAGAAGTTGACCAATGAAAACAAGGGATTTGAGCATCTTCCGAGATCTCATCATCGTTAATACATTGCCATCTCAAGGGTTTGAGTACACTGGAAATAACTGAATGCTTAGTTGTAAAGTGACATGATTTTTCTGCATGACATTGGAGTTTGGCAGCGTTAAACGTATCAAAATTTGATTAAGTTAGTTAGCTTAACTGCATCATGATTCGTACAATCATATCTGATATTGCACAATTTTATCTGAATTAAGCCTAGGTATTGCTCTTTTAAAGTAAATGCAAACACATAATACTTGAAATGGCTTATAAACACATTTACAGTGAGTAGACACTTGGTTTTTTACGCTATGTAAAATTTCGCACATTTTCACCTATTCAAAAACACTTGATCATTTGCACAAACGTTGTCCTGTTTTTCGCTGTTTTGTAAATTGCGATTATTATCCCTTTTGTAAAATTAAAAAAAAACTTTAGTTGATGTTTACTTATGGACCAACTGACAAAAACCATGAAGTATTCTGCAATTTTGACCTATATAATCATGACACTGGCACACAAATCTACCCCATTTACGAGTTTTATACATTTCTACCATTTTTTGACTTTTGATTCCTTCCATTAGGTTGAATTGTGTAATCATCCCTGCTCTTAGGCGATGAACTATCTGTTTCAAAGGATAATGATGTGGCATTATGCTATTATTTCAACTAGACCACTTTAAATGCATATACATGCCGGAGGAACAAATAATTGTCGGTTTGGATGGGCTTGGGATATGCATATACGGTTGTCTTCATATATATATGTATAGATATATACACAGCCTCGAGTGGCTTAATCGCAGGGCACGAACGTAGGTTGGGGAGGAAAGGAAGGAGAAGATATGCCAAAAGGGGAGGCAGGTGATGGGGGAGGTGGGGAGCAGATTTGGAGACTCGACGATTTTAAGGTTGAAGGCATCCGAACTCGTTCTGCGTGATCATTGACAAATCCTTCATCAGCCCATCGAGATTAGCCATCTCCTGGGTTAACTCCTCCGTGCTTATGGCTTTCTGTAATTGATGAAAAAGTTGTAAGCAACCACATATCTACGTACCCTTTCCTCCATCACTAGTCCATTTGGTCAAGCCCGAATTCATTTATCCAGCCGTCCACTTAATCCATTCACACATTTCTCAATGCTCCTATCCATTCAGCTTCCATCCATCCATCTTCCCTTGCCCACTTCATTCATGTCGACATTAACCGTCCATCGTTACCATCCATCACTTCGGTTATCCCTTCATATTATCCAAAAAATCATTTATTTTTCATTCTTTGCTACATCGCTGAGTTACTAATTAATGGACTAATCTATTTTACTCAATCACGAGGTCTTATTCATTTTCAAAATCTTTAACTCCAACACCCCTCCCAAGCCCATCCATCATTCTAAGGGTCTGTTAATCCACCCTGTCCATTATTGGCCAGTTCCTCATCCACCGCCCACGTGACAGCCCCTCATTTGTCAATATATCACCCTGCGGTCTGTCCTCTATCTACTTTTTCCCATGTCTATTGACTCATTCGTCCGTGTCTACACTTGTCCCCAGCCTTTCCACCCTGACTCCACCTTCATTCTACCCGTCTCTTACTTCGTATTGCCATCTATCACCCCTCTTCCCTGTCCACCCATTTACCAGCCTGCCCATTCTTTCGCTTAATCCTGGGGCCCACCTTTTCATCGTTCAGCAAATTTATGCATTGCATTACCTATTCCTTCATTCAGTCGTACCGCCATATTGTCCATCAGCCCATCAATCTACCAATTTCCTCATCTTTTTCCCCTTTAATTAATATGACAATAATTTATTCTATCATTTTACTATCCACCTACCATATTCGCGTTAGTTTCACCTCCTCCAGCTGCCGCTCGCGATTTCGCTTCGTTCGTGTTTTTTACACCATCTTTTCTAGCTGGCAGGGAGTTATACCCTCCCCTCTGTTGCAAATGCGCCATCTGCCGCTGAATGTGAGGATTTGCAGCCTGCAGGTGATGATTGGACGCGTTGGAATTGGAATTTGAACAGGAGGAGACCGTTGAAACGGTGGAAAACTCGACAGGATTTCCGCTCCCTCCTGCTGGCACCGTGGGGTGAGTTGTAGCGGCAATTCCAAGCACCACGGATGATGGAACGCCTACTTGTGCAACGATGAGAAAAGCAGTGTCAGGCTGCTGATAAACTACTGATGGCAAATAAGTAGAGAAGTTGCTTGAAACCTAAGTCTCATGGCCTATCTCGATGCTGGGCCCTCGAGAGAAGTTAGTAGAATGCAAATTGAAAGTCTGCAAGCAATACTAGAGAGGCTCACCAGAACTGCTCTCAGAAATGAGGTCAGAGGCGTTGATGGAAGGAGTGTTGGGTGCTATGTGACCTCTGTTTATTGGTAGTCCGGGGTACTGCAGATATGTACCGTCGTTCTCTAAAAGTAGACACATACATCAAATTTTAAATACCTAAGAGTCTAAACTCCTTTGTAACTTCATCCCTTGCTTGAGTGTCTCTGTTTAGAATTGATGTCTCGGTCCAAATCTAGTCGTTGTAGGTCACAGCATATCAAGCTTCTCAAGATATACCTCATTGACCCTTGGATTGACAAGAATAAAGGCCATTCGAATTTCGTATTTGGGTATTCCAAAGATCCTAATTTCACCGCGTAAACAATCCTTATGGGATCAAATTCTTACTTGCTGCTACACTACTGACGTTCCGATTTAAGTAGTACGAATCCACTACAGTCAGTAGCAGAATAAACCCGTCTTTCAGAAAAATGAATCACTATAATATCACCCAACACTTACCTCCCGCACTCAGGTCGATACGCGGACCACCGATGTTGCTTGGAGTCACAAGGGGGAAGGCTGGAGGTGGTGGTTGATGAGGTGGCGGCGGAGGTGGATGCTGGCCTGTAGCCCCCCGAAGGTAAGAGGGTGGCGGATACATCCCACCACCAATCCCACCACCACTAGCGGCAGCAGCAGTAGCATTTTGGTGATGCTGATGATAGTAGGCTTGAGCAAAGGTGCCCAACTGGGGTTGAGCTGATGGAAAGATGCCGTAGGGTGGTACTGACGCGGGCTAGAGATCAAAGGCGCGTTGATTTAGGTACAAAAGCTTTGATTAATACCCCAAATTCGGAGGAGGAAATAGCAAGCTTTTACTTGATGTCTAAGTAAACTAAAAATTAGGGAATTATTTTAGCACTGAGATCCCGGATCCACGACCTCCAATAATAACCGTTCAGTATTACTGTGGTAGAAATCACCATAAAAAAGGCGAATTTTCGTTACCGGGCTAATGAGAGAATTTCCTGTGGGACTGGCGTAGGTGGGAGTTTGTTTCATACCCGTTGTTCCCACCGCTGGAAGCAGAGAAATTGCGGAGCTTGCCGAACTTCCAGTTGCTCCTCGGCTAGCAGCATCACTTCCACACCCGCTCATTGGATCCACTGCAGAACGGATCCCCATCATTGGAACTGCATTTGTCATCGACATCAATCCCTGTTGGTGTTGTTGTTGCTGCTGATGGATCGCAGATTCACCATCTATTGTCCAGGCCTCTTAAAATGACAATTTAATCATTTTTTAACTTTTATAAACCCTCCTTCCTCGGTTGCATTAAAATTTCTATTAAAAAGAATTTCTTAAAAAATCAACTACGTAAACCGAGAATCAACCTACCAGGTGCCTTACTGGTGAAATCAATGAGCTGGGCCTCACTCGACTTTGGAAGGGGGTACTGTTGAAGGGCAATTTTTTCATTTACACCACCCTTTCCTCCTCCTTCTCCTCCATTGCTCTGGCATTTGGAGGGACTGATAAGATTCACGCTGGCCTCAGTCAGTCCTCCTCCGCCGACCTGTTGCTCTGGTTTGTATCTAAAGGCAAAAAAAAATTCAAAGAATAAGAATATAAAGTGGGGATAGAAAATTAGTATGACCTAGACTCACCCGACAACCATGATAGGACTCCTCTTGGCCCAACAGACAACCACAATGACTATGACCATAAGGACGATAGTAGTCACCATGATAGCGGCAAGAGCCAACCAAATATCGGAATTACCGCCACCAATCAAAGTGGAGGATCGTGAGCCATCGGCCAATGAAACGCTAGCATTGGTGATTGGTGTTGAAGGGAGGTAGTTGGACGATGAAGCCGATAATTGGCTGGTATTTGTAACACCGCTTTTAGCGATTCTAGATAAATCTACTTGAGAGGGTTCTAAAAGGAAAGGTTTGAACAAAAAATACATGAATATGGGTGTGCTTCTGATCTCCGACTGTTCTGCTTTCATGCTGGTGACATAGGGTTCAGCTACTGGACTTCCGGCCAATCTGGAAGTCGATAATAAAGTTACCTTAGACCCATGTGTCTTTCGCATGGACCTCGGTGTTGGCTGGAACGCTAAACGGTCCGGCAACTTCCTAGGAGCTGGTAGTAAAATACTTTGGCTAGTACGGTTTAGCATTGCACTAATTTGTCTTCATGGCCCGTAAAAAATATGCTGTGATAAAATGTAACAATTTACTTGCATACGAACTTTCCTTCCAGCACTAGACTGTTAAATTAGAGTGCTTATTATAGCCAATCGACTGTCGCAAAAAAGGGCTTGCATATAATTGGTTGATCAGTAACCAATCAAATCGCACACCTTGATGCTGGGTTTCAAAAATGTGCACAAAGCTCCAGTCACCAATCAGTTCTGTTTGTGCCGCATCATGAGTAATCGCACGCACACAGGCCACGTAATGACTGCTGGGTTGGAGTTGTTCAAGTCGAGCCCACGTGACATTCACATCCACGTCTTTCGCTGTACTCGAACCGTCCTCAGGGCAATTACCTAGATATGAAATTCGGCATCTCTTACTGTCGATCGGACCTCCATTTTACCTTATGTACTTAAATTTAATTAAGTAGCGATTTTACTCACCAAAAGCACCGTTGGTAGTAGCAGCGTCACCCATCTCAACCGCCTCATAACGTAGCTGATAAGTCAGCGGAAATGCTCCGCTTGCACATGGGGAAGCTCTTTGTGTAGTCCTCCGATTACTGTTGCCATGGTAAACATCAAATTCGTCTTCAAGGGCGGAACAGGTTGGTGCATCCCATGCCATGATGGCCCAATCAGGCCCGGCCGAAAGAAGTCGGAAGTTGAGGGGTATGAGAGATTCTTTTGCATCTAGGATAAACAATGACAGCTGGCAAAACTCAACCAAGGAAGATGATTTACTGATTTCTCCCGAGGGTAACTCACGAGAAACTGGTTTGGTTTGTGCTGTTATCATTTCAATAGGTCCCTCTCCATCCTCAATGAGGAGGGCAACGGAGATCATGTAGGTTGTAGAAGGCTCTGAAAGTTAATTCGGATTTTGTTTAAAAGGTATGAGTGGGTCGTTCAAGCTCCACCGTCATTGCAAAAGCAGGAGCGCCAGTTACAACTGCCACGGTGACTAGATGCTCTGCTTACAAACCGTCAGTAGTATATTAATATCTCCATATAGTATACATTACCACTGCTTACTTGTACCCTAAAAAAGCTCTACTCATGAAAATGGTTGGCATTGCCAAAGTGCTAAGTGGCAAACAACGACATTCACTTACCCAGCGGTTCAATGGAAAAAGCTCTTTTCTCCAGACTGACTTCCGCCTTATTTGGGCCGGGATAGATGTTTCCCCATCGAACAACAACTCCCTTAAATCTATGAGGGGAGGCTGAAATAGGTGGAATTGACCACAGTAAAAGGATATTCCGTTCTCTTGCAATGTAACGTAGATTATGAACCTATGGCAGATAAAAGGGTTTTGGTAACCACCAACTACTGATTTCCCTTTAAGTAGTTGAAGGTGTATTATGCTCACCTTCAGCGGTGGTAAGGTTGCGACACCGGGATCGGCAAAAAAATTGTGACTATCAAAGCCCTTAAATGTGCAAAAAAGACGGGCGGATGACACTTCTGAATTACTATTAAGTCGGTGCATCACAGTGTAAACTTACGGTGTCATTGGGGTCACTGGGGGCTTCGCTGTCAATCTGATTCGATTTTAAAGCAGTCATAAATAAAAGAGGAGGCGATTTCGGTCCGACTCCGGCACGTGTTGCAGCTGCGACGTTTAGGCTGTAATTAGTCATTGGATTCAAGCCTAAAAGAAGGACGTCATTGAAGGATTTTCTTGTAGTTTTGGAGATTTAGCCATTGATTGACGTTCCTTCAGCTCATTGGTTGAGTTTCTGTTTGATTAATCATTTATGGTAAACACAGAAAATTGTTGACAATAATGCTTGAAGCATGACGGAAGATAGCTTTTGTCCCCTCCGCAACAGTGGTACATGTATTAGCTACTGGGCTCTTGGGCCTTCTACAAAACTTACTTTTAAATCCTCTCTCCCGTAACGGCATAATGGTAATGCTAGCACACACACTTAGGTCCCTTCTAAGGGTTGAATCAATCCCACTGCTGACTCGGATTGTACCCTATGACCGCCAAAGAGGGAGGGAAAACAGAATCTACCAAGACATACAGTCATAATAAAAATGCTACCAGACAAGTTAACTGCTACCAATATAAAGGCCTCCCATTCATGGTTGGTCCAAAACATGACCATTCCATGTAAGCCCAAAGAGAGAGGCTTCAACCCTTTTCTACACCGAAATTAAGGCTCCTTTTAGATTCGTAGACCTTGCAAAGTCATTGGAGTCATCATGGACCCATTGGAAAGCTGTATCTATACTGTGACACTGGCCTACCAGTGATGGTGTAGTTGCAACCGTCAGCGACAGTGAGTTCTCGCGGTGCCAGCCACTCAGGAGAGTTGAATTCCAATTGGTAGGCCACGATCTCCCCGTTGCGATCCTGTACTGCTGGTGGAAGCCAGGAGAAAGCAGCTGTCAGTGCACCAACTGCTGACAGCATCACCTATAAAGATTGCCAAAGCGACTAAAATTTGCGAACTAATGAAACCATCTAAATTACCTCCAACGCGTGTAATAGGAGGCAAAAATAAAAACGTAGCAAAGTAATACTTTGGCAGGCGGTGATGATGGAGGACGTGAGAGAATGCGAGGCGACGAAGCAATGGTGGCTGGGTGACCATCAACCCCCACCACTGAGACAGCGATAATTCTCACTCGATAAAAGGAATCGGGTTGCAGATCAGCTATGGTGTAAGCGGTAACACGAGCACCCCCTGGCACCTTGTAGGACACCCAACGGCGAGAATCTCCACTGCTGGCGGCCAAATTCAACAACACGATCCTAAAATATAGTAAAAAATGAGCTGTTTAGAGCAACTACTGATGGGTATTTAAGTAGCGACATTTCAATGTTGCATTCTTTAAGTTATAATAGACGGGGCTTTGCTTTTAGTCATGTGAAAAACCTATTTTTACATTAAACAAAAATTAGTAAGAACTATATTATTCGTTTCATCTTGCCTATAATGTCCGATCTGGGCTTCAGGCCTGTCTGATCGTTCGATGTGAGGTAACTCCCAGGAGACTTTCAAGGTCGCGAAGTCGGTTGATTCTGCCTTGGGATTCATCACCATTGGCAATCGATAAACTAAACGAGGAGGGGTCACCTTATCTACCAATATGTACCTTCAGATTTGGTTGTCACCTTGATGTGTTTTGGAGTTTGCGAAGCTTGACCATCGGCTGGACGGTAGGAGTAGACCGACACTTCGTAGAGGGTGTTCGGTCGAAGTTCTTCGAATAAGATTTGCGACTCCTCTGTCATCATTGAGAATTTCCTAAAGATGCAAGATCAAAGCTTATTTTGCTAAAAGTTCATTTCAAATGCGAAAATTAAATTAATCGGTATTTACAAAATATTGAGGCGGAACGAAAAGGAAATTATGGTACCCAAGAAACAACAGATTAGATGCCATATGAAGTCATAAACAGTCGTTTACAATTTCGCTGCCAAACTGGTGAAAATGTCAAGGCCTCAGAGTGTTTTATGTAACCAAAAAAAGGACAAAAATATATCAATTCTTACTTTGGCGAGTTTTCCGGTTTAATCTCAATACGATAGTTTATTTGCTCATTGAGAGACTCAAAAATGGGTTGAGGTGGCTGCCATGATAACTGAGCACTGTCTTCCGCCACTGAGACAATCTCAAGGTCTCCAGGAGGATTGGGAGGGGGAAGCGCTACGGGGAAGATTCAGGTCCATTAAAATTCTGTCTGGGAAGTCATGCAAACTCAATTAATAAGTAGAGAGAAGGCTAGGCAACTAAGTGAAAAATGGGTGTAGACCTAGCATGTAATCTCGTCATGACAGCTGTTCGGAATGACAAGCCCTGGTTCCAAACTCATATTAGTCCATTTGCTTGTCTACTTAAGCCTCTAAGCCACTTAGGTGGTCTCGTACAGACAGCTGTAGCGGTACAGTGATATCCTCCCGTATGGCAGAACAGGCAAAAGCTATATGCAAAAATGTAGGAAAGCCTTTAACAGAGCTTTTGATGGGATAATAGAGCCAAAATCCTCTAGTTTTACTGCCGTATTAAAAGACTTGCAAAAAACCAAAATGTTGTGCAATTAATTTCTACTTGTCTGATTTAGACAACAAAAAGTTGTTTATTCTGCCTTGCAAAATTGAAAAATATATTGTTTACCTAGACGTTTTTGACGAGAAATGACGATCTCGTCGAAATTGCTCCTAAAAAATTCAATAAAAACAACACGTATTTAATGCGGAGTATTTCAGTGGGGTCAGGCATAACTTTTAATCATTTGGAAAAAGCCTTTTTAAATTGTTTTAATGAATTAATAATATGAAGAACAGCTACGTCCCAAGAACAAAGATTATTGTGTGTCTGCCTTGTGTCAAATGGTTAACAAGTCAAATTATTATATATTTCCAACAGTGAGCTTTAGTTCTTTTTTGCCGCTGTAGGCCATTTGTTTACACTGGACCTCTGTAAGGCAAACGGGCAGATTTGGACAGTCTCCTTACTTAGCCGACGTCGCCGACTACTAATGGGGACGATGAGACAAAATCAGAACTCCTATAAATTTTTACCTACTCGCAATATTTCATATTTCTGTTACACATATCGTTTAGTTCTAACAACTTTTCTTAAATCATGCACAGGAATTACCCTTTACTTGCATCAATATTTCCTTCAAATAAACCTTTTTTTGATAATTTCTATCCCTATTTTCACGGCAAAATGTTTTAAAAATCCATAAAATTATCTTTCGGTAAAATTGAACAAAGTAGGAAAGACTGTTTTCGATGCCATAAGACTGGACGTTTACCTTCGAGTTGACAGTCAAATAAATAATGAATCATGGTTTACTGTGTCCAAAGAATAGTTCTGTTAAAGGTGCTAAAAAGGCCTTTATGAGGGCTATGTAACAGGGGTATTAAAAACTTTAAATCTAAAAATTCCAAATGCTCCCAAAGTGGATTGAATTATACGTACTTTGTTGTTAAGAGGAAAATTGTATCAATAGGACCCTACATGATAGATTTTCGCAAAATAGTCCTTAAAACAAATTTTTAACAAGAATTAAAATCATACGGAATGATTTTTGTCATATTTGGCAAAAATATCAAGATCCATTTTTCTGACCAAAATTTCTTGATTTCCCCATCCATTTTGTTGTAGATAAAAATGGAAACGGAATTTACCCGGAAACCCTCAAGGTTGTAGTGGGCAATCAACCACCGTCTATTACCCAGTTTTATTGTTCTCGGACTGACAGCAATACATGAACCATTAAACTGACTTAAAGGCAACTAAAAAGCCTAATTGCTCTTATATCACAAACATGAGGGCCACTTCATCTTCTTAATTGGAGGCCAAATCACTCAGATATGTAAAGAGGGGGACTCAGGGAGAAAAATCCGGACGTCACGCATATGTGACATGTGCCAAGCCCGCAAAGCACTTTGGTGTTCCCCTAGAAAAATCTTCTTCCTTACTAACTCAAGTAAAATTGCATCTCATTGGCAAGACCCATAAAATAGATCAACTTAACGCCGCCAAAAAATTAATTTTTAGGGAATGGGGAAAAATCGAGGTCTTCCTTCTATTACAACCTCCCAGACTCAGTTGCTGCAACAGCCCAGCTGACGCAAAGCTGCATTCCAGAGACTAGACAGTTTTTTGGTTTTAAAAGCAGGCAAAGTAAAGACTAGTTAGGAACGCATAAATACTAGAGGAATTTCGACAGCCACTTTTGTAACTGAGTGATGGCAGCTTTCTACCCACCGCAGGAAGCATAAATTCCGACCGTTGAGTTAGATAGAGACTTTCTGGAAATAAGAACACACCCTTTTGTAGCAAATTGTAAGGAAACGTGTGCTACATCTTTACTTTTTCGTGCCCAACTCCGAATGCCCCTCAGAACATCTCCGACCTTGATCCCACACTCGGTGACCCTGATTGGTCAGCATTAAGTGCGGAGGAACTTCGACTGGGGTAGCAGTCATGACGAGGACTGACGGCAATCAAAGTGCTATAAATAGGCAAGAAGTGAGACCACCACATGCCTCTGGCATTAACCCAGCAGTCGCGTACGCATACGTCGTACACCCAGCCAATAGAGAGGTCCTGAAACCACCTTGATCAAGTTGGTGGAGAAATAGCCAGATCGCACAACTTCAAGCTAATAGTAGGCGTCAACTCATTACAAGTGAATAATTCATGGAATGAGGAAGTAGGCCCAGGGGAACAGAGATCGCGTTTCGGGGGTCTGAGGTGACCCGGTTAGGGTTGGACGAGTCTCGGTGGGGCTCGGTGCCGCGTGATGCATTTCCCACGAATGTGGACTTATTTTAAATGCTGCTGGAACGTCTTGTATGCATGGCATTTGAAAGGTTTATTAGTTTTTGATAAGAACTACATCATGTCCTTGTAGGCCCGCTAGTGATTGGAACACTTCGGAAGGTACAACGTCAGGACCAACTTCCAACATGACGGATGGTAAAATAAGGCGAGAAGGGGGGCGGGAGAGAAACAAGGAAGACATTTATTGACACCCACATCAACTGAAAAAGTTACTAAGCAAGTGGGTTTCACGCGCACACATTGACAAGCGATGACAGTAAAAAATTGAATGACATGTATGGACTGGTTGTGGACCATGGGGTGGTCGACTATACCTGAAGGGAGTTTCCAGACATTCGGTGTGTCATTACGAATCAGCAAAATCCACTTTTTGCGTAGCCTACCTCTGAAAAAGACCACGACAAGTGACAGTTGGAAGCGCCGTCTTCACAACTGAAGTACTTGAAGGAATCATTATCACCGAATGAAATGCTCTATTAACTTAGTGACAGTCTTGGAAGGGAGAACTCGCCTTTCAGTCGCAAATGCTAGCCCAACGCTGTCCACAAAAACAACCCACCACCAGCCCTCATTCCCAGGCCACGCACTGCTTCATCCTCAGGAGAAGACTGGACTTGCAAAGGCAAAGCAAGTACGACTACACTCTCTCCGCATCACACAAAATATGAAAGAAAATTTACAAGAAAAACCTTTTTAAGCGAAACAGACACAACTAATGACTCGGACAAAAGGCTAAGCACCGCAAAACTTCATATTTCATAAGCTGTCGTGGGAAGATATATACTTAGCGACGGAAGAGAAGAAGAGAGGGTTAGGAAATACCATCTCCTCCTTACCCTCCGTGTTCCCATAGCATTTCTTCATGCCGTGGTTACGCTGTTCTGGTATAAAATTTACTACAGCGTCATTCTCACGCCTGTCTAGCCGATAGGTATTGTATTTGCCATTGAAATGGCCGATGTAGGAGTGTGAACCAACAGTTGAGAATGCTGAGAACGATGCACAGATGAAGGTGTAGAAGATAAGTGACATATTACAGACACCGTATTCACTAGTTATGATCTTCCCTGTTCACATATCTGTAATTCTGACAAACCGTAGGTACAAAAGGAGGAAGATATCGCTCCACATTTAGCCACCACTGTCCCAGTGTAATCGTCGCCTAGAAGAGGCTTCAAGAAATGCTCCAAGATACGGCAATCTCATCGCTTCGGTGAGAATCCATATTATGGTCATTCATGGCGGTTCAAGGAGCACCTACGCAATAAAACTGGTCTAACAGGGATCTGAGAGGACAAAGAGAATGTAGAACATTCTTAGCATGAACTCGGTGCATGTCCCCAAGGTTTGGTGGTTTAAATAGACTTGACGCTTGTTAGTGGCATGCAACTGCGAGCCCTAAGGACGACACGTAAAAAAGATGTGAGCTTTAGCCCTCTGTAAGTAGATCATCTGCAGATCGATGAGTTGAAATGAAAGATGTAATATTTATGGGGGCTTTATTCCTACTGCCTTCTTACTACTTATTTTAGAAAGAATGAGCGGGTTAGCTAAGGTGCTACCTTATGAATGTTTAGAAAAATACGAAAATATTTTCCGGTGAAATAAGCAGGTTTAAAGGACAGCAACAGTGCTTATATTAGTCTAGATTAGAAAGTTTGACAAAACGGTTATATTTAATTAATTTTAGGTTCATTTTAATAAAAGGTGAGTCCTTTTATTATGTAAAATGTGGGTCGCCTAATAAATTAAGAGGTTGGAGCAATAAAGTGCTCCTAAGCTGACACTTTATGCTTTCGCAATAACTGGTAAAAAACATTATGAAACATTTTTAACCTTAAAATACACCCGGATGAATTCGCTGTACTGTTTAAATAATTCAATTCATTTTGATGAGGTCAAGGTGGAGTCGGTTTGAACACTTAAAATAAGTTCGACTCAATTCCAAAAGAGCACAAAATAACCATTTAAATTGTACTATCAAAATTAAATCATGCAGTGATGCTTTTGTTTCAAGTGACAGCATTAACTTACACCCGATGTACACTCGATGAATTTCAAGTTTTGCTAATTTAGAACAGTGGATTTTGTCACGTATACGCATAGTTGACTAACTTGCAAGGCAAATTTCGAGAAATAACCTGTTTGTTTGCAAAAGATGGCACATTCCTCGCTATAAGAAACGCATGAGGTATGCACACACGTCAGTTGCCTAGACACGCTTAGTTGACACAAAATATTGCAAATTAGGACAGTGACAGTTCCACCTTTCCTATAGCCCCCTTAGCTACACTCCACTTTATTTCCCTTACAAACAAATTTTGCTATTCCTCATTTCCTTCTTGTGATCTTGGCTGTGAGTGATCGGGAGTAGGGAGTGCTCTCAATTTATTGCCATTGGTTACTAATGCAAACTTATCACCGGTGGAACTAAATCGGCACTCCGAAAGCACAATCGCAGCCTCAATCCACGGTATCCAGCAAAAAGTCAAGATTCTACCTCCGCAGAGATTTTTATCCCCGGGTGGCAATATATGTCTCGACGAGAGTAATTAATAGGTATCCTTCCGTCTTTACTGTCCCTACTGAAAGTAGTCTTTAAAAATGCAGATCTGTTAAAGAAATTTTTAAGGTGTTTGATAAAGAGACTGAAAAAGTTGGCTTTTATAGATCAGTAAATGCATCTAATCACCCATAATTTTAAGGAATCCATCTTTCGCATTAATTACTCTTTAACAAAGAATTATCCACAAAGCAATCACAGTTAATTTGGTCGAATAAAATTTCTCCATAAATGCAAAATTGTTTAAACAGACTCCTTAAGTTGGTTTGTTTCTAGTCCAAAACAACTTAAGGAAATGAAGAGATTGGACTGACAGGAAGGAGAAAAAAGTTAAACGAAGGGGTCGGAAAAGCCCACAAGTTTTTAAAGAGTGGCCTCCATTTCCGCCCCAACGTTGGATGGCAGAAAGCGGGGCTGGAGAGCGGGTGGGGACGGAGATGGCGCACTGGCGATACTCCTCGTGAGTAATTTCATCTCATTTACTCAGTGTAAAGTGAATAGGTAAATAACCAAATGGCAAATGTACTGCCTGCAAGTAAACCTTACGATTCAAATGAACCTTGAAAGAGAATATTTCCTTCCGTTTTGCCTTTGGAGGGAAAAGATTGACGGTAAGCCGATCGGCGTGCATTATCTCTGCTGCGGAATTTTTTTTTGAGGCAATGTTAAATGCTACCGAATTATGCGACTGGGTTTTAGATAAATAGAGAAATTTTGTCCTCAATATGATTATAAAATATGCAATCTCTCCTCAGGAGAAGGAATACTAATTAATAAAACTTTGACGAGAACTAATGCGAACTTAAGGGTGCGCTCTAAACTGGAGTAGAGGAGGTGAGGGCATTGTGATGGGAAAAAAGTTGGCAACAGCGGGACTGATATACTAGGAAACAAAAAGGATTATTTCATTGTGTTAAATTTTTGAGTGATACATATAAAAGAAGGTAAGCTATCCGTCTGGTAGAATTTCCCTTTAACCGGTGAGAGAAGTGCACAATGCTTGTGCTAAATTTGCTACAAAGTGAGCGCATCAAAAAGAAGAGAGTAGGTGGATGCAAAGAAAAAGTCAATCAAGAGGGAGAAGGGCTCCACAAAGTTTCCGATTAATAAGGTTGGCGGTGCTCCTGTTGTAAAAATACAGTGATGCAGTCTATCTCCCTAGATGGCTGTGTCATTCCCTGACTAAAATGGACGGATGGATGGGCATGGACAGAAGGAAAGACGCAGAATGGATAGATGAAAAATGGATGCAAAATTGATGGATGGATGAGTAAAGTAAGGATGAATGCGGGACGGATGCGTTAATGGATAGACACAGGAAGAATGGATTCAAAAGGCATGGGTAGATGGATGAATGCTGAATGGATGGATGAGTGGATAAATGGATGGGGGGATATTGGATGGATGAATAGTAAATTGATAGTGGGTGGATACTGGAGGGGTATTGGATGGATGGATGGATGGATGGATGGATGGATGGATGGATGGATGGATGGATGGATGGATGGATGGATGGATGGATGGATGGATGGATGGATGGATGGATGGATGGAT